ACTCGTCATCCTCCTCCAAACTTCCTGCTGCTGCTGCTGCTGACGATGGTCCTGCTGCTTCTGTGTGCTGCTGCACGAAGACGGTGGTGCTCCCGCCAGAAGGAGTGCTGCTCTTCAGCGAGCGCTGCTGCTGCTGCTGCAGCCGAATATGTGCATTTGGCAGCTCCTCGAGGGCTCTGAGACAGAGCAGCCAGCTGTGGGGTGTTAGGAGGCTTCCCAAGTTTGACACAACGGCGAAAAGGAAGGCACTAGCGACCGCAGCAAGTTCTGGCAAGTGGTGCTGTTGCTGCTGCTTGCCGCTGCTGCCGTCGCCAGCAGGACCAATGCTGCTGTTGCTGCTGTTTCTGCTGTTGCTGCTGTTGCTGCTGTTGCTGCTGCTGTTGTTTTTGCTGTATTGCCTGCCAAACAGCCATGTGAGGGCTTCAGTGCTGCTGCGGCCGAGTGAAGCAGCAGCTCCGCCTGCAGCAGCGACAGCAGCAGCTGCTGCTGAGGTGCTGCTGCTGCTGCTGCTGCTGCTGCTTCTGCGCTGCTGTTGCGACAGGGTATCCGCGGATGCAAGGCCAGCTGCTGAAGACGAAGAGGCAGCACTTCCCATGGCGGCATATAGGCAGAAACGTGCGACAGCATGCAGCGTTGCTGTGCATGCAGCATCAATGCGGAGGAGGGAGCAGGCTTCCAGTAAACGGTGGGAGCAGCACAGCAACGTTGAGGCTGTTGCGGCTGCTGCGGCTGCGTGTCTCGGCTGCAACTGGGGCAGATCCTTCTTGGTGGCACTGCTGCTGCTGCTGCTGCTGCTGCTGCTGCCGCTGCTGCTGCTGCTGCCTGCCCCTTGCAGGGTGACTGACACGTGCGCCGTCAAGACTAAGCCTATGGCAGAAACGATTGGACTCCAACTCGCAGCAGCAGTGGCAAAGCAGCAGCTCTGCAGCCTTGTCAGCGGATAATCGAGCGGCTGCCGCAAGAGGCACCTTAGCTGCCCACTCCTGTTTGCAGACGAAGCAGCAGCAGCTGCCGCAGCAGCAGCCATCGCAGCAGGAGGTGCTGCCAAAGCGGATTGAAGAGTGACTATTCGCAAAGAATCGACCGAGACGAGCACACCCGAAAGCGCTATGTGCAGCAGACGAGAGCGGCAGACAGCAGCAGCCGCTGCTTCTGCTGCTGCTGCTTCATCTTCGGGAGCTCCCAAGGCGAAGCAGCACTCAAGCAGACGAGATGCTGCATTCCAGGAAGCGGTGATCGCCACTGCTGCATCATTTACCGTGGCAGCGTTGGCGCCGTCGCTAGAAAGCCCCTTGCTGGTGATTTGGCTGCTGACTTTCTGCAGCTCGCGAGAACCAAATCCGATAGAATTAAATCCACCCTGCCGCGCAGATGCTGCATGCGACGGTGTCACCGGTGATACAGCAGCTGCTGCTGCATCTCTACGCGAGCTGCCAGGAGGCGTGTCGCTGCAGATCGCCACTTGGTCAGCAGCAGCAGCATCTCGACAACCCCCTATTTGGTTTGCTATGTTGCTTCTGCTGCTGGTGCTGTTGCTCCTGCTGCTGTTGCTGGTAAGGCTGCTCCTGCTGTTGCTCCTGCTGCTGGTAAGGCTGCTGCTGCTGGTGTTATTGCTGCTGCTAGTGCTATTGCTGCTGCTGGTGCTATTGCTGCTGCTGGTGCTATTGCTGCTGCTGGTGCTGCCCTCGCGCAGAGAAAGGGCAATCCAGCAGGAGGGAGCAGCTTGCCTCGCTGCCTCTGCAGCCTCGCGAATTGCAGCAACTGCTGTGTAAGCACCTGAGCCGTGCTGCTTTGCCAGTGCTGCGTCCGTCGCTGCCGCGTTCGAGTTGCTCTGAAAGGCGTCTTCATGCAGCGCGAGCAGCAGCTGTTGCTGCTCCGATGCAGAAGAGAAGCATATCTGGTGAATGGTGCAGCTAAATGTCTCGAGCACTTGGCTCAAAACGCGGCGAGGTGGCAGGCGAACTGCCGCTGCCTTCTCATTCCCTGCGGCTGTTTCCGTCGCTGCTGCAGTTGGAGCTTCGGGGGCATCCAGCTGCAGCAGCAGCGCACTGTCACTGCAGCAAACGACAAGAGCCTCTAGGGAGAGTGCCCTTATCCAGTCCGCCGTCGCAGTGTCTGCCAGTCGCAGCAGCATCAACAGCAAGGCGGTGGCTTGCTGCTGCATCAAGGGGAGGAAGAGGTGGACCAAGAGAACTACAAGTCGCACCGCGCGCAGCAGCAAGGGCTTGTTGCTGTGCTGCAGCAACGGCTTGTTGCTGTGCTGCAGCAGCAGCTGGTGCAGCACTGGACAGAGCTGCTGCCGCACCTGCTGCAGCAAACCACGCATCAAAAACGGCAGGGAAGGCTGTTGCATGAGCACACAACCCCACAAGTGCAAACACACAGAGGGTGGCAGCAAAAGGCCCCCTAGCCAGGCTGCAGCAGAGGCTGTTGCCTTGTTGGCACTGCTGCTGCTGCTGCTGCTGCTGCTGCTGCTGCTGCTGAGGGAGCTGCTGCTTTCTGCCGCAGCTGATGCGCAAGACTGCGAAAGCACTTGCGTGAGATCCTCCAGCAAATGCAACAACGCCTTGCCAGCACGCTGTGGCTCGGCAAGCAGATCGAGAGGTGTCTGTTGACTGCTGCCGGCGTCTCTGAGAGTGTCGCCAAAGGCGTCGCTGCCTTCGCTGGAGCCACTACAGCAGGAAGCCTCCGCGGAGGAAGCCTCCTCTGCCTGCCTCCCCTGCTGCTGCTGCAGCTGGCGCTGTTGCTCCTGGAAGGCGCCTTCCACGAGGCAGCTGATGAGCTGCTCGAGACCAGCGCATGCACCGTGGAAGAGGGGCATGCTGACAGCCACCGCAGAAGCCACACCCTTAGAAGGAGCAGCGGCGACTACGGGAGAGACAGCGGCAACATTAGACGCAGCTGTCAAAACCCATACGAAGAGGCGCGCAAGACGATGTACTACAGCTGCATCCGCAGCCACTCGCGCTTCAGGAGCAGCAACGAGCAATGCCACCTGCAAGACGCGAATGCGAAGCTGCTGCTGATGGTGCTGCGGCTGCTGCTGAGCCTGCTGCATGAGGTCTTCCAGCACAGAAACGAGCAGCAACACATCTGAGGCTGCTGCTTCTGTGGCAGCAGCAGAAGCAGCAGCAGCAGCAGCAGCCTCGGCTGTGTTGCTGCTTCTTTCCTGATGCATGCTTCGTTGAGAGGCGTGGGGTGTCAGGAGCAGCCGCCGCTGCAGATGCAGCAAGATTGAACGCAGCAGATTCGCCGCCCCTACCAGCAGCTTGACATTGTCTGACTTTGCAGCGTCTCGAGCAACAAGAACTACGTCTCGTACTGGGAAAGCCGATAACAGACTGGCTGCTGCTTCTGCTGCTGCTGCTGCTGCCTGCTGCTGCTCCGCTGTGGTGAGCTGCTCCTCGTTCGTCGCTGAGGCTGATCGCTGAGAAGCTGCCGCTAAAACTGGCAACCCCTCAGTGAGGCGGTCCTTGTGCTGCTGCAATAAAGCGATTGCGGCAAGACAGGATTCGTGAAGCCTGCTGCTGCTGCTGTTGCTGTTGTTGCTGCTGCTGCTGCTGTGCTTCTTCTTGCTGTCTTGAAGCAACGCGAGGAGGTCTCTGCTCACCGCATTGCAGGCTTCAAGTGCTGCAGCGTATTGTGAATCCCAGGGAAACTCGGCAGCAGCAACAGCGGAGATAGCGGTTGCTGCTGCTGCTGCTGTTGTTGTTGCTGTTGGTTTTGCTGCTGCTGCTGCTGTTGTTGTTGGTTGTGTTGTTGTTGCTGTTGGTTTTGCTGCTGCTGCTGTTGGTTTTGCTGCTGCTGCTGCTGTTGTTGTTGCTGTTGGTTGTGTTGTTGCTGTTGCTGCTGCTGCTGTTGTTGCTGCTGCTGCTGTTGGTTTGGCTGCTGCTGCTGTCGTCAATACCGCTTCGCCCTCTAACATGGAGGCAGCTGCCCCCCCCGCCGCTGCTGGTGTTTTAGGCGCTTCTGAATTTCCTATCGGCAGTTCAACAGCTGCACTCCCCTGTCCCTCTTGCATTGCAGAGGACTGAGACAGCGCGGCTGTAGCCGCTCCAGCCATAGGATCATCAGCAGCTGCGGAAAAAGCAGCAGCTACCGCAGCAGCGGCAGCAGCTGCTGCTGCTGAAACTCCTGGTGCCTCGCCATGAGAAACCAGTGACGGAGAAGGAGATTCTGCAGCTCTTTTTGCTGCTCCTGCTGTCATTGTCGTGAGGTGCTCATATTGCTATTCCGCAGCTGCTCCTCATGTGGCTGCCGCCACTGCGTTTCTGCTCGCGCAAATCTTCTGCTCCCGTGGCTCGCCTGTCTGCAGGCTTCGCCTCGCCAACATTCGACTTTGCGTTCCTACTTTAGCGTGTGTGGCTTAGGCAAGAGCATCTAGGCTCCAGTGATTTGACTCTGCTGCCGCCGCTCCTGTCCAGTCAGCAGCGGGTAGGTAGAGGGCCGTTAGGCTGCACTAAAAGCGGCTCAGATGATTCGCGGTTGCTGTGTGTGAGTCTGTCATACTTCTTGGCGATGACTGCTCGGGAGGAAGGAAAAGCTTTATCGCGGCAATGCGGCTGCTGCCCGTGGTAGCTGCTGCTCCCTGCTGCAGCCCCCTTCAGTCGTTGCGCAGCAGCAGCAGCAACAGCGTCCTCCTCCCGCGGCAGCAGCAGTGGCAGCACTCCTTTTGGAGAAACATTAGCAATAAAGTGTGAAGCTGAGGCTTGCACTGCCTAGCTGAGGCATAGGGAATTCTTTCGTCCCGTCCGCTCTCCTCAAACCGAGCAGCAGTGCTGCAGACAGCGGGATAGGCTGGTTCTTCAACCTGTGGAAACTCCTGGATTTTTCGTGGGTAAATCTCAGTGTAAGTGCGGAGCAAAAGCGTCTTCGGATTGCGAGTGAGCGCGTTATTTGCAGACGAGACAAAGTCGTAGGCAGCGGCAGCAGCTGCGCAGGCAGCGGCAGTGTCGTAGGCAGCGCAGGGCGCAGCAGCGACAGCATCGCATGCACTGCAGATGTCTTCTCCTTATTCTTCGTCCAGTGGTAAATCCGATGTGGGCAGGCGGACGCTGGAGCTCCGCGTGGCTCCTCAGCAGCAGCAACCAGACACGCAGCAGGTGCAGCATTCAAAGAAATTCGTGTGCATAGAATGCGGCGCTGCCGTGGAGTGTATCTACAGGGCGCTTCCTCCGGGATCGGATAACATTCGACTGGTTTGCTGTGGCAACTGCGGCGAGCTAGCAGACCCTTATCTGCAGCACGACTCGCTGCTGCTGGCGCTGGACTTGCTGCTGCACAAACCCCAAGTGTATCGCCACCTTTTGTACAACAGAGCGCCTGATACGAGGGGAACCATCCCCCTGAACATTGTTAAGTTTGCTGTTGCATGCGTTTTCTTTGACGCCTACCTCAAATGGTTCCTTTTGCACACGCCAGAGCAGCCGCACCAACAGCAGCAACCTCAGCAAGACCAACAAGAGCCATGTGATCAACATGCCGACTGCCAGTGCACCGAGAAGGAGAAGAATGACGGCCAGCTGTACTTCGAGATGCATGATAGAGTAGAGGACGTCGCCGTGGCTGCTGCATTGCAGCAGCAGCAACCGCTGCACGGAAAGAGGCGGTCTTCCAGGATATCCTTTTTCCGTAGTGCCTTCATAGGATGTTTTCTGTTTTGGGGGATTTCTGCTTTTATTCGTGCCAAGATGAATCGTTGCACCGGTAATGCCTTGACGCCTGCGCTTGGGGGCCGTTCCTTAGAGGGAGCGCAGCGTTCTCCGCTGCTGTGCTTGCAGCCTGACTGCAGGGAAGTTGTGTCAGCTGAATCATCAGAAGCAGCAGCAGCAGCAGCGGCGTCGAGCGACGCTTGTACGAGAGATGGGGGCTCTCTTGATCGGAGTCAAAGTGGTGGCAGCAACACAATCTGCAGCAAGTGCGGCGTAGGATGCCCCCCCCCCCATGGTTCCCATGATCCGTCACTCCAGCGGCAAGCACAGCAGCACAAGCCTGTTCTCCGACCTTCAGGCAGTTTCGTGACAGAGCAACAACAGCAGCAACAACAGCAGCAGCAGCAGCAGCAGATGTCGCGTTGGTTGTTATCGCCGTCAACCGCGGCTATCGAGCAGCAAGTACTGGTGCTGCTGTGTGCTGCCTCTGAATTGCTGACCTTCCTCGGAGTTGCCATGCTGCTCACGCGTCTCTACGTCGCGTGGAGACAAATGAAGAAGAGGCGAATCGCCATACCTGCTGTGGTCAAGAGTAAGGCTACAACTACTGCTTCCACTGCAGCTGTTGCTGCTGCTTTTTCTTCAAAGGGATTTTCTCAAGCCCTTAGCGTGGCGTTTGCCTGGCGCGCAAAGGCGATGGCCCCTGCCGATTCAGGAGGAGTGGGGGATGCATGCACCTCCGCAACAGCAGCAGAAACTGCAGTAGAAACTCCATTCGTACAAGAGGATGAGTTCGAGCTGGGGGTGTTGCTAACAGCTCTGGGTTTGTCTCTCTACAGCAAGCTAGGCACGCTTTTGGTAATGGCTTGGCATGAGGCCCTCTTGCTGCGGCATTGCGTGGCAGCCTTCACTTTCAGCAGCAACGTTGTTGCCCTCAACGTCTTCCTACACCCTTCCCCCCCTGCAGCTGGTCTGCTGATTGCTGCTGCTGCGACTGTCGCCAGGGCAGCAGTCAGAGCTGTCTCGCTTGTGCTGCTGCAGCAAGCGATTCCAGCGGCGGCTGCCGCTGCAGCCGCTGCGGAGGGTGAAGGCCCCTTCGAGAGGCATATTCGGCTCTTCATATAAGCGCTGGTTTTGGCGCATGGGCTAGATGCGTAGTAGCATCGCAATTTTTTTGCCACGTGTTTGTCGTTTCAACACCGCCCGTCACGCGGTTGCTTCAGGGGGCCCTCACCACGAGGCCTTCCCTGCAGAAGGGTCTCTGTCCGTTCTCTCCGCCTTCAAGGCTCTAGTGTATATCCGTCGACTGCGCGTGTAACTGCGCAGTCGAGTGATTCGTAGCTAGAAGAGCACTAGAAAGAGGGGTGCCAGCGAGCACGTGGCACACCGAAGGGCAGACGCCAGGGGAAGCAGCCCTTAAGGCTCCACGTAGACAGCAAGGCTAACTAATGCGCTTGCGTTTGGCTTCTTGACAGAGTGAAGTAGTAGAGCGCATCTTCTAATCCCTTTCAGCCACTGTGCGTCCTAAAAGCGGCCCGGAGACATGCGTACTGTGCGGAGGGAGAGGTGCCACATCTCTGTGGAGGGAAAGGTCATGGCATCTCTCGAAAGCGTCTGCACTGCTGTAGCAGAGCATTCTCAAGAGGAGACATGCATTGGGGAAGGCTATATGAGATATAGCTGCCATTTTTTCTAGTGTATATCTAATCCCCTTGGTGAGGAGGACCAGCAGGGCACTGGCAGAAGACGCATAGCGACGGAAGGAGGGGGGATGCTTCCTGGTATTACACACACACACTCATTCACTCACTCCTGTAGAATTCTGCTGCAAAATGTGCTTGACAGGGACAGAGATATGGGTACAGGCAAAGGGGAGTAATGATGGGAGCACGTACACAGATCGATGATATCTGTGTGTGGCTGCGGGGAGGGATCGGAGAGGGGCAGCTAAAAACAGGCATGTTAAACGAAAAAGGAAAACCTCAAGGGATTCGACGTAAAAGAAGGCACGGAAGGGCTGAAGATCACAGAGAGAGATCATCCTAGAGAGGATCAGAGCGTGAAACTGGACAGAGGCCAATGCACAATTGAACGACTCCGTCGGGGGGAAAGGCAATTGAGCGGCACTGCAGCAGGAGGATGCGGTGCATTGTCAGACCGTGGCACGGGAGGAGTGAAGAACTCCTGTATTTCTATAGCCTTAGGGGGAACTAGGCAAGGCAGGGTCGGACGAGAGTGGAGTGTGGACTGCCACAAGGGATGCGGCGCAAAACACAGCTGGCTGTCTGCTGTATGTGGAGGGAGGAGCCCTGCCAGCCATGGATGAAAGTGCTTCAACATGTCTTCTAGTTGGCCCCCTGAGGAAAAGCAACATAAGATAGACAGAGGCAGAGAGAGAAAAGCCACGCTCAACAACCTTTCCGCATCAGCTGGCTGCACTGCAAAGGACTTCCAACACGCTACTAATATAGCTGGATCCTCGTAAAATATCGGCGCCCTTAAAAGGGCAGCCGAACAGAACGCATCTGTCCGAGAGAGGCACCGGCGACATCAAAAAACGTACTTTCAAATGGGCGTTACACCTGGAAATAAAGAAGTCTCGTGCAGTTTAGAAGAATCCCTGGTCCATCTATCCACTCTTCCCCTCCTCCCCTCTCCTATCCGCTTCCCGGCGAAGAAATTAGAGCAAACGGCGCCAGGAATTGGACTCATGTGCCCCACTGCGGAGCTCTTCTTCAGAGGCAGGCCGAGAACCAGAGAGTGAGGTGCAGCAAAGCCGTGCACATACCCTTTCAGGTGAAAGGCTAACGCAATGCGCAGGCGCAGGCCCAGTAGCTCGCGCTTAAAATAACCTTCCAGAGACTCTCAATCCTTTACGGTTATTCAGCACGCGTTGCAGCATGTAATCAGCTTACAATGAGAAGACAGCAGCACGACGAAGCAACTCGAGACACATTTTGGCACTTTCCCGCACTTGCGAAAAAGGTTTCGTAGACTGGAGGATTTGGCCCCTCCTAGATCATATTTGTCAGAGTAGGAGCCTATTCGTGCTGATGCGACGAAGGAGCCGTGTCTGTGTTATGTGTTGCGATGTGCGACTCTGGGGCACTCCTTCTATGCCCTGCGTGTAAACCCCTTTGCGTCAAGACCCTGTCGACAAATGAGGCAAAGTCAGAGAGCATCGACTCGGAATGCGTTTACTCTTTGCTTCCATCATCCTCTTGCGGACTTCGGTATCCTGGAAAAGCGGCCGCTGAGATGCGCGTTACCGCACTTAGCGAACTTTAGAGCATTCATTTGTGCCCAGTTGCATACAGCAGCGTAGAGCGCAGGCGCACGTCTCCCCTAGCATGCAGCAAGGATGTGTGTCTACAAGCGGCCAACGCAGATGGTAAGTTCCTACACGGTTCTTTTAATGATGTAACCAGTGTAGTACGAAGGGCCCCAGCGTTGCTCGGCCTGCTACACTAGAAGGGCACAGGGCATCTATTGAGGTGCACGCCTGCTCACTTTCCTTCCGGAATATTAGAACCCCCTGCGATTGTGAGGATCGTGTGATGCATAAGAGCTTTTCAAAAGGATGTAGCAATAGCTCTCTATGAAGATTCAAGCATACGAAAGGCTCCATAAGAAGATGCTGCCTGGAGTGTACCAGGCTAAGCTCCATTACAGTAGTACTACTTGGATAAGAATTAGTAGAAAATTGTTAATTTATTTGTCTGTAAGCATATCTCATTTATCCTAGAATACTGCTAGCTCAGTACAAGGAGACGCAATGTTGTGTGTGAACAATACACATGATGTGCAACTAGCTGTGAATCACAGGAGTAACTACAAGGCGCAGCGACGCGCGCCCTAGCTGGCCCTCTCCCCTCAAGAAGAAGCTCGGAGGCACGGAACGGAGAGTATGAGAGCTCTTTCGAGAATGAATAATTGACTCTTTCTTAAATTGGTATCAAATCTAGAGAAAAGTGCATACCCGTGGAGACCTTAGGTGGACTGCTTGAAGAGACTGTACTTCTGTGCCGTTGCCTCGAATAACACTTCCACATTATATTCAAAGGCAAGCAATGCCAATATATCTCGGCTATTGAATTTGAACTTGAAATTAGTGCGGCGTTGCCCCGTGGAGGCTCCTCAACTGCGGTTCTACCCTCTATGGCCCCCGTCACTATGTTGCAGTCTGCGAGGGGGGTTTACCTTTTTCTTGATGCGTCTTCTGTGCTTACCGAGCATCCTACTTCCGATAAGCTCAAGCCCCTCATCAAAGATTTATGGCTCGTTGTATGCAGATGCAGTTATGAACTATGGGACTGGGTCACCACAAGAGCAGCAGTGGGTTGTTGGGGGCTGTCTGGAGCTGCTTTGGAACGGCTTGCTGCTTCTCTTGGAGTCAAGGGAGCACTAATTGCACTCAAGTGCCCCTTAAACCTCCTATAGCCTCCTGTTTGTGAATACTCCGCTGATTGATTGTATGACTGCAGAGTCGCTGCCCACCCTACGGCCACCTGGCGTTACACTTTGGGTAGACCCGAGATAATTATCACGGTAAAGCAGCAGTTTGTTTACGGTATGGCTTTTGCTCGTCGACTTTACATTTTTAGAGTACTCCGATTCATTGATAGATTCTCCTGCTATAGTTTTCTCAGTCCTCCCGAGGCTTGCTGTTGAGCTGACGTTCGCAAGCAGCGATGACCTTGGACTTCCATAAAGGCCTCAATTGTACACACTACTGCATGGAGACTACTTTCTCTGCGTGAATAAAGCCACCATCAAACTACCTGTCCATCCAATGGGCATGCCGCTCGGACCACTTGTTTCCCTTCCTTTGAGAGTTACAAAGGACCTATATTCTAGCTGACTTTGGGGTCTTTGCTTTCTTGCCTTATCCATAAAATCTTTTGGGGTCAGCATAGACCCATCGATGTATCCGATGCTTGTCGCGGCTGAGCAACTACCACCTTTTACCAACTATGGAGCTGCAGCGTTTACATCAGCATGCAGGCAGGCCTCTGCCACCGTGACAGGCCTTGCACCACCGTCAGCCTCCATCAACAGTGTGCTTACTGTCAGACTGCTGCAGCAATAATCAGATTACTTACTCAATAACGTTATCAAAAGCAATCAGATTTGTTAGGCCAAATTGACATCCCATTGCATTCATAGTCAATTAATGAGCAGAGCAGAGCTGCATCGATCCTTGGCGTGCTACCAACTCATATTCAATATGAACTTAGCAGAAAGACATTTGTTCTTCCTCAGGACAGTTCCCCGCTTTCCTACCTGTGCCTTTCAGAATTTTTTCACGAGGGCAGAGGGCCAGCTAGCTTGTGGGCAGATGCACCTCACAATTACTCTGAGCATGCACAGCTACTTGCACACAAAATCAGGCGTACACCCGTTACCTAGTGCTTTCTTGTATTGAGCAAACAGGACTTTGCAACACGATGATAGCAGAGAATCCAACTAGTCAATTTTGTACTAATTTTTGTGTACGTAGAAATAATGTACAAAGCGCTCGGGGGTAGCCTGAAGAAGGCTGCATTTGGGGCTAGTGCTTTTATTGCTGCTGTTCATGCCGCTAACGGCTCCCCTGTAGCCGGCATCGATTTGATTGGATGCATAAATACTTCAAAGCGCGAACAAGAAACTGCTATTGCGAGGGCAGTTGCCATATACTGCCCTCTATGCCTTCGTATCTCGAATAGGACAGTCCGACTGCCAGCGGTAGCACAGGGCGGAGGTAGCAGACCACACACTTGTCCGTAAGGTGCCGCGTTAGAGCCTTCGCAGTGCACGTTGTGTACAGAACAGAATTAGAGGGATCCAAAGGCCACCCCCCTAAGGCGAGCGAAATCCGCTGCCATGTTTCGCCTACCAGGCACAAGCAACACCAGCAGCTGCGGCAGCAGCAGTTGTTAGGAGTGTTCCAGTTGAAATTAGGCGACCATCACGATAATATCACGAAAGCGAAAGCGCCAGCTTTCGAGTTTCTCCATTTAATAGTAATTTTCCCCCTTTTATGCAAGTTGCGGCTGCATCCGGAGCAGCAGCGGGGTGATGGATGGTCTTTGCAGGGTGGCAGCAGCAGCAGCAGCAGCTGCTGCTGCTGCTGCTGCTGTAGCGGCCGCTGCAGCTCCAGGGGCAACCGCCCACGCCTCATTCTCTCCGTTTGTATGCACGTTTTGCTGCATGTTTTTGTTTTCTGCTGGTGAAAGGCCTAGTTCCGCTTTCTGAAGCACTGCTGCTGCTGCAGGCAGTTCTCGAGTGGTGCGGCTGCTGTGCTCCCGCCCCGAGCAGCCGTGGCAGCAGCAGCAACAGTGCCGAGAGTGTCTGTCTTTTCATGTGTCTTTCTTGTATATGTCTCTGTAGTCCTCCTCCTTTTGCCAGTTATTAGCAGCGGCAACAGCTGCATCAGCGGCAGAAGCGAGAGCGGCAGCACATGCATGTGCTCCCGGAGTCTGCCGCTGCGTATTCCCCGTTTGCTGCCCCATTTTCTTAGAAGGACGTGGCTAAAGCAGCTGCAGCAGCAGGCTGCTGCTGCCGGCCAGATGCAGCAGCAGCAGCCTCAGCGACACGATACGCAGCAGCAACATGCCAGCCCCAGTCGCTGGAGGCGCCTCAGAGCGCAACGCTGCTGATTCCACCCCTTCTGGAGGTGTATCTGCACCCCAAGCAGCGGGATCCTCAGCATCGACAACCAGCTCGCTGCTGCAGCAGCAGTCTTCGCCGTCGCTGGGTGGCTCCGCAGCAACTGCGGCTCAAGGGACGACTGCATCAGCGACACCTCCAGCAGCGGGAAATGCAGCCGCTGGAACGGATCTGGATGTGGAGGCGGATGTACATAGCCTCTTCCAGAGGCTATTCTCCGGTAAGAGCACAGCCACGCCACTGCCATTGGGTGCCCGCCTCCTCGTTGGCTGCCGGTGCCATTCCTTGCAGGGCAGCTCTTCTTCCCTGTTCTCTTTGCGCACCCCCTCCCTCACCCCTCCACCCCTTAGCGGCCGTTTCGGAGGCTGTGAGGGGGCGTGCTGCTTGCTGTAGTATCGCCGGTGCCCATCAACTCGCAGAGAGTCGCCAGCTAGCGGTGCCGCCCGACGTGGCTGTGGCTGCCCTTCCATCCGAATGCGTCGGGCTGAGTGTGGGGGGATTCCTCCCGTACCTCCGTGCCAGCTTTTGCCGCGATGGGGCATGCCTTATTTGCGCATTTTTTCGGTTCTTTTCGCGGATCAAGCGGGCTGCTGCCTCTCTTTGTATCGAGGCATCGGTTGCGGCGTGCGTTTTGTGACGGCGCCGGAGCAGACTCCGAGGGGCAGTCCTCGCGTGGCGTGGTAGGGGTGCATCGCCTTCCCGCGCTGCTGGTGACTGCACAGGTTTGCACCGTTTTTCTCGTGTTTGCGGCGCGCGATGCATGCAGGGGGGGCGTCGGCGGAGTTGGTGCTGGCTGTGTTAGAGAGGGGGGCCTCCTCCTCTGCCTCCCCACGAGATAGCGCCTTGGTCGCCCTCTTCCTCTCGTCGCTCTTCCGAGAAACTCGACACCTGCCAAAGTATCCTCTCAGGGAGTTAGCGGCGACTGCTGTTTTGTTAGGCCAGCTGCTGCGGCGGGGGTTGCTGCTGCAGAGGGGTCCTTCGCTTTCTGTCGCGCAGCGCTGCATCACGGAGGCGATTAAAAAAGGCATTCCCAGCAAGATGTGGCTCTTCGGCGTGGCTGCCCTCGAGCAGGTGCTGGAGTGCCTCCCCGCGTACCCTCTTTTCGCTGCCGCGATTGCAGAAAGACACGAGCTGTTGCTGCTGCACTCCCACTACACAGAGTTTGCGGCCAGAGTAGTGGCTGCGCTCCCTCCCGAATTGCGGGGGCATGTTCACCTCGAAGAGCACCAGCTTGCAGGCATCGAGTTCCCATCGACGCCTACCATTGGCATGCGAGGTAAGCAATCCTTCTTGGCGCCATCCTGAACAGCCGTATGTATCCACACACACACACACACACATACATATACATATATATATATATATATATATATGTATACACTCACATATATACATATATACACTCACACACATATACATACATACACACATATACATATATACACTCACACACATATATATATATATACTCATATATATATATATATATACACCCTCTGTACACCGCAAGAGGGGGGGTTGGAGTTGGGGGGTTGGTAGCCGGCTGTAGCGCTCTGAGGGGTGCAGAAAGGGAAGGGGAGTTTGTGGGGAGCCGGGCAAGGCGCGTGCTGCGCGCGTTTTTTGATTTTGCTGCTCAGGCTCTGCATCTGGCGTTGTCGTACCGGGTCCTATGGCCATCAGCATGCAAAACGAGAGGTTTCCAAAGATCCTGGAGCAGCAGCAGCAGCACCTCTTGCAGCAGCAGCAGCAGCAGTTGCTGCCTCCCCATGAGCAGCAGCGCGAGGGGGCCGCTCCCCCGCAGCAGCAGCAGCCACAGCAGCAGCAGCAGCTGGTGCTCATGGGCAGCAGCAGCAGCAGCAGTATCAATAACAATGCGGGTGTGAGCGGTGGCAGTGGTAGTAGCGGCAGTGGAGGGCCACTTCCGAGTATTCCAAGTTCGACAACAGCAGCAGCAGCAGCAAGCAACGCTGCGGGCGGGGGGGGGGGCGGCTCAGGAGCGAGTTTGCTGCTGCAGCAAGGAGGCAGCATGGAGGCACTCTTGTCGCAGGACGAGGAGTTCATCAAGGGGCTGTATGTACCGCCGACGTGGTTTCGTGATACTGCAGCATCGGCTTTCAATACCATGTGTCTCTCGAACGTAGTTTCTAAGGCGTTGAGGGTGCAGCAAGTTTTACGGCCTGAGTTTCTCCCGTGGTTAGCGCTGTACTTGGTCAAGAGTCGAGCCACCAAAGAGCCGAACCACCACGCAGTGTATATCCAGTTCGTGCTGCTGCTGCAGCAACCGAGTCATGAGCTGCAGCAGCAGCAGCAGCTCGAAGAGGAGCAGCGAGAGCACCCGCAGGAAGCTCACGGCGGAAAAACGCAGTCTCAACAGGGGCAAGGCATGCAGCAAATTCAACAGCCACAACAGGGGCAGCAGCAGCAGCAGCCACAACAAGGGCAGCAGCAGCAGCAGCCACAACAAGGGCAGCAGCAGCAACAACCCCAACAAGACGCGCAGGGGGAACACACGCAGGGAGAACACTCGCAGCTGGATCGAGATGAAGACGGGGTGCCTCAGCAGCAACAAGGGCAGCAGCAGCAGCAACAAGGGCAGCAGCAGCAGCAACAAGGGCAGCAGCAGCAGCTTCAGGTGATGGATTGCGTTGTTTCGACAACGTATGAATGTGTTAAGGCCCTTCTGCGATTCGTTTCTTCCGCCAAAGACTCCTCCGCCTTCAGAACACTCCTTAAGAATCTTGGACTGTGGCTCGGCAGTATTACCATCGCCAGGTATGCGGCTGCTGTTGCTGCGTGTTACGCCATCCATTGTTGCCTGTGCGCGCATTGCGTTTCTTTCTTCTGCCCCTGTACGATGTTTCGAGCCGAGGAGGGAGGACGTTCCATGTGTGCCATGTAGCCGCGTGTAAGCTGGCGCAACATAGGATCTTGTCAGAATCTTGTGACAAGACTTTACGCAAGGCTTTTATTGACTGCATGCAGTTGGGGAATTAAAATCTGCCTTAGAGGGCCGCTGGTATGGCCTTTCCGTCAGGCGCGCCGGTTTCTGTATCCATACATATATATATGCATCCACAAACGTATATATATATACATATATACATAGGCAGATGTTATTTTGTATTCGTATATATATGATTTAATCTGCACATACCCTTCAGGAGGGTGTCGTTGCTGGATATTTTGGACTATGGTCGTTGCTTTTGTGCATCACTTCAGGAACAAGCCGCTGCGATCTAAGCACGTCGACCTCAAGAAGCTTCTGATTTCCGCCTACACCGCTGGGCACTTGGTTGCTGTACTGCCTTTCGCCTGTCGAATTCTCGAATGCGTGGCATCCTCCAAAGTGTTCAGAATACCAAACCCGTGGACAGCTGCGCTGCTCAACCTCCTTGCCGACTTTCACAGGCTTCCGCATCTAAGGTAAGGAGGACGCTTGCTGCTGGCATATTTCACCGCTGCTCTCGTTGATTGATTTCGCGGCTTCGGGTGAGGCGTTGGTGGCCTCTAGCTCGTCAATCTGCATGCCTGTTTCTTGCGGATTTCAAAAATTTGCATGTGGTGACCTTTCCGTTGGCGTGCGCGAACAGCTTTCTTCGCACCCTCTGTTCTTGAATCCTCGTCGCAGTGCCTTTTCCTGCCGCCACATGGCATCTGGTGCCGTTTTGCGCTGTATCTCGTCGACGAATTATTTTGTTTGCGCTGCTGCGGCCGTCTCTCGGCGGCTTGTGAACTTGTGTGTCTTAGTCATGTGTGCGTATGGGTAGGTGTGTGCTTGTGTCATTCTGACGTGGGATTCTTCAGGGAAACTTTTTCGTGTCTTTGCATGTGCGTTTTACTTTGTGTGTGAAAAGGACGAACTTGGTGTTCGACATAGAGGTTCTGTTCAAACGTCTTGATCTCAACGTTGCGGATTATGGGGGCAGGACGCGTCTGCTGGCTTCCCTGCCGCTGCCCATAGACAGTGGGGATTTTGTTGCTCGTCCTCCTCTGCATCCGCAGCAGCAGCAGCAGCAGCACGATGCGGTGACTGCAGCAGCAGCAGCAGCGGCAGCAGCGGCCGGAGCGCCTGCAGGTGTCAGGGGGCAGGTGCAGCAACAGCAGCCTCCCCCCAACCTCTTTGCGGCAGATGATAGGGGTGGCGTTCGCGCGGTAGGATTGATGCAGCAGCAGCAGCAGCGATACGCGGTTGCAGGACTGCAGCTAGACACGCAGCAGCAGCGTCTGCTGGATGCAGCAGCTGCTGCAGCAGCAGCCGCTGCAGCTGCAGCGCAGCACACCCCTGGAGGGACGCCGGGGAGAGCCGCGAATGCTGCTGCTGCTGCTGCTGCTGCACAGCAGCAGCAGCAGCAACAACAGCTGTTCGTTGATGTGATGCCGAGGGTCGACACGGCCGCTGTGGTTGCAGCGTCTGCAGCAAGACGGGGTGGCGGTGCAGCTGAATCCTTCGCTCCTGCAGTCTCGACGTCTCATGTACATAATATATATATATATATACAAATACAAATACCCCGCCCCCCGTGTTTCCCGTTATGTTTGCTGCTTTCTGGTTTTCTGCTGCTGCTGCGTTTTCGTTTTTGTGCGCGTTTTTGCTGTGTGTGAATGCACATACACGCCTGTAAGTGAGGGCTGCGTAGATGCCGGGAAGCTCAATGAAAGTCTTCTTTCGAGGGGTATGTGGCTGTGGTCTGCGTGTTTTTTGCGTGTTAATACTGTGCAGGCTCTATGGGTATCAGGAGGGGGTGGAGGCACCCCTTTGGCTTCGGAGGGCCCTGGGGAGGAGCAGCTGTTGAATTCGCTGCGTTCCTGTGTGGTGATTTCGCCGTCAATTGCATTGTTCGCGCTGCAGCCTTCCCTCAAGGCTGTGGTTCCTGTGGCAGTGGATCGTGCAATTAGGGAGATCATCTCTGCGGTTGTCGAGCGATCGGGTAAGAAACCAGCGTTCTTTTTGCGTGCCCTGTTCGCAGTGGCTGCTTGGCTCTGTCTCTCCCGCTGTTTGGTCCAGACGCATCCTGAAACGAGGACTGCAGTGTGGATAGGGGCAGTGTTTCGGGTGGCGTTCTGGTAGTCTGCTGCTGAAGGGGCGTGTTTTAGTATTCGGAAGGTGGCAGGCAGGAGCGTACGGCAAGTTCAAATTCGGCCATGTAATGACGTTTTGTAACTTTTGTGTTTTTGTGCCGTGAGGGGTGGGGGGGCGGGGTAGGAGGCTTTGAGCATGTATTATGCAACCCGTCCATAGGGTTGGCTCGGCAAAAACTGGCAACCCGGTGTTGCATGCATGCTGGCGTAACGGAGAAGGGGACTGCAGCATTTGCTGAGGCTTGTAATCCACCGCCTTGCCATGGTTTCCGTATGTGCGGTGCTTGTGTGGTGTGGGGTGCAGTATCGATTTCGTGCGTAGCAACACGCGAGCTCGTGACAAAGGACTTTTGCTTGGAGCGCGAGGAGGCTCTGGTGAAGCGTGCTGCTCATCTTATGGTGGCCTCTTTGGCTGGTTCTCTGGCTCTTGTGACGTGTAGGGAGCCGCTTAGAGTCTCTCTTACGCAGCATCTGCGGCAGCTCCTGCAGCCCGCGAATGCCAAAGACGATGCTGACCAGGTGCGCTTGGGGAACGTGTTGGCTTGGTCTTCAAATGCTTGTTTCGAGAGACGAGGTGGTTTGGAGAGTCTTGTGCTCTGCAGCTGTCAGGGAGCAGCGCTCGCGTGCGGCTTCAGGAGCATGTATGTGTATGTATTTATGTATGTGTGGTGCATGTGTATGTCTATATGCATGTGTATGTCTATATGTATGTGTATATTTATGTGTCTGTCTGTGTATGTGTGTATGTATATGCATGTGTCTGTCTCTATGTGTGTGTGTATATGTCTATGTAGGTGTATGTATATGTCTGTCTATGTAGGTGTCTGTCTGTGTATGTATATGTATGTCTATGTAGGTGTCTGTCTGTGTATGTATATGTATGTCTATATTTATGTGTCTGTCTGTGTATGTGTGTATGTATATGCATGTGTCTGTCTCTATGTGTGCGTGTATATGTCTATGTGTATATGTATATGTATGTCTATGTAGGTGTCTGTCTGTGTATGTATATGTATGTGTATATTTATGTGTCTGTCTGTGTATGTGAACGTCTGTGTATATGTATATGCATGTGTCTGTATGTGTATGTCTGTGTATATGTATGTCTGTGTATGTGTATGTTTGTGTGGGTATTATATATTTTTATTTTTTTTCACGTGGTTGCGGCGGCAGACGGGGCCCTCCTTGGAGGATGCTTCCCGCCGTGTTGCTGAGAGCCACAATGAGGAATTTGTAGAGCTTCTGGGGCTTGAGTCCATCTCTTCTTGGTTTGCACGTGACGAGCGCTTTTTGTGCAGGTGCTCATAGAACAGGTGGTACAGGTGGTGGGGTCGGACAATCTGGATCTCGGCTGTGCATTGATAGAACAGGCCGTGGTGGAGAAAGTTCTCAGAGATGTGGAATTAGCGCTGGGCCCAGCTCTCGCGGCGAGGAGGCATGCAAGAGAACGAGGCGTTCCTTTCGTAGACTCCCACTATTTGCACAGCAGCAAGTGGCCGCTGTCTCTCCCCGAGCCTCTGAAGATAAGGCCTTCGCTGTGCAACAGGCAGCTGCAAGTGTACAAGGATTTCATGGCGCTAGGGACCCTCCGCAAGATGCAGCAGTCTGCTGCTGCCGCCGCTGCAGCACAGCAGCAGCAGCAGCATCAACAGCAGCAGCAGCACCATCAGCAGCAGCAGCCACCGCACCAGCAGGGAGCACTCACTGCTGCTGCCTCGCAAGGGGTATCCGCCGCAGGAAGCCTTATGCGGCAGCAACAGCAGCAGCAGCAGCCCTCCTTCGCTGCCTCTGCTGCTGCCGCCAGGGCTTTGCAGCAGCAGCAGCAGCAGCAGCAGCTGGACCTCTCAAAGCTTCGAGGCATCACCGCTGCACACGATGCAGAACTGCAACAGCAACAGCAAAAGCTGCTGCTGACAAGGGGCCTGGCGACAACTTCACCAGCCGCAGCAGCAACCACGATCCGCGAGCCGCTAGCGATACCTCCTGTGGGCAGTCTGAGCAGCTCGGAGGTGTTGCTGCGCTTCGAAGAATGCATCGCGCTCTTGAGAGAGGAAGTTAAGGCCGTTTTCGCTTGCCCCCCCGTCATGCCGTCCAGCCCTCATCCAGAGAAGGTAAGGGTTCCTCACTTGCGTGGCTGTCGCTGCGGCTCTGTGCGCGTCTGGCCGCACCTCCTTGCCATAGCTTTAGAGGGGCACTTTGCCAGAGCTCAGTTTGACAGGCTTTCGATGGATGCAGCGTGCTGGTGCTCCTCGTTCCCCCAGGCAGACAGGCTGAGCCAGGGGATGCTGTGGGCTTCTGTGCCTGTCTGCGGTGTATCTACAGTTCTCGTGGCCGGCGGGATGTCGTGCAGCGGCTACACCCGTCCCTCGTTGCAGCACTCCTGCGCTAATGGTGGCTGCCTGTTTGCCGTCCGATGCGGAGCTGCTGATGCTCATGCGCTCTTCTTTGGCAATAGCAGCAGCCGCGGCAGACCAGCAGGAGGCAGCACCTCTCATTGCGCATAAGCTCATCAAAGCCACGCTAGAAAGTGCAGCAGCATCGCACTCAAGACCCGCCCACTCGCCCATCCGCGGTGTCGAGCCTGTTTGTAAGTTGAAAAACGCCATGATCGATGTCTGTGACTTGTCTGTCGATCTGCCACTGTTCGCTCCTTTGAGCCTCTCTCGCTGTACTTGAGCGTCCTCTGTGGTCTTCCTTGCTCTCCGACTTCGGTTTCCTGGCTTGCTGAGTGCTAAAGTTTCTCCAAAGACTACGATTACGCGGTGTTCATCCGTGCATGTATGTACGCATTTATGTATGTATGCATGTATGCATTTACATATGTATGCCTTTATGTATGTATGTATGTGCATGTGTACTGTGCTTCGCCGTCCTGGATCTTGTATTCTTTTATTTCTGTTTGTTTCCACTGCCGTGTATCATCGTGAATGTGCCTAATTCGCGTTCCTTCCGTGTCTTGGCTATTTACTCTTGCCCTCTGGCACTGATGGTAGCCCATCGGTCCTCTTTTCTTCTAGGCCTGCCTGTTCGCCTGCTGGTTGCATGGATAGTAATACGCTTCCCTCCAATCTTTTGTGTCTTCTTCTTGTTTGTTGCAGCGCTGCACGTGGAGGTCTTCTCCTCGTTGCTTGAGGGACTGCCATCACGGGGAGCCGAAATACGGAAGCTGTGTCTCGATGTGCTCACACTGACATGCACAACGGCCGCAGCGGCAGCAAATAACGCTGCTGCTGCAGCAGCGGCGGCTGCAGCGGCAGCAGCGGTGGGCAGCGGCAATCCTGCACTGGCAACACCCCCAGGATCTACTGCGATTGTCGCTACAGCAGCAGCAGCAGCGAGTGGTGGTGGGACGGCACCAGCTGCCCCCCGTCGCAGCAGCGTGGCAGTTGCGGCTGCTCTGCTGCGGCATAAACTGGTGCTGCCTGCGGATGTCGATGGCTTTCTTGCATCGGAGATTCGGAAGGGGCCGAGACATCCAGGAGCTCTCGAGTTTGCTGTTGCGCTGCTGCGCCTACTCCATGAACAGTATTGCTGCAGGGAGGCCGAGTGGCCACACACAACAGCGGCTATTGCTGCAGCTGCGCTCACGCCGGAGCAGCAGTACATTGGAGAATCAAAAAACAAGTTGCTGGAAGCTCTCAAGACGGATAACACCCCAGTAAGTTGCAGCCCAGCGTGCTGCTGCCTTACATGCCTGCGGTCGATACCTTGGGTGCGTCATGCATCTTGGTTTCGTGGATGTGTTTGTGTGTGTTCATGTGTATGGGTGTTTATGTTTATGTGTGGTCATGCTTATGAATGTTCATGTTGATGGGTGTTTATGTTTGTATGTGTTCATTTCGATGTATGTTCATGTTTATGTGTGTTTATGTTGATGGGTGTTCATGTTTATGGATGTTCATTTCGATGGGTGTTCCTTTCGATTTGTGTTCATGTTTTAGGTGTTTATGTTGATGGGTGTTCATGTTTAGATATGTGTTTATGTGTGTTTATGTTGATGGGTGTTTATGTTTAAGTATGTGATGAGATGCATGTTGGGTTGCTTGTGCGCCGGCTTGGGGTTTGTGTTTTTTTTCAGGATGAGCCAATAGTTTATACCTTGCTATCGCTGCTGCAGCAGCATCAACAGCAGGAGCAGCAGCCTGTCGTGCGTCAGTTGGCATGTCTGCCTCGAGTGTCTCCTCAGCAGCAGCAACTTGTGGAGCGCGTATTTCGGGACTGGTTGCTTTTGTGTGCGGCTACCTCGGGGGGTGGTGCAGCGGCGGCAGCGGCAGAACGCAGTTTTGTTGTACGGGCGACTTTCTTTCAGCGCGTGTCTCATCAGGGCCTCCTGCGAATGGACGAGCATACGGACAGATTCTTTGCGGTGTCTTTGCGGTTAGCTGTTTCTGCGGCTGCTGCTCCCTTGGAGTCTCCAGCCGCCCCTCCTGCGGAGCCTGCAGGGGTGGCAAGCGCAGAGGCTGCAGCAGCTTCGGCATCTGCTGCAGAGGAGGGTGCAGCGGCAGCGGGTGTCGCCGTGGCTCCCAACCAGCAGCAGCAAGAAGTACGAGAGATGGCTGTCTTCAGCATCGACGCTTTTGTTCGAATGATTGCTGGAATGATGCTGCTTGTCGACCCAAATCAAATATCGCCGGTCACGATTCTTCAGCGGGCAACAGGCATTATCTGCAGGGCGATACACCAAGAAGCGGAGGTGCAGCCGTCGCGACAGCAAGGAAGCGGCGCAACAGCAGCACCGGCTGCCGTTGGAACTGCTGTAGCAGTTCATGGCAGCCATGGAGGGCTGCGGCAGCGGCCCTTCTTCCGCATTTTCTTGCTGCTTCTGCGAGAGCTGGTAGTTGAACCGGAAAGTCGTGGTCAGGAGAAGCAGTCGCTTCCTTGTCTGCTTACGCTGGCAGAACGCATGATCCTGCTTTCTCCCCTGCGCGTTCCAGCCTTTGCCTTCGCGTGGCTTGAGTTCGTTGGACACCATCTGTTTCTGCCGCGGCTGGCGAGACACAGGCGCTCGTGGGGTCTCCTCCAGAGATTGCTCGTAGAGCTCTTCCTCTTCTTGAAGCCTTTCATGCTGCGAGAGCAGCTCACCCCTGCAACTCGGCTGCTCTATAGGGCTGCCTTGCGCCTGCTCCTGGTGCTGCTGCACGATTTCCCTGAGTTCCTGTGTGACAACCATTATGCACTTTGCGAGGCCTTGCCACTCAACTGCATTCAGCTGCGAAACCTAATCCTTTCGGCGTTTCCAAGGACCATGAAGCTTCCAGACCCCTTTCTTCCGAATCTGAAAGTCGATCTCTTGCCCGATATCAAGGTGGCACCCCGTGTGCTGTCACCCTATTGCCTTCTCCTGTACAAGACAGGTCTCAAGCAGCTGCTTGATGCCTTCTGCGTCTCCAGATCCCCTGCACTGCTCCCACAGCTGTTGCGGCTACTCCAGCTGCCACCCGAGAGAGCCGTTGCTGCAGCCACAAAATACGACCTGCCCCTCCTCAACGCTTTCCTCTTATACCTGGGCACAAACACTCAGGCCAGGGCGCAGCCTCCCGTTCAGCAACAGCAGCAGCAGCAACAACAGCAAGGGACAGGAGGAAGCGCAGAGGGTGCTCCCGCACCGTTGCCTGCAACAACAAGCCCGTCTCAGGAGATCCTCTTATACGTTTTCAGGGAAACAGATATGGAAGGCCGATACCTGCTTCTGTCTGCTATCGCGAACCACTTGAGATACCCGAATGCGCACACGCACTACTTCTCGTGCCTCCTCTTGTGGCTGTTTTCTGACAGCAGAAACGAATTCGTTAGGGAGCAGATCACAAGGGTCTTGCTGGAGAGGCTTATTGTGCATAGGCCCCACCCATGGGGTCTTCTAATCACCTTCATTGAACTCATCAAGAACCACAGGTGCAGCGGAATTTCACGCTGTAGTACAAGAATAGAGCGATGCGGGGGGAGGGATCGGTGAAACCGTGCCGAAGGCAGGGCAGCGCGTATGCATGTACGCAGGTGTGCATGTTCTATGGTGTATATACTGTGTCGTTCAATGCTTTTTTTCATCTTTTTTTATGGTGCAGGTTTAATTTCTGGAGCTGCTCCTTTGTTACTGCTGCCCCCGAGGTGGAGAAGCTCTTCCAGTCCGTGGCGGATACCTGTCTTAACCAAACCTCTGATCAGCAGCAGCAGCAGCTGGCACAGCCAGCTCGCTAAACACACTGCTCGCAGAGAGCAGAGAGGCACTGCGGGCTGTAAGTACAAGCACTCCGCGGGCGGCCGCTCTCTGTGCTTCGTTTCCCTATCTTTATTTCGCGTGGTGGCTGCTTTGGCGGCAGCAGCGAGGTGCTGTGGCTGCATTGCTCCTGTTGCCTTGCTGGGACAGTTACGCATATGTGAGCTGGCGTGTCTGCGTATAAATGGGGAGGTTTACGTCGGTCGGCTCAACAGCAAAGCAGCAGAAGCGAGGTGCCGCTACTGCCGCTGCAATAGCATCTGCGCTGCTGCAAGCGAACTGCATGTCGCGGAATGTAGAGGTCGTAATACGGAGTATATCCTGTGCCTTCGATTGCTTCCTGTTTCTTCTGCTCGTTGCCCATCACGCTTAGCTGCCCTGCGCGCATCCTGTGATTGGGATGGGTGCCTGGGGAGGCAGTGTCTCCTCCATCTGTCAGTTAAGATTCAATACAACCAATGCTTTCTTCTTTAGGTCCCTGCAGTTGTTTAGTTGCTACGTTTCCTGCTAGGAGAGAACAGCCCCTTCAGGGCAGCGCAGCAGCTCCGAAGTAACGATAAACCACAGCGATGCCAGCTTGGCGCCGTTCGGAGGCTTTACTGATTCCACAAATTCTCTTAGCTCTCCGTATAAGAATGTATCCATGACCCGGGAGATCCCCAGTCTACCTTTGCCCCTTGGATCTCGCTGTTTTCTTCAACGCCTTCAATTCAGATGCCCTCGATTCAGACCCCTATGCCGCTCATCACTAATCTGCAACAACTGCGGTTGTGGCTGGCTACGGGCCTGCCCCGCATGCAGAGCCACTTCTGTGGCCCTGTGCGCCAGCCGCTGCATGTTATTGCACAGCTAGCTATTGTTGGACGCACACGCGTAATTTCCTGGAGGATCTTGTGGGACCGTCGGCCCCTGTTGCAGATTGGAGGCTTTAGCTTCGGCGGCTTGCCTCTAGGCGTACATTGGTGCACGTGGGTGGCTGCTCCGCCCTGTATCCTTTGGCTTGTGTCGTCTTCTTTGGTCAGGTGGGGTTCATGGGTAGACGACATTTTTAATGAAGTTCCCCATTTTTAGCTTAATACTCTTTAGTGGGAAAAGAGATAAACGGGTTCAAGGACTTCCGGTTGGTGTGCCTCGCTTCGAGGAGGGGAATTTGTGGCTACTGTTGCTGCCTCTTAATAGACCTGCTATGATTCAAAGAGGTCCGGACCACAACTGTCGGATTCGTGGATCCTACCTGTGCGCGGTTTTTACAGTACAACGCTATTTCTTATTAGATGAAGTCGTATAACAAGGCAGAGGCAGTCTTCCTTTTGTCCTTCCTCACGGTCTGACTGTGCTCTGCCCAAGATTCAGGTCGGAGGTGTCCGACCATCAAATAGCAGTCTAAATTCGAGCCAGATGCTTCATACTTCCTCCCCGAGCCAGCACCTCCCCTTTACATGGTGAGGCCCATTCGCCACGCTATTAGGTGTATATGTGGAGCAGGACTGTTGGTTCCACCAGTGCTGCTTTTGCGGTTCCTTGTTGCAGGAAAAATATGCTACTGGACTCTCAGGTAAACAACATAAGCACACCACACTGTTATTGTATCTTCCTCTCTCTAATAGGCCTTCTCACCATTAAAAGCAGTGCAGTGTTCTCACAAGTGTAGCTGTCTCTCTCGTCTTAGCTAGCCTTTCTTAACCAGCATCTGTCCGAGACAGTGTATCGCAGTCCCTTGAACTAACATAGGGAAATTCGAAAAACAAGCCTTGCCGCCATGAACGCATAGAGTACTAGTTTTGGCTGTACACTACCTTTTTTTGTTAGCTAGTCTATCTAGGCGTTCGTGAATTTTCGCCTCTTTTAAGTCCTTCCTAATTCCAGACAAGGGGCTTATTCACCTTCTCAGAACAGACACTGGCTGACGGAGGATAATCGTCTCGTCTTATCTTGGCTGCATATCTCATTCAGTATGAGCAATAAAAGGCATTTTTTATCAGTGTTTTACTCTCTTTGAAGGACTAGGATGTATGAATATGCTTCCCGCTGTCTGCGTGTCCAATGGCTAGGTCTGCTTCCCAAAGTAAATGTATTTGAGACGGAAAATACAAGATCATAATCTTTTGTTGAGCTAGATTGCAGCAGCTTCTACACCATCTAAGCCTTTATTTGCTTCTCTGAGTGTGACGCTCCTCTTTTCACCAGGAATCGATCGCTAGTGCAGGGCAGCGGCGGCGATGGTCTGTTGCGGGAAATTCTTGAAAGGTGTTCGATCCTCACTCATCTCTATCATAGCTTTTTGTTGAAGCTTTCACAACGAGAGTTGTTTTCACTTCAGCATGTTTTTGGCAGAAGGAAGGAAAGGCTGGATACTTCTTCTGACTGCCTCGAGAGAACCACCAAGAGACAGCGACCCTCAGACACAATGATCGACGACCGAGTTCCTGCTTTCCATTTGCCTTTCTACCAGGGTAGGGACAACACAGTTCAATTTAGATGTGAGAGTCAAGGGATGAGGAACAGACTTCAAAAGGTCTTCCAGGAACAGAGCGTGCTCATCTATCTTCAACTTTTTGCACGGAACATCGTGGCTCCCAGTTGAAGGCGTACTTCGAGCCCCTCTACTCATTGCGTTTCCATTTAATAGACTTTGTACTGCGTGTGCCGATTTGTGTGTCTTTGATCTTCCATGCCTTTCCGTGTCAGTGCCCCCGTGCTTTCCACCACCCCTCCGCTTCTGTGCCGCACTTCTGTTCTTATAAGCGCTTGACCACTCAAATTTGCATTCCTCAACCTCTCTAGCAGCTTGGCGACCGGATGATCTCCTGTCTGCCTGCCTATTCTTGGCGCGGTCTTTGCAGTTTCTGAGACTTGCTGCCTGCAAATCTGCCTCCGTACCAGCATCCAGTTCTACTGCTTGACAAACCTACCTTCCTCTTTTGGCCACGTTATTCAGCCCCCGGCTGTGTAAGTGTGCTTGTGTGCCCTCTTAGGAGGGCCTCATTCGCGTCAGAACACCGAGAATCTGCGGTCCTTTCCTCGCGCCTACACTTGCCCAACGTACGGCACTGAATGGAACGGCGAACAGTTTTATCAACCACAGAATCACCATCAACACCAGCAGCAGCGAGCGGCAGACGTTGCTGGCTACTTAGGATACGCTTCTCTGGTTAACGAGGCCACCAAGAACCCCTTCATAGGCCCTCCTCAGGTATGCCCGCTACAGATCGGATATGGAACCCTTTAGCCATGTAGAGCTAACGCATGCACAATGACAGGAAAGTGGACTGTGGCATGCCCATTTGTCTGTGTCTATGCGCATACTGGGGTATTATAGACAGCTAATGCCAAATAGTACACCTGCGAGGACGCACGAGCAAATTCGAATGATGTTCGCTTGTAGGTGTCTGGTGCTGCTGCAGAGTGTAGGGCTACTCTCGGTCCTTAGTGCAGATCATGGCTTTCAGAAGAATCCGGAAGGACCTGTCGTCAATGCATCCGATGGAATACGCGCGAATTCTAGTAAAGGCGCGCACCGAAGGAGGCAGAACAAAATATACCTATGCTGCGGATTGCTGAAGTAGAGTCAGAGGCCTACAGCATGAGTGGCACTGTTGGGTCGGCAGAAACAGCAGAGGCAGCGGAATATGCGCAACATATGCTGTGTAATCAGTGACCCCGCGCCTCCAATAATTCAGGAGCGGGACAAGCAGTAGCAGTTCTAGCAGGAGTAGCACTGATCCAATTTTCGTTGGAGTGATAACAAAGGAGGAAGGCATGGCTGCCCTCGCTGCTGTGCAGCAACTAAAGGGCGCGAGTGCTGCGCACAGTTGCTTGCACCACATTTGAGTGTATGCACTCTTGAGGCCTTTGGCATTACGGCCTCGTTCTTTAGTTTCTTGACTCGTGGCCTTACATAAGCAAAGCCTTTGCAGAGCACACGGACGCCTGTCCCTCCCTTAGTCGTGGGCTGTATATCTGGCTAGGCACGTCTGTTGCATTATACAGTAACACAGCTATTGAAAAGACGAACAAGCGGAAGCCGAGAAACAGCCCCTCAGGGCCCCCTAGGAGTCCCTCACTCCCTGGCTTCGCACAGTAGCGCAGTACCCCGCAATGTCCACTTGGCAGGGGGCTCTGTGGTCGGCAATGGCACGGAAGTCACGCAGCCGCCTGGCACAGCAAACGCAGCAGTAGGAACAATAGCGCAATGTTTTCGGCCACCCAGAAGCTTACGAATGCTGACACTGTGGCACCAGCACTGGTATATGGCCATCGGTTACTTGTGGTAAAGCGGGGAAAGAAGGAAGGGGCTAGGGAGAAATCGGCGGAAGAGCCTACCAGCGCCGCTTCGTGCAGCCGTAGCGTATACTGGACAAGTGTAAGTAGCTTCCTGTTGGTCTTTTATTGTGTCTGACTCCAAAACTGCCGGCTTTAGCAGTATTACGGGAAAGGGCTGGATTAACTGAGACACGAGTTCCTCAGAAAGCAGGCCCAACTCGTAGTCCCAGGCCCCTCCTTCTAGCAACAATCCGTGTACACACACTCCAGATGCTTCTGCGATTGGGGCGGGCTTCAGGAGCCTGCGCCACACAAATTGCTCATCTGTTAATCGGAAACCCTATCACCAATGATCCCCAAGCCACGTCAAACTATATTCGCGGCCAAAATGATAATTGCTGTGCGAAAAATAACGCACATCTCAGGGCACATGCAACATCCCTCCATTGAAAGCTACCCAAAATTTTTATTGCGTAGTAAAAACGCTCCTCCTCCTAAAGTTCCTCAGCGCCTCTCTGGAAACCCAGCTAAACCACATTGTTGAGATGTTACTTTAGAGGTTTACGCTCATTATTATGCATGCGACCTTCCCCCTGTCCCTGCCTGCCTTCCTCTACGCCTTTCTGGTTTCACATTATGTTCGGAGAAACCCAAAACTCACGAGGGATCGTTAGATGCCATAAACGCAAATGTAATATGCAGCATGTCGACAGCCACACGTTGCTGCCTCGCAGCGCGCTGCACTACTGCAGCCATAAATCCACGAGGATAATAGAATCCAGGCAACCAGTAAGAGGGCGGTGCCCCACCGGACTCAGAGCTCCAGTGGATGCTCGTTCCCTCAGAAGAATAGCGCGAAACAACAGACACACGCCTTTCCAAGTCGTCTGCCCAACTTGCCAGGGGCCTGAGGGAGGGATACGCGGCTGCTGCCCATGGGGAAGGTACCTGAAGCGTATACGCTTTAGCCAATCGCGAAATGTGCATACCCCAACCTTTAGGGGCGTGAGGGTCTCGTATGCTAAGGCAAGAAAGAAACAAGAGAATATGAGTCAGAGCCGCATACAGCTGGCCTGCAAAAAAAGCAAAAATTAAAGATCCAAGAGCTAAGGCCTAAGGCTCGCCTGGTTCTTCCTGAGGGCCTCAAAGATGGAGTCTGTCTCTGGGGAGAAAGCTACAAAGCCCCTGATAGCAAGTTTTAACTGCTCCAAGGTTCGGCAGACAAGGCTCAGTAGCTGGGAGAAACGGGCCACCTCTTGAGAGAAGAAAACACCTGAACAGAGGGCTTTGCATAGCACTCAATGCTGTATCTCAAGCCTGCCGTCTACCCAGCGAACACAGGGCGAAAAAGGACAGTCGGCAAGAACAGGGCAGAAGCCCTGGCTTGAAGGCTGGGGGAGCAGCTCCTACCCAATGAATCCTGTAGGGTGTCCTCTTGTTTCATGTGACTCCCTTCTGGGAGAGCTGGTTCTTCGTCCCTCGCTGCAGCGATCGCACTTGAAACGTCCGGGACTGGGGGAGCCAGGCCTCCAGAAAGGCAGCCAGAGAGGCGCTGGAGTAGAATATCTGCCTGTTGGAGCACGAGTTGTTCGATTGCCGCTCCGAACACCCCAGGGGCCTCCCTACTGCGATGTATGCAAAAGACAGAAAACTCACGCAGGCTGTAGCGAGGCGGGGAAAGAAGGGAGAACAGATGAGGGATGTCCCATATGTTCCCCGCAGCCCCACACGGTGCCTATCCTGTAGAGAAGCAGACCTTTGTTTTTTGCATATATTGGAAAAATAGACAGTGCAGTGGCATCAAAAGCAGGGACAGAGCAGGTACAGCGGAGCGGGGGAGAGGCCGGTAGAGCTAGAAGCTGAAGTGGCCATCTAAAGTTAAAAAACGAAGAGGCAAGGGGCTTATGAGGGAAAGGCCAGCTCATGAAGAACGGACATGAGACAGAGGCCAAGCTATACCAAAAGAGCATTGTGGACAGAGAGGAAGGAGCTAATGATGGCTGAGAAATGCAGGGAGATGCTGACTTGATCTGCATGCCCTGTAGGCACTGCAGGAGCTCCTCGCCTTGCGCTCTTTCCAGCCGAATTGTGGCAGAGGCCGGAAGGCCAAACATCTCAGTGGATTGGTCAAACCTAGAGTGAACGAATGCCGCAACTGTTGCATCGTCCTCTCCAAATGGCACGACCCCAAAACCTGTGCATCAACCACAAACCACCAGCCTTTAATTTTGAGCGTAAGTACATCCAGGATTTCAGCAAGGACATCATTTACAAGGCTACAAACTGGAGGACTCGTCATACAAGTTATCCCGCTTAATGCTAAGAGCTCGCACTCAGCCTTCAGCCTAGACCCTGCCGTGAATATAGAGGCAGCTAAACTTCAGTGGGGGATCTTGATACCCTTCAACCCCACATGCAGACCTCGGTTTGCTAGCGCGTGCTGGTCGTAGAGAATGTTTTCTTGGAGGATGGCCTCAGTCATACATTTGAGACATTTTTCATCCCATGCATCTGTTACCCGGCCTCCGTATGTGACTTCGCACATCAGCCGGCGCAGGGGACCCATGACCAGCTCTGGGGACCCTCCTACTGAGTTAAAGATACACTTCAAGAGGGTCAGGGAGGCCCAAAGGTCAGCGGAGCCAAAGCGATATGGAATGTTCCAACCGATGGAGCCAAAGGAGCTGCGCTCCTGAGAAAAACAACGCGAGGTATTGCAGCCTCTCGCTTGCTTTCGAAGTCCACAGCCATGCTTCACATGAGCTTATGTATACACGCATGCATATGAATACACGACGCATCTATAGATTGCATATGAATATATATATATATATATATGTACATATATATATATGCGCTTGTGAAAGTGATATCGCAATACAAGATACATACACTACAAATAGTCCATACAGAGTATAGTACCCTAAAACACTTGCCCGATTCGCACAGCAGTCAAAGCTGTAGATAAGATTGTGTAGCCAGATTCGTGCTTGCATGTGTGCCTAGAAGAATAGCAACTGCCCGTGTATACACAATTTTGCCTCAAATATAAATAGTATGTAGGTGCATCAACACAGGTTCATACCGCCCCATAACAAAGTGCATATATTTTCATGAACAGATATTTAAGCGTGTCTGTATGTAGGATAAAACGCATCGCTTTACAGGCTTGCCTGTCATACACGAGAGTGAAGCTATGCATCTATTGTGTACTGACAGCTTCTTGGCATTCAGGATTTCTGCTTTAGATGAGGTGTGCATACAATATCCGTCTGCGTCTGTGAAGGCACATGTAACTCGCAGTGTACCTGTGCTACGGCGTGGAAAATAAGCAGTGCTAGCTTTAAAGACCTCCAGCCGCGGAGCTTCACTTCGTCAGTCACGGCAGCAGTGCTGGGAGCACCAACATGCTGTAAGGAGCCCTGCTGTAAACATGCCCTAAACGATCCCGCACGGGCAAGCACAAACAAAGACTAGAAGCATGTCGATACCCTTTTTTCTATCGGGTAGAGCCGTGTTTGGCAGCTGCGGCGCTGCACGTTGCACCATATGCGTCGATGTTGAGGTGCTTGTCTGAATGTGTAGACAAATGCCAATATGCCCCCGCAAGCACAAATTGCTTGCTTCGGCCACTTTCCTTAAATATGCAATGCTGGCGCAATATGCCACAGGCTCGCTTCCAGCGGAATGAAAAATACAAGGGTCTCAGGAGAGCAGCTTCTCATTGGAGGACAACCAGGTTTGATTAATGTCTCAGACACCAGTGAAATGTGGCAGACTCCGCTACGTGAATGCCTTCTTCTCCAGTATTGTAGCATTGCCAATATTCGACACTAAGCCTACCCGATTCCTCTTGGCTGTTCCAAGGCGTATTTATATGCCCCCTGTAGGACGGACACGGGCAAAATGTCTGTGGGAAGAGAGGTAAGAAAGAGCCTGAAATTCGGGTGCACCTCCATCTCCTTCAGGGTGTTGGAGTTGCCTCGTCTTTCCGAGTCGGATACGGATGAACTGTCCAGGCACTCAATCACTTTGTGTAGCTCCGACATCCAGCTCCGCGCCAAGTGGCAATTCTCCAGCAGCGCCCATCCGCCTTCTCTGCGGGCAAAGGGAAATGAAGCAGCTGTAAGCGCGCAAAGTTCGATAGTATGCTGTAAATTCACACTAAACAGCAGCTGCCGACATCTAGATACCCCATCGATTCCGCTGTTGTTGTATTCATACATCTTGCTGTCATGTTTTTGGCAGAAATAGTGCCAGGCGGTTTTACTCTCGTCAAAAGGGCTAGCAAGTGCTTAGGCTATGCGGCATTTATATTTATATACCTCAAAGCCGTTACTAGGACCCTGGAGGCTTTGGGGCCCTGCCCCCTTCCTAGCGAGATGCAGTCGAATTGGGGTTTGGGATCTTGTTGCTCGGCAAGTGCGAAGAATGACGACGTGGGATCGGTCCCAGGAGAGAGGAGAACCAACAAGGGTCTATTGCTGTTGCAGCGAGACACCACTTCTTCTAGTGAGGGCGGTGTAAACTCCACGTAGGCAGGCCCCAATACCTCCTTCACTACCTCCTGGGCAAAGGCTGCAACCTGTAAGGGCGAAAACCATGATGCAATACACGGCTGCGAATGACTCGTGGAAGGCTCAAAAGTGCAGGCTTACAAGCAGTAGCACTGAGGACTGCCGGAGGCCTTCCTCCCTGTATAGTAAGGCTTTCCGTGTAGAGCTTTCGCTTAGGCCCGCCCAGCGCCATGGGTATTCTCTCTAAGTCGGCAATTCTCATTCAGAGTTCGGGGTTTAGGGTTAAGAATGGCACTCACAGCATCTTCTCTGACGACACTCAGTATTAGCATGGTCTCGAACACCTTGGCAAGAGCCTCTGTCTCTTTCCATAGGGGAGGCGTTCTCTTGTGCACGTCTGTCCTAGTGAGCCACTGCCGCCAGGCACCTCCGTTTGTTAACAAATCATTTGGCAGTTTTTCGAGAGACGCAAGGCGGAGCGTCAGACGGTGTAGCTCCTCCCACTGCCTCTGGGTTAGGACGTCCGGGAGAGGGTTAGGCAGGCAACAATCAGCAGAACCATCCCTAGACTCTGGAGCGTGCAACGAAATCCCCTGAAACAACACGGTGCATGCCTGAATAGACACAGGCGCGCACCAGCAGCGCCAGAACCCAAAGCCTTGTTACTAGAGCAGTGCAGCAGGCATCGTTGCCTCGTAGTCTCAAAACGCAATTCCCCAACCAGGGTAAGCATGTACAAGGCATCATAGCAGTTTATTTTAGGAGGACAGTAGAATGGTTCAGAGCTAAGAGGGACGCAAGGGACCTCTGTGGCTTCAGGATATTGTTCTCTCTTGAGGACCTCTGCTGCTACGGCAAAGGCAAACGGTAGCTTGTGTCGCTCAAAGATTCCAGTGATGGCAAGAGAAAATATAGCTTGCGTGGTGGAGTCCACAAGTGTCTGTATCCTATTGCTGTTTGTTTCGGTTGACACTGCGGTTGTTGTTGCTGTTCTTTTTGTTTGAGAGGGATTAGTAACGTGAGTTCGTTGTTGTTCGGGTGTGGCTGCACTGATGGCTCCAGTGAAGGCTTCTACAAAGATGCTCAGACTTGAGGTGTACATGCAGTCGAGCTTCTTGAGCTCTTGCACCACGAAGAACAAGTACGAGCCCCTGAAGGCGACGGGTTTGAAGGCAGCTCTGGCCTCTTCTACCCGTGTCATTATGGATTCTGCTTGCTGAAGTCTTTCTTTAATCCCATCCACAGTGCTGCGAGCCTGCTGCAGCGTCTCCGTTAGTTGCCCGTCGTCCAGTATGTTCCCCGTCGAGTCCGACAAGAGACGCAGCATAGTCTCCTCCTATCAAACACCAAGTCTTTAAGGGTAAAGTCCTAGCCTTAATTTTAATCCCTATCCGGTACAGTCTTAGCTGAAGACCTCTGTTGGTGACGATGCAAACGCTTTAGATAGTGACACTCTTTGGTTGGCGTGGAGCAGCCCAGCCAAAGTAGCATGTACTCCAAATACGCACGAGCCATACCATTTCTTTAAGATTTTGGCATTTGATTTACAACAAAGCCCAAACGTGCATAATTGATGAGTTAAGATGTGAGAGATATACGAGTTCTTGTAGCTGTCTTTGGTCCGTGGCGTTGCGTATTTGTATTTGCGTCTTCTGCTGCTCGGCGTCAGGGTTTTCCAACAAGACTACTTCCGCCAATAGTTGAGCCTCAAGCCCTTCTCGCGTTACCGAGAAGTTTACTAAGCACACCTGAAGCCCAAAACCTAGAAGCCTAAGATCTTTGACTCAGTTGGCTAAACGAATGACACTGAACGAAGCCGCACGACCTTTGTGTACCCTTGGATTCTACGCGTACGGGAATGCTGTGCAGGCTTCAGAGGCTCAACTCTGTCTGATATGTACGAAGGCCAAAGCAGCCAGTAAGACCTATTAACAGCCAACGATTGCTGTGGATTCGTAAAGAAGTAAGGCTCCTGAAGATTATGGCCGTTTGTGTGCGAACTTGGGGCTTGTACCTGCATTGCAACCTCTGGGAGGTAATGCGGGTTTTCAAGCTTCGTGGAAAACATAAGTCGAAAGTGAGAGTCCTGCTGAATTTCCATTCCCCCGAGCATTACCGTTGTAGGGTCCCTGGATGTCACCGGACGTCGTATAGGTAATTGCAATAGAGCAGCAAACATTGGAGGTATATCTTCCTCTATATCCTCTACCTGAATGTACAGCAGCAATCATGTCTTGACTGGACGCCCTTACAAGGTTTTGACTGCAATTACTAGTCGCGCATGTATCATTGCACCACAGGCAGAATCTTTCGACTTTTTATTATGGACTAGGATGAGTGGTGGCCCACGAGCAGGGGCTGCCCTAGTCGGACGCAGGACGTGAGGATGTTGTGGAGCTTGTGTGTTTGGAGAGACACGACTTTGAGGCCATCCTCTTTCCCTTTTGCTTTAAGCCACCTTTTCGCTTGCTGCTGAGGGTCTACTGCCAAGGGCACCCTCCCGATGGAAAGCGCAGCGGAAACAACAATCCCACTAAATGTCGAAGACGCATCACCAGGCAATCCCTAAAAAGATTTACCCATACACCCAATTCAATCTTTCTGCGGCCTTTGTTTCTGCAAGCTTTTGCCCCATTGTCGCTTTGATTCATGTTGCGTATGCGGATATTGCTGCAGTTGTGGATGCTCATGAGGTCGCAACAGAAATATCAAAAGCCTTCGCAGCGTTCCAGTTGGTACTGCGGAACGCCGCAAAGCTATTTTGCTTGAAAGCAGAGTGCCTACCTGCATATGCCACTCATTCAGCTCAATCGGGTTGGACATTATCTCTCGGATGTCAAAGCTTGGGTTGTGGGGGAGCTGCTTCTGCCGCAGCACTTGCTGCCAATACTCCAGCAGTCTGTCTCTGTAAAAGCCGGTGAAGGGTCCTAAGTAGATGATGCTGGAAGCTGTTAAAAGGACGTCCCCTTCCAGTGACTCCAAGTGCTGTGCTGCAGTGGAAAGAGAGTCCCTCCAACGAACCTGAAGAAAACGAACAAACGTTCACCCCCAACTCCGAACTCTCTGCAATTGGATAGGCAGCCAAAGGGTTCTGTGCCCGTGTGTTCAGGATGATGTGTGCTGGCTTTCGCTTGATCCAACTGTCCGTGCGCTGCAAGTACGAGCCTGTCCTTCGGGGTCAAGGCGAGGGCTAGGGCATAGGGAGGCACACCGCTTCCTCGGCGAGCCCCTTTGTAAGGAAGCTGGCCCTTTGGAGTCGTGTTTGACACAGCCTTGTTTCTTGTTCCAAGGATTCCTTTTCCCTTATCTGCTGTTGCAGTTCCAATTCCATTTCATCAACCTTCGCCTCCACCGCACGGCAGCGCGCTTGAGCCTCGCGCAGAGCTTCGTCAGCCTCGGCGAGCTATGCATACACTCCAACGTGCGCACGGCAGCAAGGAAATTCGGATTTAAGGATTGACGCCTTGGCATTAAGATGTAGCGTTTCCTGTGAGGAAGTGCCGTTTAGGGTGCAACCTTGTGAAATACTGATTCTCCTTAGAATTAAGGGCTTGAAATACGCACCTTTTTATTAAGTTCTTCTACTTTCATCCTCTTGGGCTCGACCTCCTTGGATATCTTTGCATATTTGTTGATAGCCAAAACCCACATGCAAAGGGACATTGCCGCAACCGACTGCTTCCCAACCACTTCAGGCGTAAAGTCAGCCCTGGCACGCATGAACACTAGGCTCAAAGCGCTAAACTGCCATTCAAGAATTTCCGCAACCCGTTACCGTGCCTTTGAAGCAAACCTGCATCTTTGGGATGCCGCAAATACAATTCTCATGCAGCCGACGAAATAAGCCGTATGAACATCTGTACTTCAAATGTGTTCAACCAGATGACGATGCATCTGTGACCAACGCAGATACAACTGCCTACAGAAAATCAAAGGCTGAAAAATTTCGACGCATGCATTTGCTAGCTAGCAAGGGCGGCAAAAAACTTTGTGCATGTTTGTTTGTACATGCATCCGTATGTACGCGCAGACACTTCTGAAACAATAAACGTATACTTCGTATATTTATGCATGTTTATGCATATATTGCTGAGGAAGGCACGCCAGACGAAATGCAGCGAGAATATGCAGCAGTTTAGGATTTAACGTGCAGAGTCAAGCCGTCGGGGATACCGTTGAACAATTTTCTCGAGCTTCTTGAGGGTGGCACCAGGAATATGATCTTTGTCGAAAGCCATTAGCCGATTCAAAAATCCTGGGGGCCAGATACAAACCCCAGACCATATGTGCCAAGTTCTTCACATGTATATACACATCTTGGCATGCACCTATCTAAATCGCCGTTGATGACTGGTGAACCAACCAACAACAGCTCCATCTCTCCAAATTGGCAAAGGCCTGTATACACATCCTTAATAAATAGACAAACCTGTATCCGAGAGAACTTTTCTGCATTGTTCCCAGTCTGTCTTTTCGCCTAAAATGGTGCAGACAGCCTCCATAGTTATCATAACGAGAGGCGGTGGCTTGAAGAAAGACTTTATCTCCGTTATATCTCTCTTGTCGAGGGAGTCGAGCGACGCTGCAATTTCGACGCGAAAATGGGGGATGCCGTAAAACATGGCAGGTCTGCATTTATTGGTGCAGTGGAGTGGATTTGAGGTGGAAGTTAAGCGACTCGAATGCTGGTAGATGTGGATATCAATATAAATTTGCGATGCGCGGCCAGAGCGGCCACGGACGACTGTCCAGCACAAGAAGTTATGTAGTGAAGTGTAAAGCGTGTATTTCTTTGTGTGCAACTATTCACTGGGCTACGGGTATAGTGCGTATCCCCATCAAGCCACACTCATTAACGTTCTACGCTCTAGCACCGATTGCTATTTGGTAGGCTGAAGGCTGTAGGGAATTGTGTTCAGAGCTGAAGCTCATAAATGACGGTTCACCGAGGGCTGCCTCAAGGGCTGGCATTGCTTCCTCAAATTCGTGCTGGGCCTCTGCTTGAAGTGCAGAGGCTTCTCTTCGCTGCTCCCCCACAACCTCTTCCTCTAACATAACCTTCTTCCTTTCGGCATCAACCAGGGCCTTGTCTGCCTCAACTTGCTGCGTACGACAACCCCGACATTTACGCTTCCAAGCTTTACACGGAGAACGCGATTATCTGGGTCGAAGGTCAGAGTGAATGCCTGATGCGGCGAGAAGCGTAGTGCCAGAATCGGCCCCAAAATAATGGCTGCCACCACATGCCCCAATCTCTATGCTCTGTGCCAATTCCACTGTCATGCTACACCTTTAGCAACGCCTCTGCCTTGACTTGTTTGTCTTGAAGGACTGGCTCTAATTGCTGGAGTTCGCCCTGCAGTTTGTTGACTTGAGCGGTCGCAGCCTCCAGCTGTCCAATGCCTGAACTCATGACCTCCAGCTTCGCTCGGAGACGATCTCGCCGCTCTGCCAGGAGCTGAAACATGACATGTTCAGCACAGAATAGTATGACGTAGGCTGTAGAGGCTATATGTATAGGGATTTGTAGTGCACGCTTGTCTATATTACGGTCCCCTTTAGACTCTCATCAATGCACTCGAAAATGCCTTGCAAAAGCGATTGGGCCTAAAACTGCCTTTGAGCTAAGCCATAAAGGCTTGAACTTCATAGTTTACAATGGAGAAGAGAGCGATGAGGTCCAGGAATGCCTTCGGGGTTGTATAAATTCTTCGGCCGTGTTGCTGTAGGAGCATTTCTGCCTCCTTCTCGACACTACAGTGTATCGCGACACACAACTCCGAGAGGCGCATCTTTGCCTGCTGTTGCTGCTCGTATTGCTGCGCATGCAGCTGCGGCTGCTGGAGAGCAGCAGCAGAGAAGAGGTGTACTGCCACATCTGTGAGGGCAGCGGGGCCCCACACCTCGAAGAACTGCACGGCAAAGGTCTTGGTGAGGCCGGGATACAGCCTGAGTCTGCGGCGCAAGGCCCCCCCAATGGGTGAGAGACAGAGACAAATGCGCAATTTGTTAAGGATATTTTCCTTGAACAGCGAGAGCACCGCCTCAGTGTTGAGAATGCCGGCGGTCTTGATCCCAGAAGTAACGGCAGATGCAGTCAAATCGGACACGATCCTGTCTACAGCGTCTGCCTCAAACAGATCCGGAATCTGCACACATGTTTGTAGGCCTCCAGTGCTAACTGCTAGATATAGATGCTCAACGCAAAAAGGAGGCCCCAAGGCGGCCGCTTAGGGTCATCTAGCTTTCCACCACTAAAGCACTGCTTGTTCTTTAGGTCTAGAGCCTACAGCCAGAGTGTGTTAATCCTCAGGCTTGCCTCTCCAATGTTTGCAATGGCATCTACATCCGCGAGGATGGCTTCCTCTGAGATACGGCTGTCGTTGATTAGGAACAGTGTCTCCTTTCCTCCGCTCAGCCCGGTGCCTAAAAGGACCGCTCTCAGCTCTTCTCGAAACCTTTCTATTGCCATGCTGTTACTGGTGCCATCGCTGATGCTAGTATTTGCACTATTGGGATCGCTGACACTGCTCCCGGGGATCTGCTGGTGGGGGTTTCGCCGAGGCGTCCCCGATGTGTTTGGGTCAACAGCGTGACCTTGAAGTTCTATCTGAAATCCTCAGCACAGCTTAAAACACACGTCTGGAAGCTCTTTTAGCTCAACCACCACTAGCCCTTTAGAAAGGATCGCAGCTAGGGAGTCCCGAGAGCGCGTGAATTCGCATGTATGCCCCTCATCCTCGACCCCCCATTTTCCCCCCGATTCGAACTCGATCCCATGTATAGTCGTGCCAAGATCTCTTCTCTTAGGAACTTCTGAATTGTTCGGTAACCAAGGTGCACCGACCCTTAGTGCGAACTACAATTTCTGATTTGGTTAATGAATCTGTGCCCACACCTCGCCAATCGCACTGGTTTCTTATGCAAACGGTGTGTGTGTGTGTGTGTGTGTGTGTGTGTGTGTGTGTGTGTGTGTGTGTGTGGAGACGCCGTTCGTCGCTATTTACCCAAGCTCGTGACTCTACAAGTGCTTTGTTTGGAAGTTCCCAGCGTTCCCACGGCTTCCCTACCAGTTCTAGGTCCCGAATGCATGCAGCGAGCCTGGCGACGCTTTGCTTGCCCGTCGCCCCCACACCCAGCAGCACCGCGTGTCCTTGGGGAAGCTGCAGAACCCTACAAAGAGCCACAAGGTGCTCGATGATCTCTGAGAAAAAGACAATCTGCTGTGGAGCTACCGCAGCCGCTTCCGGACCCCTCCCCTTCTGCTGCAACCGGCTGACAGCCTCCAAGTTTGCCGCCTCAAGGAGCTTTAGCAACTGTTGCCGAGGAGGCGCCTCTCTGTACGCCTTCTGACCAGGAACAAACCAGTCTCCCCACATCGTGGGAGCCTTTGGCAAGCCCCCATTCGAGGCCTCCGTGTAGCAGAGCTTGCGAGCTACAATCTCCGTCTTTTCTCCTTCCAACCACTGCCGCTCGTCGGGTCCCATCAGGCGATCTCCAAAGATTCGTGATGCCTCGTGTAGCCACAATCTGAGACAAATTCATATGAGCCTACACGACACAGCTTCGAACTTCTAGATGAAGCCAATCCAGTTCACATTGCTGCTATGCAGCACCTATGAACAGCTTAGGGAATCGAATGGGCAAACGTTTCCTAGGAAGACGCAGTAACCTTGTAGCCAGTGCAGTATGCTACAAATTTGAAGCATCACCTGGCGATGGCATTTCTTGGAGTAAGAGCATTAGCATCTGCTGTGAGGAGGCCCTGGAAAAGGCCTTTAAGGTGTCGGAAGTTGAAGAGATAAACTGGCCGCGACGGGGTAGGCAGTAGAGTCTCCTTCACCCGACGATACAGCTCTACGCAAAAAGCAAAAACCACCATTAAATCTTGGATTCTCATCTCTGGCAGAGATGTGGAGCCCGCAAGTTCTGATCGTTCGCGGATCCCAAATAGAGCATGTGCACCGACAGAATAAAGTCTGAGGGTCTTACCAACGCTGGCGCTGACAACGGACTTGGCACGGACGCGAATCTCCGGATTGACTCCCTGAGGTGAAACTTACCAAGTCAGACTATTAAATCAAGCCCAGCATTTCTCTTACTAAAGAATATTCTCTAGTTTAGCTAGTGGGAAAATGTAGGAATTATGTTTGAATTCCAAATTTTACCACGTGTGCGAAATGTGTATCAAGCAAGGCAAGAAACATTTTTTGGCATGAAATTTCATCCGGCTCCGCAACAAAGAGGCTGTGGAAGTGTCGAGAAACCCGGGAGGGGAGAGGCTGCCTTCCCGTGGAAGGAGATGCCGCAGAAATCACAAATTGCACTCGCTCCAATCCCTTCCAATAAATGCGCTTTCTGTCATAGAACCCCTGAATGTAATAAAGTACAGAGCTCAATCTTCCGCATCGTCCGTAAACTGGAAACCCAAGCAACCGTTTACAGGCGCTCACTAGTTGGCAGCTAAATACCTCTGCTATACAGAAAAAGAAGAATTATTCTTTCAGCAGCCCACTGTCGCCCCAGAGCGCTTAAAGACTTTGGTTAGACGGATCAGTGCTGGGGTTGCACTTTGAATTCCTCCATTTGTCTGAGAAGCTCTGCAGTGGGCTGAGAGCCATACAAATCCGGAAGAGGCAAATTGGCATCGTCTATCCATACGATACAATCTTGACTGGCTGGGGGTCCTAGCTGCAGCCGAATATCCACAAACCCTAGACCCGCAGCTCTAAAAGAGTCAGGCAGCTCCCCGGTTTGCTATAAATCGAGGACACCGGCATACAGGAGTACTACAGCAGAGCCTACAATGCATCGCTCAATCTACTGTATTGCTGTCTGTCATTTTCTGAACAGGGCCGTGGGCATAGGGTCTAAAGTTTTACCATGGCTTTTCTTTTTGTCTCGAGTTTGGACTCTATTAGAGCCTGCACAGTTGCAGGCTGCATGTGGGAGGAGAAGCTCTGAGTAATGACGAAACACTCTTCTCCCTCCCGTCTCTTGCGCAGCGATTCCCTAGCTAGCACCGTCTTTCCCGACCCACTGGGGCCTAGAGCAAATCATAAACTCATATTATAGTTCCTAGCCCTCATGCAAACGCTGATGGGCGTGTGAACTCTAAAATCCCTTATATCTAAAACGTAGCGCCGTGCTGGAAGGGCAGTAAATTATAGTGAATACAGTCAGTGGCTTCAAGAATGCTGCTAGAAAGTTTGTACCTGTAAGAAGAATTGGGACTTTTCCTCTTGTGAGTATCTCCATGAGGGTGAGAGCACGGACTGTCTCTTTGGTTGGAATGAGCAGAGTGTGAAACGATTGGCTTGGATCGAGTTTGAATTCAGGGATCGTTTTCTCCCAGAGTACGAAGTAGTTCTTGAGTCTCTGTGCTTTTTCCATTGCCTCTGGGCTATTTAGGGTACTCGGATTCTCTTGGCTCTGAGGAGGCTTGTCTGCTATGAAATCATCCTCGAATGTATGCGCAGCTAAGCTCCTGCAATGGCCAGCCTTCCTCTTAGAAGGCGACAACTCAAAATTAAAGCAAAAATCTATTGCGTCTCCGCCTTTGGGCAGCAATATATGGCCGTCAAACACGTCCTCGCAAAAGCGGGAGAATGCCTTTTGAGTCCCCGGATCGGCTCCGCCGCCAACGGTCCAAACAAAGCAGAAAAAGAAGCAGGGGGCTGCCAAAAACAACAGCTGCTCCGAGGTGTACAGGCACACCGCCGCTGCGGCGTTAACCGAACTCGCGCGCTGGGAGAGGTGGCGGCCTGATTGAACACAGAGCTCAAGCCTCAAGCCATGAAGCTTGTTCTCTCAAGCCCTCAATGTGCTCTGGCAAAACGATTTTGAGGGGACACTTTATGAGCCCTACACATGGAGTTTGGAGCTTGATTGCCACCCTAACCCCCGCGTCCAGGTCTGTGGGTGCCTTCTAAAATCTAGCGAGGGGTTATGTAATTAGTTTTCAGCGTATCCGTACTCTTCGCGTCACTTTGGTTCTTGTTGTTGTTTTGTCTCTGTGCTGCGGTACAGGGGTCCACCGGAAGCTCGAGTAGTGCGCCCAGCATACGGCAGATCGACGAAACAATAGAGACGGATGTTGGTTTGCAGTGGCTGTTTCTGCTGTAGCTGCCCTCAGCATCCCTAGTGAGTCGGTCCGCCTGCAGAAAGGCCTCACATGGCGGGATAGAGAGGTTAAATAGCCCCCGCAGGGTCTCAATAAACTCTTTGCACACCCTGTCTCTCAGCCTGCATAAACACCAACACAGAAGACAGATACGGCACGTGAGGGGCGAAGAAAGGAGCAAGACGTCGTCTGTACCTCTGTTGCTTTACCGTAGCACATGGTGGATGGAAAAGCGGGGCGAAAACTGGGTGCAAGAGAGTGCCAACAGAAAAGTCGGGAGGGGCAAAAGCATCGTGCACTTGTCGGTCAGACCTGGTAAACCAAGACTCCATGACGTCTCTCCAATGAAGTGCCTGCTGCGTGGCGAAGAGCATTCCGCAGCGGCTGACAGTTGCGGGAGAAGCCGCAGAGAGGTCGGAGACTTCGAACAACAAACGGATGGATGGTGTCAGCTTTATGCGCTCGCCTACGTGCAGCCATAAGCATGCAAAGTGCACCCAGTAAAAACTAGGATCCAAGCAGAGATGCACCGTATCTAAGGCTGGAAAAGGTTGCAATTTGGAGCGTCGAACTTGCTCTGTATGTTGACTAAAAATCTATTGGTCCGGGTCTACCATTTGAAAACACCTCGACCTAACGCCTGAGTCATAACCCTAGACTCTGATATCCGATTTCTAAAACCTTGCTCATTGGCGCGAGACCTAGCGAGCTTAACCCCAGGCCTTATTCTTCCTTGCTTTTCTCCTGACCGTTGGCAAGGCAGAGCATTTGATTGTCGTCCAACACGGTGTTTAAGCACTCAACCCAAAGGGAGTCGATAGGCCCATCAAAGAGGATCCACTGGTGTGCCGCGGGGCTTTCACTGTAAGCAAAGTCCCTCAAAATGGCACTAGATACACCATCTTTCCATTCTTTTGTCATGGGGTTGAACTCCCCTAGTAGCTCGGAGATCTCTAGAGCCTTGGGATTCAGCACTCGGCAGTGTACAGTGTCCTGGAGCTCCGCGGAGCGTTCTCCGCTTTCGCTCGGGCAAGGTCCACCGTCTTCTGTCTCTCCGTCGGAGTCGTCGGTTGAGGCGTGAGTGTCTCTGCTGCTTTCCAAAGGCTCAGTTTCCGTGTCGATCCCTTCGATCACGTTTCCTGGCTGGGAAAGCGCAGTGTACTGGGCCTTTTGGCTCGCCAGTGCAGCAGCCAAAGACGAGATAATACTGCTCTTACCTGACATGGCTTCTCCAAGCAAAATCACGCCCCGCCGGGACTTGAGTAGCTGATGCAGGTGTAACGCCATCTGCACGTTCTCTTCCCTGGGAGTTAAGCTGGGATCAGCACGAGAGCACCGCACAAACCAAAAACCCAAATCATGGACACAGAATATGTGTGCAAGGGTCACTGCCGCTTAGCATTTACGGTTCCTAGGGTGCGTACTCGAGGTTTGTCATGGCCTCGGTGATGGCGCTCGTGAGGACTGTGTCTCTGCTTCCCTCTTGAGGGACCGTCGGGAAAAAGTCAGCGAGGAGGGCATAAAAGATGGGGCGATCCTCTGCAGTAAACTTGGGCTCATTAGATTCCCTGATCATGCACAGTGAGTAATGCAGGGGGCTGCAGTACCTGCCTTCTCACATATGGCTCTAAGCAAATGTTACCGGCAGGCGTCATCCTCATGCCATGCACATGAGGCTGGGGACGGATGCAAGAAAAAGCTGAGTCATCGGCACAAAACCGCGTGAATGACACGTTGAAAACTACAAAACCTTTTACCATTTTTCACCGCAAGCCAGTTCTTTAAAGGCACACTGTAGTGTAGCAGCTTGCGCTGCGAGTAGTAGTGTGGTGTACAATTTCCAAAACGAGGAACTCTAACCTGATGGCTCGGGCCAGGGCTGCTTCTTCGGAGTCGCAAGCCCCGCTGCGCCGCAGTTCTCCCGCCCTCAGAAGGGCTGCTTTGGCTGCCCGAAGTCCAAAGTCGTAGTGCACTTGAGGAGACAGCTGCATGACTCCACAAGGCCAAGACAGAGCGCTAAACCCTAAACACGCAGCTATAGGAAGGAGAAGCAGGCAATGAGCAAGAGAGGCACCCAGTGGGGAGCAGAAAGGTATAGTTGCGCACCTAGGCACAACAAGCAGCAAGCAGCAACAACAAAATACAATTAAGACACCACTTAGACCGTTAGATATAGCCAACGCCGAATGCTGTGCTGCGCGAGATCGGGTACTTGTTCTGAACAGAGTCTGAAGAACTTCACGAATTTATTGGCGAGTAGCTTCGAATCGTTGAAGCCCTCGGAGAATATTGTGATTTCGGCTATCGTTGCAAAGTCCGGGATGACCATGGAAACGGGGCGAAAGAGCATTTGGAGGTTATCTGGCAACTCGGCCCTTCCCGCGTAGTTGGGGTTTAGGGTCACAAAGACGCCGCAGCTAAAACAGCCTCGCGGAGGGGCAGATGTCGCATGAGCTACACGCATGTCTCCTTGCTCCTAAAAGAAACAGGAAGGACCATGATTAAGAGCCTTAGCACAAATATCGAACTATGGGGCGAGAACAGAGAAAGAGAACCAAGCCTCCTCCAGAGAGAAAGTCAGGGCGGAAAGAGTGTTCCCAGGGGTACAGCCTCCCAAATTCAATGACGCGGATATATTTAGAGGCTTCCTCAGAAACTCAAATACGCAAAGCATGTGCATTTACGTGGAGGCACGAAGATCCTCTGTAAACGCACACACTGCCCAATAGGTCACGCAGACATGCGCACATAAACGGCACTGAGGGCTCGATCTCCTAGGACCTCCCTTGCCTCTAGCATACAGGTATATTTTAAGGTGTTCGTATGTGACCTAGCTCGCTTGGATCTCCAAAGCTTGTGCGCATAAATGCATGCACGTGTATACATATATGTAAAATGTCAACCATAAACAAATCCAGCTTCCTACTTTGCTCTGAACTACGGCATGTGTAGGCTCCCCAGCTCCTTGGGCTTTCATGAGCGTGTGGCGCATGTTCAGCAGCTGCTGAGCCACCACTGATAAGACTTCTATATCCAACCGGTTGAACTCGTCCAGACAAGCCCACGCCCCGCTTGCCATAACTCCTTAAGACGCACACACATACGCACGCACGCACGCACACACACACACACACACACACACACACACACACACACACACACACACACACAACATCTGTGGACCTTTTTTTGTGTATGCTACGTCCTGACCTTGGAGAGCAAGCTAATTTTCAGGCCTACATGCAAATAATTAGGAATACATAGACATGAATATGTAGCTCTAGCAACTACCACTTTAACACGCAAGCGCTAATGCACATCTACACCTTTATGCAGGCTGAGCTGCAAGCAGGCAGGGACTGCATGGTGAGCTCTCCACATGCGCGCATTAGCGATTGGCATGTACAGCATCAAAAGCACAGGACAGACAAGCAATCGTGTCAAGATGCCAAGCATTTTACCAATCGAAAGGCAATTACTTGTGCACTCGGCCAACAGAATGGACGCTAGACGCCACAGCTCCTTTAAGATGAAGATTACCCCAGACGGTAGAATATCAGCTAGCCAAGCAACCAGCCATGGACGAAAGAGGGCGGATGTTTGCAGACCCGAAGAAGAAAGCAACGCATACAAACAAGCTCGGGCTCTCATAAACTTTATCTAAGGCCTTTTTGTTAAAGGCGGACAGACCAGCGAAAACTTTATCAAGGACATAAAGATCGACGGCCTCAGAACAATTCAGTACGACACAAAAGAGCGCTAGAACCTTTGAGAGCTCCTTCACGGATTCCGTTTTTCCTGAGCCTGCTGGACCAGCGATGCTGCTGTTTACGCATAACTCTTTAAGTGCAGCTGAAATTCACAAATCACATGCCGCAATTGATGACAAGGCGCAATTAAACCATGCATCATATGCATATTGAGGGCTCCTTTGTAAATTCTCCTCGGCAAGATGCAGATGACAGGTCGCAAAGTGCGAGGCACTGCCGCAACGGCGAAACCACAGCTGGGCTTGGAAGACTGGTGTGGGATTGAGGCTAAAAGCGCTGCTTCCTATTTGCCGTTGCAGGAAGGGACCGAGTTGCCAAGACCTTTTCTCTTGGAGCCATCTTAGAAGCTTTGGCGGAGACTTTAGGTTTCAAAGCGTGCTTTATGCCTCACTAGTGATTGTGAGCCAGCACCGATCGGTCAGGGGAGTTATAACAAGTCTTTGCGGTGCCCCCAGGTACTCGTGTCCGTATTCAAAGATACAGGAGAGCTGGTGCACAACTGTCGTCTCGTTTTGGGAATCCCAGTAGTGACGCAGTTGTTTCTGCCATTCAAATCTAAACGCCAAAGACCACAAATTTTTGAATGTAAGACTGGCACCTCATACATTTGTTAGCAAGCTTCCCAAACTAAAGATCAGACGTGCAAGCGCCACTTTGAGGAGTCTAAACCCCAAGGCGTTGACCCCTGACCTCCAAGCCGTGGGTAGTCGACCTTTAAGGCCCATGGAATCGTTTTTGCTCTCTCCGACGTACGCTTCTGAAGTTGTGATGCGCTCTTTGATGAGAGTCTCAATGACATCTCTATTGTGAAGGGTTTGGATGGCAAGTGCCGAGACATTTGCTCTTTCAAGGGGTGTGAGGGAGGACCGCACAAGCTCAGTGAGCTGCTGCAGCTCTTGCAACTGCTGCATATGCACGCTATGGAGCCTTTCTTCCTCTCCTGGGAGAACAAGTGAGAATTGGAAAAGCACAAAATTTGCTCCCTAGTCTTAGAGTGCTCGTTAGAGAGCCTCCGGCAGCACGAGTCTCGCACTTGCGCAGAGTAAATGCAGAGGCAGCCTTAAAATTTTTGGACTAGGCACAAGGCCATGGCGAACCTCGTAGGGCTTCTTCAACGTCAACGGTCCAAAAGACTTGCAAAAGGCAGGCGGCGACCTGTGCGGGGGTTTGGAAGATCCAATCTTTCTTGGGGTGTCCGTAGGCTTCAGCATTTTTGTGTTTTATAAGTTTCTGCAGTGTCCTGACCATTGCAGTCTCCACTTCAGATAGCCACTTTTCAACAGGGCCTCGTAGTTTGAAGCTTTTGTGGAACAATACTCGCTCCCCCTCGGCAGACACCATGCCTGAGCTCAAACGGGCAATTGCTTGAAAAGCTGAATGTCAAATTTGTTGATTTTATGTCTTCAAAAGGCAGCAGAGTTGCCGTTGATCGGTAGAAATTACAATTGAGCGTTTATGAATCCAGCTCTCACGAATCTAGAGAAAAAGTGATGGTGTGTGGGGTGTAGCTTAGAAATTCTGGCGTAGGACCTGCAAGATCCGGGCTTTTCTTGTCTCCTTCCTGCCAGAGGCTGTGAAGGTTTGCAAAACATTTTCTGACGATAGTTTCAACGGCATTTAACTGTCTCCCTTGGCTGACTAGCTCCAGCAGCTCCCCATTGGAAAGGAAGTAGAAACGCGGGAAAAGCTCACGCTTGCTCTGCAAGCACATCGCACTTTGAAAGTAGCCCTAGACGAAGGCACTTTTCGAAATTTACGAAAAACGCAAAACGCCTCTAAAACTGGCCCTGCGATCCAAAATCCTAAATGCTTCGCGTTGCAGCCATTTCGCTGTAAATCCCAAAGTGTGTGCTCAATACCACGGGTCCAAGCGCTCTGAAGAAGCCTTTGGCTCACATGCGATCACGTTTTGCATTCAATAATGAAAGATTAGGATGTCGAGCTACCGTTGAACATTTTCACCACATCATGTTGGGCTTGAGGTAAACCAATCAAGAATTGGTATACAGCACTCAGGGGCGTATGGGGTTTGCTCTCTAGTTTGCCGCTGACCTGAAGGTAGTCCTCAAGTCCACGTTTTACCTCATCGAGGCGTGCATTCATATCCTTAAGTGCTTGAAGTCTCCCCTCCTTTGTGCACACAGCGAGGCAGATGTTGTAATCCTGCAACTCGGTACATATAGCCCGCCATTGAGTATCTACCGCGGCAAACTTCGAAGCTTCGCAGGGCAACTGCTTTCTTATGTCAGGAGATGCAAAGAGCGCCTGAAGAGATATCCAGTTCGTCTGTAGCGCCATCCAGTCCTCCAGAGTGTCTTGCACAATCGTGAGCTCCCGCTGTAAGTCCTGTATTTCGCTCCGAATAAAGGAACCGAAACGGGAACCTGACAGACATGTTCTTGCGCAACATTTCATACGATCTAAGGTGTTTGTCTTTTGATTTACTCTTTGGACCCGATGCAGTGCAGTTTCAAACTGTGCGTCACGGAACTTGGTGTCGAGCGAAGGACACTAAAGTTCAAGGACATGCTGAAGGTATACCTGGAATACCCGTCTTAAATCCGCATCCCAACTCCCTGGGCCTGCAATCATCGAGCTTACCTGCAATGGTATTCACGCTGACAAGGGAGTCTTCCAAGGTAGCGATCACGTCATCCAAACTACCAAGAATGGTGATTTTGTCCTTAGACACTCTCTGAGTGGCAAGCGGCAGCTGTAGTGACTCCCAGGTGCGTCGCACAGCGAGCAGCAAGCTTGCAAGTGCCTCCTCAGCAGTCGCGTCAGACGACAATGTCTGCATTGCACACCTTATACCAAGCGCTCACACTGTGCATTCTAAACACTACCAAGTCAGAAGCATTCTGCACTAGGAGATCTCCCGATAAAGTAGTGTTGATGTTACAGGTGGAAGCCTGTCAGCTGCTCGCATCATTTATAGGTTCCAAATGATTGTGTTATCGCCTGACTATGAGTTCCGATGTATCTGCGAGCCGTTGAATGACTCTAAGGTCCATCAGAAGCATGCCTTCATTCTGTATATTTGTTTCTTCTCCCAGAAGCATGCTGATGACATCCCAATGTCTCTGCCTCAGTGCCGGATTGCGGAGGGCCTTGCCAACAGCCAATAGGTCCCTGAACGCTGAAATGTCCCCTTGAAGACACTGAAAAATAGGGCGAGACCCTAAGGTGCTTGCCAAACTCTGCAGGCGCTTAGTGAAGCCCTGACATGATGCAAAACCCACCCATGGTGCGGCGTAATATATTGCACCTAAAATGTAGGGCACCCTACAGGCTACACCCTAAGCCTTTGCTGAGTAGGTATGTGGCAGCCGTGTGTGTATCTATACTCGCATTTGATAGAATTGCGATTTAAGGTTCTAAGCAATCAGGTCCTCCAGTCCTTTGGGCTCAAGCCTTGAGGTGTAAAACAGAGAATTTGAGTTGATTAGGTTTTACCTGAGCAGTTTCCTGTATTTTTCTAATGTCTGCTTGCCAGAATAATTCTTTTCCAACTGCACCGTCAAATTCTATCCAGTCACACTTTAGCTGGATACATTTTTCTAGGGCCTCCGTGATCTGCACGATCTCTTCGAAGCCTTCAAATGAGGTTGTGTCCACCCTCAGAATATCTTCACAGCTGCGAAGACCACAGACCCGATTTCCAAGTGTTAGTACATTTTGTGCAGCCTCTACCCAATAGGCCTAAATGTACTTAGGTGCTCAAAGGACGGCTCTCCCTCCTTTCCAGAGCATCTCAATAGCAAGCCACTGGCCGGCATGATGGAATGACGGTTTGAGCCTTTTGGTTTGCTGTGCGGATGTTACCGTTTACATCTGTCGACATCCGCTGCAACATCTTCGACTTGCTTCTTCATGGCGAGGAGGCGAGCCTGAGCCTCTTCTGTCTCCGTGGCTGCATCATAGAGCTTGGGGTCATCTATTTGTTGCTGCAGCTCTGCCACTTTTGCTTTCGTCGATGGCACTGCCGCCTGCAGTTCCTCCTGAAACCGTTTCGTGCTGTTTTCTACGGCATAAGAGGCGAACTGTATCTGAGTACTGAACAACGAAGAGCATGTACGTAACCTTGCGGTTTGGCGCGTTGAGTTCTATGTTGTGCGCTCAGTCAATGGCTCCAGAATTCACCATTTCAGTTCGCAGCATATTATGTTATTGAAGTTTTGGGATGCATTTACTTTGTACAGGGCGACAGGGTTTCTGGTCTACTTATCAGCAACTTCAGAACCAACATCCAACGCTCTCGACGTAAGCGACTAGGACACAGGCATTACGATTTGAAAGTTTCGACTCGGGTATTTTGAGAACAGATGCTGTGGTCTACGAACTACGGTTCAGAGTTTACCGTAGTGCAGCCAGTCCTTGTGAGAGTTCAACGAAAAGGGCTTTTGTGGCTGCTTCGATTCTCAAGGATGATCTTTTCAGGAGGTCCAAAATCTCTGAGACACGGAGGGAGCTCGCCTCAATGGCCGGAAAGGTCGTCTTGCGGGTTTCAGCTATCAAGCAGTTAAACTCTACGTACTGCGACACGCAGAGAAAGAGGCGAAGTTGACACTAGATATCTAGCAAGTCATATTGGAAGGAGGTCGCGGTAGACTGCCAGGGTAGTAATAGAAAGAGAATGATGCAGGGGCAGCAAGTAGAGACCGGAGGAGAGGCTCTGGATATGCACATGAGCACGAGGGTGATTGCGCAGGCATTAGTAGATGCTGCTTCGTGACATGTCCATTGAACAGAGGCTACATAAGCGCCTTTAAAGCGTGAAACAAACCGAAGTTCCCAACACTCGTGCGCGTTTGGGCCTACTGCGTTTATATCTTCGGGGACGGTAGTGAGCTTTGCATTTGTTGCAGATATTTCCTGGAGGAGCCGTGTCATGCTGTTATTCGCCAGCTGAGGTGCACAGGCCTCACATCAGAAGACGTAAGGCTCTATAATAGAACCATGATAGCTTTTTGTTGTTCCTGGGAAAATGAGATCTGGAGAGAATCGTGAGCGCCACCGAAATTTCATGAGAGATCAGGTTCAGGGCCAGCACTGCAGCGTGAGGCCTGCCTGAGGGAGGTACGCTTGGATCATTCCCATCGCTCTCTTGAGGGAGGGCAGGAGGGTCTTCTGTAGCTTGGAGATGTCCAGGCAAAAGAGACCCCGCGGAAGCTGAGGTTGTGCAGCTCCCACCGCCTCGGCGTCTCGCTGCCACCCTGTGAGGGTGCGGCTGCACGCACCCCCAGCAACTTCCAATGCGTTAGTGCTGTCTATGTAGGGGTTTCTGTTTTTCTCTGACTACCTCTGCCTCTTGGAAATCAGCTACGTGAATTGTTCAGAAAACACCAGTACACATGCACAGCCTACGGGCTAGACACTACAATAAGGGGTCTGAAGCGCAGGCTCACTCGAAGTCTGACACCTCCATTCTTTCCAGAGAGCCAACGGATAGGGTTTCGGTGTGGTTGTAGACGTCAACGTATTTCTGCGCACGACAATACCTCCTTCCTAGTAAAAATCCCCTGTGCAGGTTCGCCTAAATCAGCGGTTTTGGACGTAGGTAGCCCCCAGCTCCTACCATTGTTTGAGGCTCTTTGAGTAGTCGGAAAGCTGAGGGGCCATATATCAGGTCTGTTCATCTAAATGTTTCCTTGTACGGGATAACTGCTGTAAAGGGGCTTCCTTGTTGTTTGGGCAGCCAATGCGAGACATCCGTTTTGAGAGCTTACGTTGAATTCTTCAGAAGTACTCGCAACTTTGTCAAACAGCCTCTCGACAAGATCTAATGCCTCTCTGGTAAGCTGAGAAAGACCAGACTCCTCGCTATGCAAGAACAGAGGAAAAGACCGGCATGCTGTCTCCTCTCCTGACGAATCTGATTGCACAGGCCGCAGCTCAAAGCCTTATTATACAATTGATGTTATCAAGCAGGCGTCTGAGCCCTTGTGACTTAGCCTACATGGTCAGATCTGCTGCTTTCCCCTACAAGTTCCACCGTCGACCACAGAAGCACGACACGCTGCCTACTTTAACGAGTCTCTATTCAAGGGCATCGCATGTTGTTGAACTCAGCGAAAGTGACAGCTTGACGCCTACCAAATCCAGTGAGAGGGCTCGTGAAGGCAGCAACTTCTTCGGCAGTGCGGAAAGCTGGCGTAGAGGAGAGGATGGAATACGTTTGCTGTAGAACGTCGCTAAAGAATGCGGCAAAGGCGGCCCTAAAACGCATCAGTACCCGCCACACTCTGTTGCTACGTCTTTATGGCTATGCCTCGCTTACAATTTAGAGAGCTATCTTTCTCTCTTTTTCTGTTTATTTATCATATTATGTGGTCGTTTCCCTGTGTTGCAATCGCCTTCCCCTACGCTCTAGGTCTGCGTTGGTGGCTTCCCAGGTGCCCTCTCTGCTGTCCTATATTTTGCACTCCCCCTAGCTCCTTTTTGCAGCCTTGAGGTTTGCTACTGCTGCCGTTTTGCGTCTCTCCCGATGTTACTACCCCTATTTCATCCCTCGCTTGTTTTACGCCTCAGTCTTGGGGCCGCTGGGTGTTCTGCGTCTCCTTATGCTCGCATTTACTTTCTGTCGATGTCGCCGCTGCTATATTTGCCGAATCAGGCAGTTTGCTTTCACGTTCCTACATACTAATTGAGGTGCAGCAAGCCCCAGTAAACCGTAGGCCCGTAGGCCCAGTGCATAAATGCTGCAGATACAGATGTTTGTGCACACTAACTTCGAGGGGGAAATGGTGATGCCAGTCTTTGCCAAGTTCAGCTGAACCACTAAAAGAGCCTTGTCCGGCGTCGGCTGCAGCGCGGCGCCCAGTGTTGCTGCTGCTCGGCCCCTGTTCTCCGCCGCCTTCCACAGGCCTTGCTGCATCCGCCGCCGCTGCTGCTGCTTCTGCTGCTCCTGTGGATCCTTAACCTCCTTCAAGGCAGTATTCTCAAATAAGACCTATAGCGCACAGCCGGAAGACATTGAGATCAAATGTTCATCAAGGCGATTAGAAGGTCGCTCGCACATCCCATCTCCGGCTAGCACGAATGTCGGTCCCGAGTCATTTGCCCAAGTCAAAACCGCAAGCCATCTTGGCGTACGAGCCCCTCAATAATTCTTTTGGTAGCTATCCTGGCAAAGTCGATCAATGCCGCATCGAAGATGTACTCTGCCACGCGAATAAACTTTATGAGCTTCCTGCACTGCATGCGGGTTGTCGCCTTCTCGGTGTAGGAAACCACTCCCTCTAATCCCCCTGGGCTCCAGTGGTGCCGTCGAGCCCCAACACCCAGCGGATCGTGCCCCAAGCGCTTTTCTAGCCCTCTAGCTGTGCATGCACACACATCGACGACGCTCTATCCCGTAGGCCTGCGCATCCACGCTGCAACTTGGTGGATGCGGAAAGAAACTGAGTTAAGCGGCTCAGTCACCGCAAACCTTCCCATCTACAGACTAGGATTTGGAATTCAGGTTTTACGACTTAGAATTGGGGATTTGCCTGGCTGTTGAATCGCGCTCCCGATTTGGCCTCCTGCGAATCCGCTGCAGTGAAGGAACTCTCGCAAGGAGTTCCCACAAGCTTTTTGGATCTGAGCACAGGCATTAGAACCTAAATGTCTGAGTCTAGACTCATAAGGCGATCCATTACCTGTCAGGCGTAGCCGCTACAGTCCGTACTCTCACTCTGGAGGCCGTGAGCTGTACTCGCTCGTCTGCCCTCTCTCACCTCAGCCATGGCTGCAGTCCAGACACGTTTGATGTCGGCAGCAAGCTGCTGCCTTCGGCTCCTTTGCAGCTCCTCCAGCTGCTGCAGAGAGAGGGTAGCCTCCCCCGTGGCTGCCAAGATGTGCCATCCGCCGAGCTTGAGCCCAAAAGCGCGGACAGCAAACAATGCCGGTCGTAGCATGCAATCTAAAGAAAACAGATTCTTCTCCAGCACCTCCGCGCAGGTCCTGCGGATAGGCAGGGTATTCTAGTGATTTGGGGGGGATTGAGAACATCGGGAGGCTGATATTTTTGCGTATACCTTTTCATGTGTAAGGCTCTCATCTTTACCACTTCAGCCGTGCTCAGAGACTCGTGCTGTGTTTATTGATTTGTAGCTTTCAAATTAAGGATTTATAACTGGCAGCTAGTGGCACGACCTGAATCTGAGTGTCCTCATAGCGGCCTTCCACATGGCCACGATCCGCCATTTGGGGTAGTTCCTAAAGAACTTGACACTTGCAAGTCGCGTGTAGAGCTCTTGATCTCTACGCCATTGCTGGAGAGACAGAAAATCGAGGGCTCTTCCGTCGCGATAGTGTACCACTCCCCGTGAGGAAAGCGTGAGATAGTCCTTTCGGTTCACGCGATCAAACGGCACTATCTCGTAACTGTAGGGACCAATCCTGCGTGCCGGAAACCATTCATGCGCCCTAGCGGTTAACAATAGAGGTCCAGACTCTAAGCCCAAAACTTAGCTGCCGTCGCAGGTCTCTACTCCAGCAGCTCAGCGGCGTTACCAGAGAGACGAATAGTGCCAAATTGAACTGACAGACGAGCAATTTAGCAGAGCACTAACAACATAAGCAGGCGCTGGTTCAATAACGGTCGCTCTGATTGGGGAAGGAGCAGCTAACCTGTTCATATAGCAAAACTCTTCTGCTAGAGACCTGTGGCCGAGTACCAAATCAATAAAGTCCGAAGGCTCTAGAAGTGCTGTTTGCCGCTGCTGCTGGGTGCTGCTCGTGTCTGCCGCAGCAGCGTTTTCTTGCTGAGTCAGGAAAGACAGCGTCTCACAGTCGTCTTGAGACGATGCGCACGCAGGCAAAGCAGCAGCACCAAGAGCAGCACTAGCATTGAAAACAGTAAGAGCGAAAGTGGTGGCAAGTGTAGCCGAATCATTAGTAGCACGATCCAAGAGAGCCAGCAGCAAAAGCCGCAACAGCAGCATCGTTTGTAAGCAGTTTAACTTGCCCCCCCTTCCTGGCCGTTTCTCGCTGTTGCGTTCGTGTGGCCCTCAGTTTCCCGCTGCACCCCTGCAGCAGCAGCTGCTGCTAGCTCCTTCTGCTGCTCTGCTTTGGCTTCCTTTGCGTCCTCTAACTGCTTCAGCACAACGCAGGTTGGTGCTACGCGGGTGTGGGGCATTGGGTAGCCAGGTGGAAGTGTGTAAGAGGCCTTGCTGCTCATGGCCGGTGGTAAAGCCGGTGTTACTGTTGACGATCTGGATGGCAATGCAGGAGGCGAAGGGGTCAAGGCCCAATTGCCCGCTGCAGAGCCAAGGGCGTGTGAGCCATCGTCCTGTGAGAAAATACAAACCTCAAGCCAGGAATAAGGCCCAAATCTAAGCCTTCAATCCAGGCAATCAGCGTATCAGAGGCTAGATACTGGTATTACTGAAGACTTAAGGACCAGAAAGGTGCATTCGCCCAGATCTGTCTGGAGTATCACCAGCCAAATTCTGCCACACAAACCCCCAACCCTGGTAAGCCTCGACCGTGCGCCTAAAACCGGAAGCGTCAAGCCCTAACACACTTGTCCCGATATCTTGGAGAATCCAACGGGGGGCATCTTCACTTCATCGAAGCACACCCCCGAACCTACCACACGCTCTCAGGTGTATGCCCAAACCTAGATCCGAAGAAAAGCTCTGATTCCTAAAGCCTAGAGTATTTCTGTCTCTCACTCGTATCTTTGGCCCTATAAATTGGGCCTTTGCGGGTTTTAGGCAAATATCTAGTCGATACACGCAAGAATGTTCACTTGGTCTACACGACCCAGCAACCTGGCATGCGAACTCCATAGGTCCTCGTGGAGCATACCAGCCGTTCTATGCCGCGAAAAACGATGCAACGTTAAAGCGCAACACTAAAAGAATTGTAGCTTAAAATAGATTGAAAAAGTAGCCTGAATCTGGCTGCCCTCGATGCATCCATTTTCTGAATCGCTGGGGTCACTCCGGCGGCATTGAAGGGCTTAATGAAGAAGCAAGAGTCAAAACCCTGATCTGTTTTAGAATGAAAAACAGCCTAATTTCATTGAAACTCAGAAACGCCTCATAAGTTGTGGCGGCCTTCTCACCTTATCTCGAAGCAAACGTACATTTTACAGTTGTCATTAGCAGTAGGGTCCAGCACCCCGCTAGAGCATCCATGGTACGAAAATACATTTTGCCCGCTGGGAAGGTTTCTTGCATGCACACAGTCATCAGCTGCCGAAGGAAGATTCTCAGGTCTCAGACTTTTAACCGTGGGACGAAAGCGTTGAACAGGAAAGTTACTAAAAGCGAGTACACTGCCCAAGCCCTATGTAAGGTCTAGAAACCCGTAGGCAATGCCCTGCACACTTAAGACGTGGTACCTTCATGTAAAGAGCCTCAGAGCGTTCTTTTTGTGTGGTTACCAAATACAGACGGAAGTCCGAGGATACAGTGGTGCTGGCGGTGCGAAGGGAACTATATTACGCTATATCCATTCAAAAAGGAGCCTTAGCGGCTTCATAAAATCTCATCAACCCGAAATGCGCGACAGCTGTACAGCTGTATTGGTGGCTGATTAGATGGGTAGCAAATGGGTTCACTAGTATGCGGCAGTATACGCCTCACAGGCATGGGAATACAGAAAGCTGAACACCTGCAGGACCAGGTAGGATGTACCACATCTGTGTGGCTATTTAGTCATATTATTGCTCCCTGGTGTCACCATTCCCCTGGATCTGCGGGAGCAGAGGCGAGCAACAAACTCCAGCGCCAATAGCGCCAGAACAACGCATACAGCCCCAACAACCGCAATTGAGCTGAAGGACTCCTGTAGCCGGGACATCCTTGCGTCTATCCATGCCCTACACCATACAAACCACAACCTGTAGCTCGGAAATACACTATTTATTTCTCCCACGCCCCCCACCAGAGGCCGAAGCAACAACATACCCATTTTCCTGCTGAACCGGTGTGCACGCCTTTAGGGCAGAAGATGCATAGCTCCCCTCTGCCACGTTTATCCCCTTAGCAAGAGGTAAAGGACTGGAATTACGGGCACCTGCAAGTGTCATGATAGGGATTTCCTGGACGGTCAAGGCCCCATTGGGACAGAAGAAGGGAGCAGCGAATGGGCTCCTTCAGCAGCACTTCCCCTACCGGCAAGCGCACAAGTCTGTATTCCAGACCGTTCACCCTGCACTACAGACTGAACGTTGAAGGCCCGCAACTGTCGGCCATCCATATTGCACCAGCAGCCGCTTTGCTCAGGAAGGATGTAAACTCCTCCGCGGCTTGGCATCTGGTAAGCTAGCCAGCTCTCCTACAAACCAGCTAGCTTGAGGGTAATTACCTTGTGGGTCGCAGAGCTGAAAAAGGAAGAGCTCTGCATCAGATCCCAACGCATGAAAGGAACCCACGACGTCCCGGGCGCACGCAGCAACCCACCCTGCTCCCAAGCAAACTTCCAAGCTCTGCAGCACTTTCTCTGGAGGCTGCACTGGCTGTTGTTGCTGCCGTTGAGGCCCTTGCTGCACGCGCATTGCGGCAGCTGCAATTGACTGGATGGTGGAGCCAATCGCTGTACCCGGCTCCACAAGGGCCAAGCACGCTGTCCACGCGGGAGGAAAGTTAGCTGATCACAGAATTGCGCATAAAAGCCTGCATGTGTATGCACACACGAAGGAGCAGCTGCCGCGACAGATGCACCGTGAGAAATGGGAAGAAACAGCGTCAGATTTGCGAGCAGCAGTGGTGACCACCGTCAGAGTTGCAGAGGGGGTAAATGGACAACATCATGCGGTCTAAGGCATAGGGGTCTCACTTGGGGTGGACGCCTGAGCGAAGACAGGGTCTGGCGGGGTAAAGGTGCTGGCCGCAAGGGCACCCAGCAGGCAAAAAGCCAGCAGGCGACTAGCCAAGAAAAATACACTTGGAATCTCGAGCCGCCTGCCGCTGCGGCTAGTGGCGTAGCCTTGGTTGGGGCTGACGCGTGTGCTGTGCTGAGCCCTCGCGCTGGTGGCGTGGGTGGGAAACCCCATGCTGGCTCAGACTTTTCCTCTTAAGCCAAGTCGGTCGATCCCTGGTGAGTACTTGAGCCTTTGGGTAGTGGTGTGACACCCGTGTTTGCAGCCTATGGTGAGGGCTTTGCGCCTAAGCGTGCGAACTGTTGGCGCGCAGCGTGTTCGCAGGCCTTGCTGGCAAAGTACATCTCTAAAAAGCAGAAACCATGGTTACTCAATCCGCAGGTGGTTATTCCATATCCCTACACCAAAAAGCCTCATGACAGATGGCTGGTCAACGTTCGGTAGGACTTCGTGCTGGGGGTTGGGTGTACGGTTTATTTAGCCCATAAGTGCAAGTAGGTTGGAAAAGAAGCCACAAAATCCCCACCCAAGAGCCCTCAAGAGCTGCAAAACAGCCCAAGTCTCCGCAAAGAATCAATCCCATAGCCACACTGTGAGTAGAGCAAGGTTTAAGATCTGAGTCTTGCAATAGGGCCCCTCGCATGTGGGTCGGCAAGCCCCGTAGTAGTTGCATTCCATAAATACTGCAGGAAAAGGTTGATCAATGCCGTGCTTTATTTTCTAAGCCCATTACAGAGGATGTAAGTGTCAGCGGTAACGCTCTTACTCCTCGGCCCCCTCGGCGTCCCCGCTGCGCCTTTTCTAGCTGCTGCAGCAAATCTTAAGAGCAAGCTAGCAGCCACAGCTACTGCTAGTGGTGGAAACGGATTCCGCTGCACCTTAATGGTGCAACACAGTGGGAGCTGCGTTCGTGGGAATCGTTTCGCTAGCTACAGCACGCGCTTGCAGCACGTGTGTCAGCAACAGTCCCAGCGCCTAGAGGGACAAAGACAGCAGCAAAGCCACGGGCGGCAGCCGCTGCAAAAGGGGTTAAGGAGCTCTAGATGCGTCGTACTGCTACCCACAGCAATATTCTCGAAGTTCCAGGGCTTGGAATGCACAAAAAATCTGTGGCCTTACACGATTTACGTATTAGGGTGTAGAGCCTAGGATTCAAGTCCATGGTGAGGAGCAAAAGCCGGTGGATTGTGGGGGAGGCGGAATGGACATCAGCGAAGCGGAAAGGCGAGCCTTGGAACCTGCAGGCCTTCACAGAGGTGAGCAGCTAGTTCTATCCCTGGTTGGCTACTCCTCTAGCCATGTAACCCTGAATTCAGCTACCTAACTCTATCTAACTATGTCTATGGGTAGTGGTGTCGTTAGCAATGCCTGGAATGGCCTGAATTTCAGCTCAACTCAATTGTCAGGCCTCCATGGGTCCTTAGATACTAGTCTAATGTCTTTCTGTCTGGGGCGAGCTATCACGAAGGTAGTTTGTTCTTGTCTACCCAGATGTTTCTGTTGCCATGTGGACGCATTCTGAATTCAAGCCTTGATTGTATATCCTTCTTGCTCAGGCACTTCAGGAGACAGTATCAGGGTGCTGGGGAGCAGTAGGGGTAGCATGTTTGCTGCCTCATCTCCGTGTAGTGCACTTAAATAGAGAATCTGGGACGTTCATACTACAAGTTGCACGCGTAAGCAAAAGTCAAGCTCTGAGCCTCCTGGCGCTGCCAAAATTCTTTAAAATGAGCAGGCAACAGTACGGCTGAGTCGTGGGTACATAGATGCGGATCTCTCTTTTTGTTTGGGCGTTCGTGCGGGTAAATACATATGCGCATGGGTGACTATTCATATATGCATTTGGAGCTGTTCCGAATACCTGGCAATATTGTTTGCTTTTGCCTAGTCTGTGAGAAGATCCCTCCATTCCATTCTCAGCCATCTCCTTGAAGGGCATTGCTTCATGTTCTCTCTCGTTCCATGTCTTGGTTTAATTTCTGCGGTGTCCACAGAGCTATCTGCGGGAGCTGTTGCTGGTGCTGATGGCCCTTACCTCAGTGGAGGGCCGAGGGTGCCGTTTGCACGTTTTGCATATCGGAGGGACCTTGCTGAAAGCGCGTCGAAGCGCAGAACAGATGATGCAGCTGGCCTTAGCCAGACAGCTAAAAGAGCTGACAGAGGTGCTGGAGAGCTTTGACTAAATGCAACGTAATGAATATGGAAAGGGAAGAAGGAAAGAATGGAGGGATGAAGAGTAGAGAGAGCCACGGCTCGCTTCGCTGTTTGCCTCGGCGAACCCGAAACGCAACCCTGGTCTTTGCACCTTTTATTTCTGCTGTAATTTGATAAGCTTGGAAGCTACCGCTCATTATTTTATACAAGAAAGACGGGGTCGTATAGTTCGCAGGTCGATAGGTGACTCCTTAAAACCATGGACTATGGGGTGCATATAGCTGCGCACTTCTGTGCCACCATGGACACTTTAGTACGATCTACAGCGCTACCCACATCCCCAGCATTTACAGATCTGCAAATCTATGTGCACCTATACGACAGTCCATCTATACCTATTAGAATGTGAATTTACTAAACTTCCATGTCGGAAGACCCACTTCAATTGGACCTCGCATTCGACTGCCAGAGCGTTTATGCGCTGTACGAACCATTTAGCGCCAATTCGCCTGTACGGTAGCTATGTTGGAAATGGCTTCTGGCCCTGCGTATGCGAGCAGCAGCTCTACAAGCATCTGTGTTGCTTGTTGGTTTTCTGCTTCTGCCTCCCTCAAACAAACGACAGTTGCCTCGCGCTCCTACATGGCGAAATTTAAGGATTGGCACGATTGTCAGAAGAATTGTCGGTGGCACGTCGGGAACTCCCTTTACCTTGTTGACCCTCTGCAGGGCAGCTTCAAAGAATTGCCGTAGCGCTTGTTTCTGGCTTTTCTCTGTTTAAATTCACCCTAGCACTTTAGATGGACTGCCCCCATGAAAACCACCTCACCCAGCTCTTGTTGGCGGATGGTATATTCTTGCGTCAGTTCCTTCATTTCTCTTTCTAGCTCCTGAATTTCGCATATGCGTTTATTAGTGATTTCTTTCCTTCTGGAATTCCATGCATTGCAGATCGGACCTGACAGGCCTTTTCCTGTTCTTGAAACGAATGTACGAGGGATTGCTTTTTAGCCCGCGCGGAATCTAGACACCGAGCGAGCTCCTCCGCCGCATTGTCTCTTCTTTTGTTTAAAGAGGCCAGCAGTTCTTTGATACGAGAGTTCAGCTGCACCTTCTTGCCGGCTGATAGCTGCAGTAACTGCTCGTGCATAGTGGACAGAACAGTCTCAACTTTCTTCTGCTTCTGAGCCTGTGCCTCGGAAAACCTTTAGAGTGAACCACAAATAAGCAAATAAACGCATTTCAGATTTCCTCTATCGTTGTTTTCCCACCTCCGGTGTACATGTTCCACGAATGCACTAATTTTTGTGGCATCGCAGCCAGCAATAAATGCATCCAAATCGCCCAAGCCTTCCATTAAAGAGAAAACGCCTTTCTTAACAGCAAATGTGGACCGCTCTACATATCATGGCAAATATAATCGTTGACTTGCACGAATGTTTATTTAGCGTACGCTCTAAAAGCTTCAAGTGTATGCACAACTCGGGTAAGGTTTGAAGATTCAAAATAACAGCTAGCCAACCAGAACAATCGTGGAATTAGGAGCCGCTTGCATGCCATAATTCACATAATTCTCTCTAGTTCATGTCATCATGTGCATGTTCGCTGTGATATTCATGCTCATGGAAGGTGCAAGCCCTACTTCCAAAACGATCAAAATTGATGAGCTCATTGACAGAAAGCAAGCTGATGTGAGCCTCTAGCTCAGCCGCTGAGGGTGGCCACCGAACTCAAAATCAAGTCGAAGCAAATACGTAGCGCTCTATCTCGGGCCCTCGTAGGGAGACAACCCCCAGACTCAAAACGAAGCTAACAGTGTTATTTAGTGTTTCCTCAAGAGAAGTCCCCCCTCTCCCTGTCAAAGTCCATCACAGTTTCGGGTATGAGGGGCAACGAGCACCCACGGACGCACAACCGTACGCTCCAAGCACTCCGAGCACCCACGGCTAGTAGTACATGATATATAGCGCAGATGCACACAGCATTGCATCGTCTTATATCTAACTAACTCTACAATGCAATAAATAAGGTATATGAACGGGCAAACCAGTCGGTCAGCTCTTTACTAAGTCTTTGTTTTATGCAACTAGTGTAGGAGGAAGTGTGTCAGTGTAGCCTAGCCCGCTACGGCAGGCAGTTGAGGTGAACCCTGAACCTGATTCATATTTTTCCATCCCGCAGCTCAACAGCTACCAGGGAAACGCAGAGCGTTGGCTTCTGCGCTGCATTCCCAGGCTCTAAACGCATGTCGGCACAATTTTAGGACATTAGGCATCAAGGGAAGCTCTAGGGTTTGCCGCATGAAGGCAGTGGAAGAATTCCAAGTTTTGGTCTCCAGATAAGGGCTGCTGCAGCATGATCCTGAGGCACAAGGGCTATTTAGATAGCCATTGAGTCTGCCCCTTTGTCTACCTCGGGGGGAAACAGATATATTTCCGTGCTCTTGTCGGGGATGTAAGAGACAAGCAGGGGCGAACCCAATGCATCTCGTTTGACTAAACTTTTGGGGGTCAAAATAGCCCCATCGAGTCAGTAAGGCTCTATGGGAACGGGCAGGCATATCAGAATGATTTAAAAGAAAGCAGAAGGGAAATGGAAGTACTAAAAAGGGGGCCCTGAATGTTGCGCCTGCAGCAGTGTGGAGCAACGCGGCCATCCCTCGGCAGCAGCAGCAGCGGCCGCGGCAGCAGTACAACCACCGGTAGCATGAGCACAAGCCTCTTTGCATTTGAGTTTTCATACAGAATATCTCAATCGTTGGAAGCTCGACAGACAGCCCGGCTGGTGCTATTCTTTCTGCCGTGTCGCTGCTGCCGCTGCCGCTGCCACTGCCGCTGCTGCGGTTCGCCGAAGCTGCTGTCCAGCGCTCCCGTGCCGCAGCAGCATCTAAACTGTGACTATACCTTATTTGTGTCTGCTGCTCAAAGAGTAAGACACGAGCTTGGATCATAGCAGCAGGCGCATCAACAGCAGCGCCAGCAGCAGCTGCAGCGGCATTCTTAGAGGCGTACTGCAGTTGGTATTTTTTGTGTATCTTCAGTCCTAAACGCTAAGGCATTCATTGGGACTTTGAGGGCCTTCGCGCAGCAGCAGCTGCTGTTGTGCGCTTCCCTCATTTGCGCTGCTGCCGCCGCCGCAAAAGCGGCAGCATCGGATTTCACACATTTCTACGGACTTCAGGGCGCCCCACCTACCAGCTGTTTTACAGAAGTCTCATCACCTCGGCCGCACGGCTTTGACCTTCGCTGCAGCAGCAGCAGTGGCTGCAGCAACAGCAGCAGCAGCTAAGTTTTCAAGAGAAAATGACGTGCAAAGAAGATTACTATGACTACCTCTACAAAAGTGAGTCAGCATATCACAAACTTTCAGATACAAGCATATACACTTATTTTGAATGTGGCGTGCGCCATGACGTGCAAGTTGCCGTGGTGGGCATTGGGCCTGGTGTTCAAAGTGTTTGTTACGGGGTCTCCTTACATCTCCACAGACCTGTAGGGAAGGCCAAGCGCCAGACTTCTACTCCGAAGATTGTGCTTTTGAGTAGCGCATAATAGATAAACCCTTGTTGTGGAGTTTGAAGATAGAGATGTCCTTGGTCACCCACCCAGTTTGATTTTTCCTCTAAGGGTTTGCGGTAGTGTGCTTTCACGGATTCGCCTCTGCTCAGTTGTCCTCATTGGAGACAGTGGCGTAGGGAAGTCCAATATGCTCTCAAGGTAAGGGTTTAGGAATTTACTGGCTTACTAGAACCTAAAGAGCGCAAGCGTGGCCTATGCCTACCTGAAATGCGGATGCAGCCTTAGTATGAGATGCTGGCTTCTTGGCACACCGTTGAACGTCTCTTCTCAGGAAGTAGGGGGTCTTTCCGGATACTTCGTGAGTGTGCAGATTCACGCGGGATGAATTCAACCTCGAGAGCAAGTCGACAATAGGCGTGGAGTTCGCGACAAAGAGTGTGTACTTGGATGAGGGGAAGGTCATTAAGGCGCAAATCTGGGATACCGGTACGAATTGGGGGACGCGGGGCATCTCTAGCCGTAGTTTTTTGCGCTCTTGGTTCGAAATTTTCTCGGTGTTGTATCACGGGTTCTTTCCTTTCTAGGCGAATATGGAGGTGGCTATGGGGGGTGTTCGAGGGTTGCTTTAAAGGGTCTGCTCTTCGTTGTGTACCACAGCTGGCCAGGAGCGGTACAGGGCCATTACTTCTGCGTATTACCGCGGCGCGGTCGGTGCCCTGCTGGTATATGACATAACGAAGCGACAGTCCTTCGACAACGTAAGACTCCTGTTTCATGCAAGGGTGGGGTTTGGGGATGCAAGGCTGGGACTGGCGTGCCGGGCGTTTGTTTGGGCTGCCGGCCTTCTTGGTGTGATGGATGGCTTAAGGGGGATCTGTCCGCTGTGCCTATGAGAACGGTGGGATTTTCAGGTTGGGGATGCGGAGAGGTTCGCCGTAGTTTGTTGCGTTATGTGTCGTGTATCCTCGAGTTGTAGCCCTGGTGAAACGGGTGGTGTGGGTATGCGTTTGCAGGTGGAGCGCTGGCTGAAGGAGTTGCGGGATCATGCGGATCCGAACATAGTAATTCTATTAGTTGGAAACAAGAGTGACCTGCGCCACCTTCGGGGTATTACCCCGGAGGAGGCTACGCGATTCGCGAATCGCGAAAATCTCGCATTCATTGAAACGAGCGCACTCGATGCTACGAATGTTGAGCAGGCTTTCCACCAGATCCTTGCTGGTCAGTGAGGGTAATGGAGGTCTAGGGGGCAGTCAGTGGAGGCAGTTTGGCGATTGCTGACGAAGAGAGCTCCGGGGTAGAGAGGTTAGGGGTTCCAAAAATGGGAGGAGAGGGCTGAAGCATGGGATGTATAGGGGGTTTTTGGACGTGGACTGTGAGGTTTTTCGGTGCAGAAATTTATTTGTTGAGGCAAAAGAAGCAAATAGACGATAACCCTCTGGGAGCGCTCACGCAACCGGGCAGAGGCCAGAAAATTCAAGTAGGCGTGGGCCCACCCATGAGGCATCTTTTACCGTGGACCGCACACACTTCACAGCGAGTCTGCACATGTGCAGACGACCTCCTCGCTTAAGGAGATCACCAATATTGGAAAGAGGGCTTCTCTGCTTTGTGCGACGCGCAGGTTGATGAAGACAACAACCGCTGTATACAGTCGCGGCCCAGCAGGAGAGGGGGCTGCTGCAACTGATTCAGTGTTTCCCTGTGCGGCGACTTATCGAATCGCTGCTGCGGCTGCGCCCTATTTGTGCCGAGAGGGCAGCCTGCGTCAACGGTTGCCCATGTGGCGGCAGCAAGAGCTGCTGCTGCAATGGAGCATGCGGCTGCAGCAGCGGCAACAACCGTAAAGCACAATGACGTACAGGCGCACGGAGACCTGTGTAACTGCCCGACATACAACCTTGCGCTACTGCTTGCTCACTGGGCATGCAGTGACTGCGGCTGTAGCAAGAAGAGCAGCAGCAGGGGTGGCCGCAGCCCTTGCTGCTGCCGCTGCCGCCGTTGCTCGTGCGGTGGATGGTCAAGCAGCAGCGGCGGTAGGGGCAGCAACAGCAGCAACGAGCGTTTATATTTTGCTTGCCCGTGCGTGTGAGGCAGTTAAAGCAGCCGGTGGAAGGCAGCAGCAGCTGCTGCTGATTCAGTATGTCATATACACCGCATGTATGTGTGTATATGACATGTAGGTATATGTGCTTGCAGGTTTATATGTACACAGACAGCTGCTGGTAGAGTTGATGCAATGAGAGATTACTATTAGCGCGCAACGGAAACTGGTACTGGTTCCACTGCATCCTGCTGCTGCAATTGTTCCTGCTGCAGCTGCTGCATGCTTTAGGGAGGAAGTATGCCCGCAAAGCCGCTGCTGCAGTTTCTCAAAGGACGGATATCATAAAGTTAATACATCGGAGATTTATTAAAGCAAACCCAAATAGTTCACAGGATTTACATTAGCATTGCCCGAGAAAGGGTGAAAGTGCCCTACTGCAATAGTCGCTAATTGGGCATTTTGGCGGATTTGAAGCAGTCAGCTACTGCAGTTGCTGGGGTTTTAGTCGCTAAGGACTATGAGTTCCGCTTGGTTGACCTGTCGCTTCTGCGATTTAATCTTGCCACAGCTTGTGGATTCAAAGAATGCAGTGATGGAGGTTTGTCTGAGGACTTGGGTTTGGCCACGGCCATGTGCTCGATATGTTGCCTTATGCTCGCTTCCCTCGCTCCTGCTCTGCTGCATCTTCGCCGTGAGCCCTGCCATCTGTGTTGGCTTTTGCTCCTGTTCCCCGTTGTCTCGCCCTCGTTTTTCGCGCTCTCGCATTTCGTGTCGCATTGTTTCTTCGCACGGGGAAGACAGCTGCATATGCAAACGGAAACCAACACGAATATATCAGGACTGACAAAAACAAATCACAGAGATCATCCGTGCAGAGAGAGTCCTAAGCTGGGTGTGTATGTGCATCTGCCTGCGGCCCTTTGGTGAGCCCGCTCAAAATGGGTACCTCTCACCTTGTCTCCCCTCTAATTGTTTACTCTGCTGTGTATGGGGCACATACACGTATGCGCACTTGTGCGTATAGGCATTTTCAATGCTTGCAACTAGTATGTGCACAGGCTACGCTACAATGAACTCGATTGGGCTGCAGAGTAGCAGCGTTACCAGTCCGTTGAAGAGCCGAAACAGACGGTTGTAACTGGTCGCTCCGCGATTGCACACCGTCGGTATCTGCGTGCGCAATACCCCCAAGCTCTCGTACTGCAGCGTAGCTACGCGAGCACCGATTCTTGCTTTTTACAGCTCTTGCCAGCTGGGGCTTACGATCAATGCGTGGGAGTGTGTGTTGGGACAAACCACTTCTTTGGGGTTTAAGGCCTTAACGAAGTCGACAAGCTCAGAGAGACTGGAATGTTCGCTGTACGGCAGAAAATAAATGCTGAGGTTTTCGTCGTGGCTGCAGCAGGAGCACAGTTAAAGGTATTGCGAAGCGCGTAATGTTCAGCACCGCCGACCACAAGCCAAAGCGTCTCTTGTGACATAGTTGAATCAATTATTCAAGAAGACGGCCGGCCTTTGTATGAATATGTGCAAGTACACCCGTCCATAACTCAATGCGCATAGATAGATGCACAGAGAATGCCCATGAGTAGAATGTAAGTATAGACTGCAAAATCCATACTCATGCCTTGCTTGTTGCACGTGCCCCTGAGTATGTATACTTATTTGCCGCAGAAGCAGGAAGGTGAATTCAAGTAAACATACGTGATCGTATGTCCAAACAGAACATATGTGTGCGCACATGAATTTATGCAGTTAGATTATGCAGGTGCACGCTGGAAACATCAGCGATAAGCAGCACACGAGCACAAACAGATAGCCAGCTACGGAACACGCCACTGGTATGCTTGCTGGTAGCATTTGTCAGGGCATTGGGATTATGTCATCCCTCGGAACTTACACGGAGCTGTTCTTTGCACCAACCGCCCAGCCCGTCCCTACAAAGCCTGGGAAACGCACATGCCTTCCACACAGGAGACTTAGCCCATAACAGTAACCTTTTACCTTCAGGTTCTAATCGTAGTGTCAAGGCCTTACCGACAACTTTTGTTGTTTGAGGAAGCCCCAAGTTTTCGAGGTGCCGCCGGATACCCGCGAAGTTCCCTCGTGGGGGGAAGGTCGAACCTGCACGCCCGATGCACTGTATCCTAAGTCTTGAACTCTAAGATGCCCTGCCCAGACGAAATATCTTCTGTGACTCCACGCACAGAGACTAAATGCGCACTCTTAGGAAGAGGGCTCACCGCAAACATGCATCGGCACCAAATCCACCTGCGCCTCTCCTGGAGACTCCGCAAACAACGCCAAGTCCTGTACCAAAAAGTCCAAGACACTCGACTCCTTGTAACGAAAGCAGCACAAACTTTTGAGCCTCAACTCCAAGGAATAGTGTGCCATGAGACTAGGAGCCCCCTCCACGATTTGGCGGTTCTATAGGGAAGGGTTGACAATTACGCTTCAGGGTTCGGGCTTTAGGACCTCGGGCGGAAACTCCAAACAGCTGAACACTCGCCGTCTTTGATGCGTTACGAAAATCCGCATATCCAACTTCCGGGCCAAATGGAGTGCGATTCGTTCCTTGCCTGCCCAATGACCGTCGCCCCCACAAACGCAAATCCACTGCTCATGACGCCTTCATTCATTCAGCATCAAGTAGGCAACAGCAAGAAAATGAAGTAATCCGAGTACCGGCCCCATGCACTCACCAATAGTGTAGGTGCCAACCAGGAAACGAATAGTGCCCTTGCTGCCTGCCTTTTCCAGCGCCTACAAGACACGGCAAGTCGCGTTTTGTGGATTGTGCCCCTTCGTTGAGCCGCTGCAAATGAAGTGCTCTAGATAGCCTAGCCGTGAAAATACGTATCAGATTACACGTGATATCAGCGGTCACGAAGATCCATGCCACCACAACGTTGCAAGGAAGCACAAAAGCCCACCTTGGTAGCAATTTGAAGAGCAGCATTGAGGACTTCCTCCTGAGGAGGAAAGGAGGTCTTTACTCCAGCGTAGGTGGTATCCAGGTATACCCTATCAAGTCGTGCTAGGGCTTGAGACTTCACTGATGGTTTGGGATTGAGGGCTTGCAGCATGGAGGGGCAGTAACGAAAGTCGCCGCAGTGCAGACACCGGCCGACTCCAGGACCCTCAAAAAGAAACATAACAGCTCCTGAATAATGAAAAATTGTACACTCAATCCCCCCAATCTTATGCTCCACACCCTATACTCGGACTCCTATGCATGCGATCTATGTGCGGGGGATGCGCCTCATGTTCAAATACGCCCTAGGGCACAGAGCGTAGCGCCTAGCAGCTAAGGCTAAACCTTCTTGGGTAAGCATGTACCTGGGCAGTGGTTCGCATCGATGAGAGTAACCTGAATGCCGTGAACCTTCACTGGTTCGCCCATCGGTAGCCGCAGAACCATGTTAGAAGGAACTCCTAGAATCTTTTCAATTAGATTCCCTAAAAACATGTTTAAGTCACGAACTCTTAAACTTACACTTAAGTTCCCAACAGAACCAATGAGAAGATGCTGTATGCAGGAGTGTAACGTGACACATCTCCTGCAGCATTCTCCCTTGAGGAATCCTAAACCCTCAGAGATGCGCCGCAATGCCTAAACTCTCACCTGTTACAGTAGAGCACCAGACAGGACCCCTTCTCCATTGCCTTCCTAGACCTGAATAATGATCAGAATGAAAGTGTGACAGAAAAAAAACAAACTCTGGCTCACATGCCCCGTGAGAACGCGGCCCGCGGTTGGGAGCATTTCGCTCGTTGACAACTTCCTTGGGGAGCCTTCGAAATAGGTCAACAAGAAATAAAGGGCTGGTTCCAGCTACAATATGTCCTTGGAAATCATCCATAGTCTTGGGTGCAGTCTTTCTTGTTTGCAGGGGCAAGGTGGGGCCCCTAGGGGCCCCAAAGCCAGGCAAAGCAACTCCCTAAATATGGATAAATGAAATGAATCGCTGTCTAGTGGCGAGTGTACATGCTGCTGGTGACAAAATGTTTGGGGCATAGGATTCACAATTAAACACTGGAGCTGCTCAAAGTAGAGTAGACGCTCTGGTAATATGAAGAATTCAGAGGAACAGACTTTCTAACATCACTAAAGCACATTGATCTTGTGTTTATATGCTAAAATAAAGAGTTTAAACAGCTGTAAGGATCAGGAGTATTAGCCCAGAACCTTGAAGGCTAATCGGGGGGGCCGCCCCGTGGTCCATTTATGGTGACCATCACGAACCTAACCTCGAACGCAACCCGATCGGTTCAGTTGCAAGGAATGAGCTCTCTAGCCTAGCTCCTACATGTTGAGCGTAAGACTTCAAGATGCTCGCAAAACCATTAATTATGCCCCACAATTTCCGTGGACTCAGCGCCTCACCTGCAAGGGTCAGCACTTTGCACCATCTTGTTTCTCGAGAAGCACTTCCTATTATCCACGGTTGTTCACTCTAGCCACTCACTTCTTCGCTCATGAAATGCGATTCGCGAAACCTTTTCGCTTAATTGTTTTCAGATGGGCCAGGTTTCTCCAGCAGTCAGCTGATTGTAACACGTGCAAGTTGTGCTTCCTCTGTTCTGAGTAGAAGTCCCCATTTTAACATGTTATGTGTAATATCCTATTCAATACTCAACTTGCAAAATACCATTTAGTCTGAGAGGCTAAAAGCTCAAGGGTTCGCGTAGTAGTTCATGATACAAAATGGATCACGTGCGGGAGTTCAACCAGAGAATGGACTGCTTTCCTTTGGTTTCTCTTCCACAATTGGCAGTTTTTTCATACCCATTCCATATGGTTGTCATCATAAACTGAAATGAAATGATCTGGTAGGGTATCCACTACACACATTTTCGAGGTGTACAGGTACCGCCTGTATACTGCATAGCTCAGACCTGTTCCTCTCTTCAATACCTTTCGCTGCTTCTTTCTAACGTGCATAGCTCACGGTCATTTCAATGCAAGAACGTCTAAACCTCAAAAGCAATGAAGGTCGCAGCCTCAGCTGTCATTTTGTCATTTGTTCTTAGTTCATACTCGTTCCCTCTGCAACCCAGAAATTTAACTCCCACCTGGCATCCCCTACTTGAAAAGGACTCCAGAGGCTTTTATCGAAGGAGGTCAAAAGAAACATCACCTTTCACAAGCTTCCTGCAAGTTGGCACCACACTTCTGGTAATCCTATGCATAATCGACTTAATGACACCCACGGAGCAAAGTCTTTCCCTTTCTCTCCAGGCACCAGTGAATGATAGCTTATGTGCGTGCAGGATCGTAGGTGAGCAGAAAACTCCAGACAAAAACATTATGTTCTTGCTGACTTTTCCGTGGTAGAGGAGAAACCAGAAGTGACGGAGGAATTCGAATTAAGCGCCGCTGCCACCCCCCCCACTGCCGTAGCCATCAAAGGCAGCACTAATTCTTTTAGACAGGTAGAATATGACGATCATTAGCATTAAGGCGCATTCATAAATACACCACGACACTTCAGGTTGACTCCCCATGGACGCCTGTCTTTTTCCCTACCTACAGCCAGTTCACCCCCGTAACAACACCCTACGTAAGCTTTTGGTGTTAGTTGCGGCATGATGTTTCTGCTGAATTGCCATTCAGTTTACAGCAGTGGGCCAACATCACGGACTGCCGATTTAGCACCTTCCCACTGCCCCCGAAAGGCGGAAATGAACTGTATCTGCCATTGGCAACGACCAGGACACGGTCAAATGACTATTGTGCAGATATAAGCTGCAGTTACAACGTGTGAACTCTATGCCAAGATTCATCGTTTAGAGGCGCAGATCTGAGTGGCACCAGGCGGACACCTGCGTGGTAAAGGCCCACTCCCCAATAGACTCCACGAAAAGCCCTCGAGCCACTATCCTAGATAAAGCCGTATTCAATAGACTAATCGACTTTAAGGTAACGTATGCGGCATAAGTACCCGCACTACATGCCTCCAATATGGGAAGGGCATAAACGGATTAGACAGGCTCTAAGAAATCTCTCATCAGTTTAGCCGCGACGGCTGCTCCATCATCGGGTGTCAGGAGATAGCCAGGGTATACCTATCTATGAAAATATGTGTATATCCACACCATAAGTACACAGCTATTCACGAAAAACATTTCGCCCGGGAGTATTCGTGGACTTCAACTACGAGTGTAGGGGCACCCAACGATACCAACTCCGCTCTGTTTCTTCCAGCAACAGCCAGAAGATACTGGATTTAAATCAAAATCGGTAGTACTGGTGTGAAGAAAAAAGATCGAAATTCCCAAACAACATTTTCCATTCACATGTCTTCTGAAAACCCTGAAACGAATGCTACATATAACCATGTACATATACACCTCCTGCCACTTTGGAGAGATCCAGAAAAAGCAAGGTGCATCAACGTACAACATGCATGCTTACAGAAAACGCATGCATGTGTACACACCCAGCACAGCATGCACACGTTGATCAACTCCTGCACATATTTTCATGTGTGTATATGTGCAATTAGAGCCGTACGTATGCGTGTTCGCAGCGAATATATGCATGGTGAGCCGAAGTACGCACACATGCTGTTTCGCAGACCACAGACATGCAAAAATATGAGGCAGGCTGCTGTGACAAGCTCTGGTGATTCCGTTTTTGTAATAACTCTGTGCATCCACTGCCAGATGGACAAAAGAGTACGTATAAAGGAAGAATGCTACATCGATACGCAAGCAATGAAAGCAAAACGAAGTTTAAGAAATGACGCAAGTAGGTATACAACTTTCCTTTTAGATTGGTATGCGCCCAAATCCCCACCCACGGAAAATACCGGTGGGTGTTCACGTATCTACACACATCGGGAAGCAAGCGAACCCTAGTTATACACCCATACATGCACACCGACACACCCCAGGGCCTAAGCATTCACGTATAAACCCTAAAGATTTGGCCCCGCCTGAATAACCTCAGCCGTGGCTTTGTCGTGGTACTGCTTGAAGTTTTCCACAAAAAGCCCTGCAAGTTTCTTCACCTGCCGATCCAAATCCTGGGTGTCCTTCCAGGCCTTCTGGGGCAAAAGCAACTCTTCCGGCACACCCGCCACTCCCTTTGGCACAAGCAACTTGAACACTGGCATCTCCTGAACACAGAACCCAAACCGTGATCTCTCAAGCCGTATAAACCACAAACTGCAGGGATGCAATCCAGAAAATACACGAGTCCTTCGTTTGATGTAATCCAGAGCCTTGAGTAATTGTAACCCCTCTACCACCACACACGGCCAAGCCATTCTATTCATCCTCACAACCCAGGTGAACCCTTAACCGAAGACCGTCCTCACCTCAAACTCTGCCTTCGCGAGGGATCCGTCGTGGATAGCGTCGACCATAGCGCGAGTGTATTTGAGAGGGATACGGCGTCCGGCTGGCATGCCGTAGCCTCCGCTGATCCATCCAGTGTTCAGTAACCATGCATTGGCGTTATGTTCTTGGAGCTTCTTTGACTGCGCGTGCACCAGCAAAACACGCCTCACTGAGAAGCGCTTTGTCTATAGGAGCTGGGAGGCAGGTAGGTGCCTGGCTTGCCGAAGGTACAGCCAACCATGAAGACAATGGGCCTATATCCCAGACGTAGGGCCTTACCAGCATCTCAGCATACACCATGGGGTGCATAGCCAGGAACGGCGATCCGTAACACGCAGAAAACGTGGCCGTTGGCTCAAGGATTCCCATTTCAGTTCCAGCCATCTTGCTGGTATACCCGGAAATGAAATGATACATGACTTGCTCAGGGGTCAACTTGGATACTGGGGGCAAGACGCCGAACGCGTCGCACGTCTGGCGCGCACACAAGCCACAGAACACCCGAAGTCAAAATACACACCCGTAACGCTATGGCGAGTTCACAGCGCTTCCCAACTCGTGGGTACCTTGTGCTTACCAGCAAGATGATGTTGCTCGGGTGCGTGTCGACACACGCTGGAATCCTGGCATTTGGAATATAGTATAGGGGATAAGCGCATCGCGTGTTCTCCGTGATGCTGCAATCGGTGTAGTCCACTCTGCGCTCGCTTTCCTCTAGCACAACGTTCTCCAGGACAGCACCAAACCTGATAGCGTCGTATATCTCCGGTTCCTGTTCTCTGCTTAGGTCCTTGCACTTTGCGTAGCAACCTCCCTCGATATTGAACACACCCTTTTCTGTCCACACGTGCTCATCGTCTCCGATGAGCTCGCGACGCGGGTCCGCGGACTGCACATCGCAACGAAACCCCGTGAAGCCGCGTTTCAACATAATATACAGACAGAAGTGCACACTACATGGGGCAGGTTCCTCGTAAAACGGCCGCTGCTGCGGTGCATGTGTATCAACACCACACCGCATCTCACCAAAGTGGTCTTGCCGGTGCCGCTTAGCCCAAAGAAGAGCGTAACATCGCCCTTCGGTCCAACATTGCACGATGAATGAAGCGGCAGCTGGCCCCTCTTCGGCATAAGATACATCATCAATGTCAAGATCCCCTTCTTCATCTCGCCGGCATACTGTGTGCCCAGAATCACCATCTCACGTTTTCCCAGATGAAGTGCAACAGAAGTCTGGCTAGTCACACCTGAACACGAACAGCAACTCAACACCAAGCGACCTCTGAATGCCAAGACACGCACGCCTGCCCGCCTGTGCCAAACCCAGGAAAGCGGTTATGTCACTCGTCAGAGACTGGGAAATCGAGTGCTGGCACAGCGGGAGTTTTTCCCCTCGAAAATTAATTCCAGTACCACATCACATATCCTCACCATCAGCTAGGTCTACCTGAAATTCGGCTGGTTGCATACACCAGACGCCACCCCTCCTACCCCCAGCACCCCCCCTTTCCTCTGTCATTCTGCAAAAGACTGATTTCGCTTCTCTCGGTCTGCAGCCTTCTCTATCATCCTAGCTATCCGGCGGCTTCTAAACTAGCCTCAAACAGAATAACTCCGGTATTCAAAGAAAAACCAACACACATCAACTGCTACATGCGCACAGCACGAGGCAATGAAAGGAAACTTGAATCGTTGGAAAGTACCTTCGGTAAACCGATTTGCCGGGAAGCAGCCAGCATTATATATCGTAAAATCCGGCTCAAAGGCTGCCAGCTCCTCTTTTGTGGGCATCACCAACATGTTTTGCATGAAGAGAGCGTGGTAAGCTCGACTCGTGATGACGCGGATCTTCACCCGAAACTCTTTATCCCACCCAGCAAAGGCATCCACGACGTACAGCTGCTCCTGCATCGACACCAAGGCCAAGGCATAGAGAGAAACGCCCCCATGCATGGGTGGAGTTTTCTGCGGCTCTCCTATCTCCCTCCCGAGTGTACTAGTGCCTTGCATCCCCAGTGTCTCTACATGGCGCCGTGAGCACGGCCCTCACCACTGCTCCCTCCATTTTCCGTCAGCTGCCTGCCCACTTTCTGAACACCTTGCTCATTCTGCCCCCATTGCATGCGGGTGCAAGGATGGAGGCATCCACCACACACTTCTCGAGCCCGCAGAAAGCAACCGACTGGGCTTCAGGCCTTGACACCACCTACCTGCAAGTTCAGAAAGTCAACAGCTCTCTCCCTGTTCGTCAAATACGCCCTCTCCGCGAAAGGCATGTTGACCTTTCCCCACCAGATATCATCCTTCGAAGATGGCTCCTCCACAATCCTCTTGTCCCCTGGGGAGCGGCCCGTCTTAAGGCCTGCGCGCGCAGCATTCCGCATGCAGAAGCCGTCCGTGAATGGCGACAGGCATATGCCTTGAAGGACGCTGACAGACAGCGAGGAGAGGCAGCAAGCACAAGGGCAACTGCGTGTGGAAAGGAGGCACGGGAAGCAAGAGGACGGAAAAGGGGCGGCAAGTAGATGGGCGCAGCCGAGAGAATACCCGCCGAATCACGAAATCCAAATCAAAACTGCGACAGCCAAGGGCAGTACCTGAAGAGACGCAGAGGGCCCCTGTATTGGAGATGAACGTCATGGCTTCGTTCTTTAGGGCCTCTTCATACAAGATCGCGGGAGACGTGTTGTGAAACAAATGGCTAACTTGAATTCCTTTCTGCAGAATATTCAAAAACATAAACAGCACTCTCCAGTGACTCACGGCTGAACTCTGTCAAGTAGACGCGAAAAAAGGCCCCTCCAAAACAATCCCACACGAGCATCCCCCCGTGTTCCCCGCACATCGCCCGCCACCTCTAAAAAGAAGTGGCCAGTCACTCCCTGAACGGCTGCCATGCAACTCTCCATACATGCCCCCTCAAAACTGCCCCCTCCGCCTCATGAATCGCAGCACCGCAAAGGGAGAATCGATAAGGGGCAAACATGAGCACACGGGGACCGCACCCACTCTCTACCACGGAATCTTGTGGTCGCCTCGGTTCTACTGAGAGCTCGTTAGAGCTCCGGGTTGACGCTCACTCCGTGTATATCCTCTTGAAACTCTATCTCCTTCTGCAACTGCCCTAAGTCGAGTATGTCTTTCTTGGTCAGTGGGCAGTCACCAGGCTTGTGGTGGGCAAGGTTCGCGTCTATCTGCTTCCGCAGCATCTCCAAAAAGTTAACCGGATCTCTGGCCTCCTGGCGGGAGGCAGCGTCAAGTGACCGCATTGTGGATGTCTGGGGGCGCGGCATTAGGGCCGAAGAGGAAGTCGCAAAAAAGGAGACTTTAGGAGGCCAGGTTGCGAGACGTGAAGCGGCGAAAGGAGCAATACTACGAGACACAGGGAAAGAACACAACTGCCAGGCTGCTCTATTCCCGCGTTTAGACAATAGCACACCCAAATAAGGTGGTGTGATCATCCCTCCTGCCGGTCCCGCTGCTGCCTCTCCTGCTGCTGCTGGTACTGGTGGAGCGGCTGCGCTGGCACGCAAGGATATGCAGTGGCGGGGTACTATTAGGGAAGCAAACCACCTGTTCTCCTTCCTATTCCTTCAATATTCACGAATATATGCCTTAAAAATAGCAGCTGGCAAGAAAGCAACCTTTTCGCCAAAGGGGGCAGCAGGTGAGGGGCGGAATAGGGGGGCGTGTCCGTGCGAGAAATTGCACTGGTAAAAAGGAGCAGGAGAATGATCTCCTGCTTACGTTTTTTTAAAAAAAAGGAATACTCCGCAATGTGAAAGACTAGTTTATTTGCTGCAGATCCAAGAAACAGGGGGTGCTTGCGACAGCGCATGCGAAGGGCACGCGTCGAGTGCACATGCAGGAGCAAGGGACAGTGAGATAGAGAACAAAGCAAGGAGGCGATTCTGCCTCAATTCCCATCATTTCAGCGTTCTATCTTACTGGGGAGCTCTCAAGGCCGCTTGCCATTGGAGCGCGCGAAATAAACGCATACACCACAAATAGGCAGTGCTTCCCACCCACGACCCCTGAACACAAAACCAGCAATGTGTCGCGATCGGTTCTTCCAGCATTCACTTTAAGTAGCCGGGCTTTCTCTTTTGATGCCTGAGTCTCAAGCGTGCCTAAGGAAAGGTTCTTCCATACCTCTAGAGCACCCGGTGTAAGGCTGTGGAAACTTATTCTAAGCAGTGAACGAATTAAATGCCCAGTATGGGCAGGGCCGGGCATCGATGCAGGTGTGTGAAGCTCTAGTAATTACAAACAGGGTGAGGGGCATCAACGAATGCAAACACACACGCTCACGCAAGCTTACAGGGCTGCTTGCATAGAGCAGTAAAACTGCGCCGCATTAAGCTACACTTCGGCACATTTCCCTACAGAAGCTATATTGCACTTACGCATGAGTAATAGCATGACTACTCGTATTGAGTCTTGCTAAATCTTATAAGTTGCCGAGCAGAGTTACTTACGCATCCCACAGTAATTGTTGCACGCAGGTGACGTTACACTCCTTTTGACGTTTCCGTAGGGTGACACTCACATTCAGACTCAATGAGAAACTTATTTAATCTTATTGATACTTTTATAGAGGCGATATTCTGTTATCGATCCTTACACTTCCAAAAACGAGGGGCATGGGGCAGCTAGGATGCGCCTAGCTTCACCTGCCAAGTACTCCAGGGCATTCACAGCTAGATTGACATATAATACAGCACACACACACGCACACAATATTACGCCTTGTACTATCGAGATGTGTATGTGAGCCCCCTTGTACGAGAAAAAAACACAAGTAAAATGTGTGGAGTAAAGCAAAGGCACACCAGTTCAGAAGTGCTTTCGCGCCTCAAAGAGCACCCTCTGCATTCAAATACAGCTGGCGCATGCAGCATACTCAACTTCTAAGCCCTTAAAGAGGCGTCAGGAAGAATATAGAGATAAGACTTGAGAGTGACTATGCATAACTTTGAGTGTAAGGGAGAGCTAACATTTTTCGGGAATCTCGAATGCAAAACGCACCGACGAAGGTAGCTACTTCCGGCCGAGCGTGCGGTGAGGAAGGACAATCATCAAGGATACTTGGGAATACTGTCCATGGCAATCAGAGCTGTGGTCCAACCACAGCCGCGAATTCCCTTGCAGGCAACGAAGCCTACAGCTGTACATCCTTCATCTACAGAGGTTGGCTTTTCCAGCCCTGTTTCACCAAAAAGTCCCATCTAGTGTAGCCGTGGTGCTCACCACTGCTAAATTCCAGAGTGCGGCTTGTTGTCTATCCTCCGTCTCCGCACGGGCCACTTGCGTGCGTAAAAAGGTCTAGAGATAATTCGGGGAGTTGTGAAACTTCTCAAGGAAGCCAATATTGCTGGTTCTGTTGCATCTACAATATTAGAGAAAATCGATAGAGTAAAAGCCAGCATCGATTTGCTTGGAATGACTAAGGTTTTTGCCACCTGAACGCAAGCTTTTTTGTCTGGTTTCCTCCTGATGCACCTTATGAAGCCTGCCGATTTATCGGGACCGCATCTCCAGCCTCGAAATGCACAGTTCAACGCCGCATGTCAGATTTCCGTGCTTGTCATTCTTGAATTTCGCACATACATTTGCGTGCAGTAATCAGGTCTTCTGCGAAGCCCTCCGTCGCTAGGGGTGGCTGCAGAGCCTAAAGCGCAAGGTCCAGGCCCCGATCGAAAGGGAGTGTCTTAATGCAGACCAGGGACCGGGGATAGAAACGAGCACACAGGTATAATGTTTCATTATGAATTTACTTAGCACAAGAGAAAGACTCAAACCAAACAATGAGATTTGTGTAGGCGTCGAGTCGCAAAAACTTGAGAAGAGTGCGTTGGGAGCGCACTTTGTGTCTATATGCGTTTTGGTGGTTCGCAGTGGTCAAATATGGCCAATGTGTGGGAGGCCTTTAAAGCATGCCATAACGCGCTTACGAAGTTCAGTTCTTATTGATACTTCTCAGGTACTCTGAAGCTTCCATACGTGAGCTAAGAGTCATTTATCATCTTCCGAGCCTTCACAGAGCTGGAGTAAAAGATTCAATTGTCATATTTGCTGAGGCTGTCGACAATGATGTAGATGCTACTTTTACCCTTGACTTCCGGCAGCCCAACGATAATTTTCCTAGTCCGATCGGTCCAAACCTTCTAATGAACTGTAGAGATTAACAAAGGTTCATGTTTAGGAGGAATACGTGCCGTTTAGGTGCTGACAATCCGGTCATGGCAGTTCATGGTCTTTTGATGAAGGAAGCATCCCAGGTCACCAGAAGGACTATGGGAACTTTTTCACGTTCCTGTGGATCGCACCATGGCCCGAAAGAGTAGAATCGTTTGCGGCCGGGAAAACTGCACTGCGGAAAAAGTCGGAATACAGACGCGAGGGAGTCCCCGCTTCGTTTTGAGAGACCACAGCCGGCTAACCTCGGCGCGATGGAGCTCATCCTTTTGTTAATCTGGATGCTAGCAATATTAGCCGATCAATGGGTGTAAAAAGCGTTGAATTCACTCAATCTTGAGAGAATTCGCGATTTATTACTGACAGGAGCGGTTGCGATGCACAAAAATGGATTGCTGGGGCATTGCCGCGACCGCTGGTGATTCCCTGAATGTAACTTACTGCGGCGTCCTACTGTAGGAAGCGCTCAAGCCAGTAACAGAGTAACGGCTATCGACTTCCTGAAAATGTTTTTGTAAGGATTACTGAAGGCTGGCTTTCCGTCTAAAGAGTACAATGACTCCATTTTCTTTAGAGCCAGCCGGGTTTTTCCTCACCCCGAACCACACCGCAGAGGTTTCCTTTACTCTCATTGGACATGGCTGCTCCGTTTGTGGTGCAAAGACGAGAGGCAAAATTTGGTGCCTTGGAAAGCTGGTGACATCGTGGCAGAGAAGACCACACCCGTGCACGTCACTTGCATCTGGTGTAAGGAAGGAGTGACGCTTATTAGGGAGCAGCGCAAGTACCCAGAAAGCTGTACAGCGGGAGATACAAATTCTTGCCGCGACATTAGGCTCCTCCGTCCAGGTCTGCGTTTACTTAAGTAAATCAGTCAAAGAGGTAGCGGTCTTAGCAACTCTATTAATGAAGTTCTGGTAATACGGTGCAAGCCCATAAGGCTCTTCAACGTCCTTGCTGGTGAGCAAAGATAAAGGCCACGCCTTGGTCGGTTCGAATTTTTGCCCGACCTGGATGATTCGTCACTTTGTGCGCGTTATCAGGGTGAAGAAGGAAATGCCAAAACGTGTCTGTGAAGTCAAAGGTTGAGTAGACTGCTGATTGTTGCAATCTGTTAATCAATTCGCCAATAGAAAGCATCGGAAACCTCTGATTAACAAAGCCCTTGTTCATACGCTAAAAGGTAATGCACAGGAGCTACCGTTCACCTTTTTCTCAAACAACACCGGGTTCTATCAAAAGGCGTTGGTGGACTCCTGCACCTAGCGAACTTTCATCCAATCATCCGTGTACTGCTCAGCGTACGTTTCATATTGTGTGTGGGCTACGCGAAACGCAGCTTGGGAACGACTCACAGACCAGCTCAATACGGAGTGCTGGATGGCCATCAACTGGCCACCCTGATGGCAGCTCGTTATTATTTGGCACGTCCGCAAACTTCCCCTTTGATTCGTGTCCATTCGTACTATTCCTCGGCTGAAATACAAATTGTATTCTTTTATGAAGAGTCAGTTGCACAACCATTAAGACATGGTAAATGCTTAGAGCCGTCTTCTCTGAATGCTCTACTGAGCCACCCGCATGAAGGCTCTGCCTTCCGTTGTTGAGGCTCCGACTCTACCGTATTCACCAAACAAGAAATAAGCATTTAAAGAGCTGAGAAACTGATTCTATCTAGGAATCTCTGCCACATTAGCCTCCACAGTGAGCAGCCGTGGCTGCATGTGCACTTTCATTGGGTTACCTATGGCCTACGTACGATTGCGGTACGGTGCACGGACCCAAGATAGTAGTCATGGACCATGTTGTTAGGACTTGATTCCGATTCAAAGTGGCTTTTAACTGCCATAGCCGTTCCAACCTTGCGTCCCGCCACCCCTTAGCAAACCTGAGTGTTGGACACTGCGCTAAAGCATGAGTGTCAGGTAGCACTTCTGCACCGATTCCTCAGATAATCGATACACTTCACATCCACTGCCATAAACGCTAGCGGCTATCGGTATAAGCGTTTGTCCGCGCAAAAGTGGCTTGTGGTGAGCTTCTAAATGCGACTGCACCCCCTGTCGCCTCCTTCGGTGTGTTACAGGCTGCGTGGGGGCTTTTCGGTAGGTGCTTCAATGGTTGCTTTGCTTGAGTGGAAAGGGTTGTCGGCGTACGGGAATTTCGACGCCTCTTGAGAAGCCCTGACTCATGTTATATGCCAAGAGCAGCTGAATAAAAAGCCTTCGGAGAACTCAGAAAGCTGAATCAAGAGAGCATCAGTAGATGGATGTGTGGAGAAACATGAAGGCTTTTGGCAAAAGCCACAGTATAGAAGGATACCTGCCGTTGCTATAGGTAAAAAGCTTGGTGTAAAAGGGCTCTTGAACTGTGTGCACCCCTTACGTGCGCACTCGTGATTCCCGCACTGAACCACAGCAGCCTCTAGGAAGTCTATGCGCACAACATTATTTCCTCATCCTTGAAAGTCGGTCAATTACATTGCATAGCAATTCATGTCCGGCTGCGGTTTTGTACTATGTGTGCTTGCTGGCGAATTTTTGTCGTGGAAAGAAAAACACGCATATTGCCAGGGCCTGTGGCGCACCGACGAATCCATGAAGATTTCCTCGACTGACAAATCGTGCGTTGCACCAGCTTTGAAGCTTCTGCCAAAACAGAAGCTTCGAATCGGCTTCTGCCTCTACAACAGGTGATTTGCCACCGTCAGCTTCCACCCCCGTCCATTGCCAGCCTGACTGTTGAAAGACAATATCAAATTAGGAATAGCCAAGTAGCCTGATCGGACCCAGAGAGCTGTTGTAGGGAAACCTGACAATCCCCTGCATCCACAGCCAATGCTTAAAACTGCAGCAGCTGCATCGAACCGTGCGATGCTACTCTCTGTAGCGCTCTATCTAAGGCCTTTAAAAAGAGAGACTTAACTTTAGACTCATGGTAAACTTCATAGAGCTATTATTTCTCAAAGGAAACCTCCCCATTTCCTGCCCGCGCCTGTCATACTTACTGATACAAGGGAGGTGGGGCAGCTAAGATAAGCGCGATCTTCTTCTTCAGGTGGTTCGAGTTTGCACAGCTAGTCGCACATGGCGTTTAACGCACACGCACCCAACACTGCGTCTTCTTGTATTGAGATAACAGCACTCTTCAGTAAATAAGATACAAGTACAGGCAAAGCAAATAGCCAGTGCTTTACTAACTTTAAATCAAATATGCCAGCGTGTACGGGAAAGTCTGTAAATGTAGCTTAGCTCGCTACATGTGTGTACGCGCTATATGCATTTGGCTGTGAGTGCTGGGAGTGCATAGAATGCTGTAACAACGCGCAGCGTCACCATCCTTCAGCCCTCAACCGGGAGCGTTAAGAAAGTAGAATAGGATAGGCGGAGGGGGGGAGAACTCTTCACTCTTGCTGAATTTTTAAAAAACTTTTTGTTGAACCTAAAATGTCTCCCTTCGGAGGCTTTATAGAGAGCGCTAAAGACACTCTCCGTTTTGAGGCCTGAGAGCTTTTAGATAAACGGTTACCAGGGCTACATTGTCTAAGGAGGCACTCCCGAAGAGTGCTGTGACCGCAGTATGTACAACAATGGCTTGGGGCTTCAGCCTAGAGATATGCTCAGCAGTCTACGTAACCCATTCAACTATAGACGTAAACCTTAATCTCCTATAAAGTAATCAAACGAACGTGCACAGTTCCGTATAAATGCGCCTGGAAAACCACTCAGGTATCATTTTTGACTAGCTTAATACAAAAATGTCAAACCTGAAGCCCTACTGCCTAAATCCGTAACTGTCAATGCTACCGGCCAGCCGCATTAAAGGAGGCCCGTGATATGATATATAACTCTCCTTCCTGTGTATGTTACGTATAATGGCTTATAAACCAATAGTAACTGTACTGGATGAGCGCAAAGTGCTCTTACCTACTAGGCGTCAGCCCCGTGAAACTGCATGCAGCAGATCTTTGAACTTTGTCTCTGGTAATGAAAAGTAGTCTTGCGACTGTTCCCAGCTGTTATGACCATTTTCTCATTCTTGTTCAACTGAAAAGGGTGTATATCTATGCTTTTGCGTCAAATTGTGTCCGCGCGGTCTACCCTTGGGGGAAGGGTGCGGCACTGCTTCCCACTTCTTTTTAGTGTATGCATATAGTACTATCCCTCTTGGTGTTCTTTCGTGGTTCCCTAGCCATTCCGCATTGCGTTTTCCCAAAACAAAGCAAGCCCCTGTATCCTAGCTCTTCACCATGCCGCCGGCACATACAGTGCATGCCCGGCTCCGCAGCCGCCTGATAGCGGCCTCTGCCTCCCGATATACTGCTGAAGTGCCTGGTATTTCAGCGCCAGCCCTCATAAGCCCTTTGCGGACCCCATGGTCACTGTACAGGAGTACTGTGAAGACTTCCCTGGGGTTCCCTCATCCAAAATCTCTGGAGCCAATTGAGCGGCTAGGGCTGCGCCGGTTTGCAGCAGAGGCAAAGAGCGACAGTCCAAGCACTAGTATATCTTTTGAGCCGCAAGAGGTGGGTTATGGCGCTAAAAGATTGGGGCATAATTTCAATGTGCATATGTTTCGAGGTCTTTGGATGTATGTATGCAGGTAGGCGTTACGGCTTCAGGCATACGGTATAGGGCCTGTGGTGTGTGCCTTTGTATTTTCCCCAGTAGTTTCTGGGTCCAGTTATTATGAAGTGCACGCCTACGAGCAGTCAATATATGTACCCCAATTTCTTCGGGGTTTTCAGGTGTCAAGGCAGTTGGTAGCTTTGGCAGAGAAGTATTGCAAAGAAGGAACCACTATATCCCTATCTCACAAGTTTGATGTCTTGGAAACCCGAGAGGAGAGGCCATGGGACTGTCTAGATACGGTGGAGTTTGTGCTAGATGTAAGTCAAGCACAGATGAGGGCAGCCTTGGTTAGCTGGTGTTCTACAGTGTAAGCCTTTGTATGTAGCGTGCCGAGATATTCTATGGTCCGGATACCTATTCAGGGCCATAGAATGCAGCGCATAGCACTTGCTTTGTGGAGAGCATGTTTCTTCGATCGCCTGCGAGGTTAATCCAAAACCCTCGAATCTGTAGCTGCCTGGTGAGCTTTCTCTGCAGGCCGAGGGCATCTATGATATCGTTATCCCCGATGAGGACGCAGACTCCTTTGAATGCATCCAGGTACCAATCGGGGTTTGGGGACTGTGAGGCGCTCCGGCGGGGTGTCTAAGGGGGTACTTCGCCGTTGAGGCTAGGCTCTGCACGCTCAGTCAGAATGCTGCTCTGGGCTGTGCACCATGGACTGAGCGCTTGTGGCTCAAAGCGTTGGATGGGGGCTGCCTTCTCAGGATGTGGTCGACTACATCGTCAAGGTTGGGACGGAGAGAGCAAAGACGGGGCAGTTCAAGGCCTCGTAAGGGGCGTGGATCGTGGGGACGCAATTTATTCTGTTATGCGCTCCGGATCATTCCAGAAATCCTTGAGCCACAGCCCTAGGATACGCTTTAGCGGTGAAGAGCTGCGTGGCCCTTGGGAGGGTTTGTGTTTCTGGGTTTGTAATTTCGTGGCGTTCGCTCCAAACCGTAGACGTTTGGACGGAATATTGACCCCTTGATCCCACGCCCTGGCCTTTCTACCTGTTTGGCCCTTTCGCAGTAAAGTAGGGCTTATCTTTGGTATACTTTCGAAAGAGTGAGTTGGAGGAAGTTGAGGTAAGTTCAGGCCTGCACAAGGGTTGCAGCTGCCTGAGCATCTGCAAGGAAGCTTAGAAACCAGCCTCCAACATAGAAGCGTTTTGGAGGCTGCGGGACTGAAGGCCCATTCGAGATCCCTTGTTCTCTCAATGCTTCAGTAACAGTACGGGGGTCCTACACGCGATCAAAGGCAGGCCCCGCCTTGTTGCCCCTTAATAGCTCTCTGACCAACGAGCCATAGGCGCTAGATCCTAACTGGTCGCGAACTCCAGTGGGTTGGCACGAGTGGCAGTATTAGGTTTAAGCACTGGAACTTGCGGGACGGCGCAGCCGTGTAGCAACGGGGAGGGGCCCCCGACGTCATTACAGCAGCCTTGTCACACAGCGTGGCGGCGGAGTTCCTCGCACCAAGTTTGTTCGCCAGACAACCCCTTCAAATTTACAGCTTTGAGTTTAATTTCGGGCTAAAAGACTAACAGTATACGATTCAGACTAGAGGCTTATGGCCTACAGTTCGCGCATGGACCTGACCAGCCCGCCCGCCTGAGACCACGGCTCTTGTGCCCTCCGACAAGTCACGACTAATATTCAGAGTTTAGTTTCCTGCCTGTCTTGGAGGGCTTTTGATTTCTAGAAGAAGAACTTTCTGCATATTTGTTGCTGCTATTGTGTGCCTCCTCGGTGTACGGTCCAGCGCTTGCCGTTGTCGCCGTTGTCTGGGACGTCCCACTGAGTCTCGGCGGAGGGGGGGTCTGAGGTTCACGGCATGCGATTTAGGATTTTCCACGCCTCTGATTTTTTCCAGGAGCACGCGCTGCAACTACTGCCCTTCTGGGCAGGATTCAGAGTGCTGCCGTCCCTCGACGTGGCTTCGCCAGGAGCAAAGCCTGCTGCATATCAGCAGCAGCAACTAAAACAACAGCAAGGGCAGGGGTATGGGGCCTCCCCCCTTTCCCGAACCATGGCCTCTGGATCAAATGAAAGACTCAAAGGCCCCCGGGTGGGGGGCGGAGAGGTCGTCTGGGTGTGCCGTGGCTGCAGGATCCCCCCAACAGCAGGGGGGGCAGCAGCAGCTTTCCTCGGATGCCACAATTAACAGATACGGCACGCCTGCGCAGCAGCTCTGGCATCAGTACCAGCAGCCGCTGCGTCAGTGGGATACAAGCGACTGGGGTCCTTCTGGGGGAGAACAGACTTGGTATGGGGAGGAGGAAAACCTTGCATGCTCCGCTTCCCCCGCACATCAGGCTCCTCCTGTGTGCAGCACCTCCACTGAAACACCGACGGCAAGTTCAGACATCCCCACCGTCCGTTTGACTGTTGGGCAGTGGCTGCTGCTGCCTGTACACCGGAGACCGGAACCGCCTCCGCAACAGGAGGAAGGGCAGCAAGAAGAGCAGCAACCACATCAGCTCCAGGAGGCCCCCCGAGAAAAACAACAAGTAACTGGGCGTAGTGGCCAAGTGGTGTGTTCAAAGTTGCTGCGGCTGCTCTTTTCCTCGTTGAAAGGAGCAGTGGATGCGAAAGTAGTTTCAGTAGCCGTGCTCGTGGTGGTGCTGTTGCTGCAGCTTGCGTCCCTACAGACGTCGCCTCGACAGCAGTGTCTGCCTGCTGTTGCTTGCTATATTGCTTGTGCTACAGCCATTTCTAAGACAACAGCACATTCACTGGATCCAGTGCTGCAGCGACTAGTGCTGCAGCGACTAGTGCGCGCGTCTGCTGTTGCTCATGCCGTTTTTACTGCAGGGGTCAGACACTCAAGGCGCGATTGGCCTGCAGACATTTACTATTGAAGCCTCAGAAGATATTAGCGCAAGCCTTGCCGCTGCGTTTCCACTTTTTAACCCTCCTAGGGATGCGGCTGCGCCTCCTCTCGCTGTGGCTTCTGCTGCGTGGAATGCGATTCCTACCGCTGCAGCATCGGCATTCTTAACTCCATGCCCTCCCCCCTTCTCCTATAGGCCGGCAGCAGCCCCTGCACTCGAACTTGCATCCCATATGACAGCAGCAACAGCAGAAGGACAGCGGCTGTGTATCAAAGTTCGTCTGGATGGAATGCGGGAAGTCCTACCTGCTGAGGCTTTGTGGAATGTAATATCGTTCTGCGCTTCGTTGGGGGGTCTTGGAGGAAGCGCATTGGGGCGGAGGTTCTTGAGGGGCCCTCTGATCTCCACGGATGCTGATGCGCTGGAGACGCCACCATCGCCTCGAAGCGAGACAGGAGAGAGGCGGCTGCAGCAACCGCAACAGCGTCTACAGCAGGAGCAGCAGCATCAACAGCATCAGCAGCATAAACAGCAACAGCAGTTGCTGCCAGAGCTCCTTGGGTGCAGCCTGAGGCATTCTCGGCTAGCTAGAGAGGCTGCAGCAGACGCTCAAAGGCTGCTGCAGGAGGATTCCCCTACCGAGGCACATCCTCTTCAGGGCGCCGCTGTAGCAGTGGCAGCAACAGAAGAGGATAGGGGGGGGAAACTCGTGGCGGCATTCCTTGAACTAGCAAGCGTCGCTCTAGAGACAATGGCAACCGGACAGCATCAATTACTGCACTTACTTCATATATACTCCGCCTGTTGTCTGTTATCCGGGAGTACTGCTGTGGACTCGGCTGCTGCTGCTGCAGCTGCAGACGCAGCAGCACAGGCGGCCAAGACGGCGCTGATTACTGAAAGGGAGGCACCAAGTACAACTGCTACATCAGCAGCGCACCGAGACGAAGTCGTAACAGTTATTGCTTCTGGCCCTCCATCAGCAGCAGCAGCTGCTGCTGCTGCAACGGCAACGGCAAGGCTTGCACTGTACTGTCTCCTTGTTTCAGCTGGCAGCAGACTCAAGGCTGCAGTCGCGGAGGGGCCCCTGCCTCTTCTGTCTGCAATGGCGCACAGATATCAAGATTTCCCTCTACTCGAGGCGTAAGCCATCTGGATCCGGCATTTTGGGCAGTGCATGTTGACTTTCGCTCCGCTTAATTGCTACGGGCATAGGGCTTGTGTTTTCCCGTGTCATTCAGGTGTTACTGGCAGTTGCGAGCGTTGGTGTTGAAGCAAAAAGTCTCGAAGGAATGGGTGCAGCAGCAAGGAGCAGAAGCACCTGCAGAGGGAGGAGCGCCCTGCCTTGTCTGGGGGCCATTCATGGTATACCTACAACCCTAAGAGCGAGCGCTAATGTGGCGATGCGGGGGGGGGGGGGGAATTTACGTGTTTAGTGCTGGAATTTGCTGCGGATAAATCGGTTTACCATTAACGCTTAGTGGTGTGTGAAGTGAAGCGAGGCCCTGCGCTGTTATTCACGTTTGGTGCTGCACAGTTTCCAAGTTTAGCACACTGAGTCTTGCGTTGTGGTGTGCAAATTAGGCTCCATTTAGCTGCTTTGAGGCCATTGTGACGGCAGAGCGCCAAAGAAAGGCCTTGTGTCTCGGCTCTCCTATGGGGTAGCCATATACGTTTAGCCCCTCCAAAAGCCTACTAGGCACCGTTCCCGTAGACTCTACACCTTTGAAAACTCCAGGAACGAGCCCCCCAGATGAGCTCCTATATTTCTTGTATTTCTTCAGGTACCTGCACTGTAGCCTCCGCCGCCTCCGTTCGCCTTCGAGTTCTTCCTTCCCACACGTGTATCTCCTCGTTGGGCCTCAGACCCTCAAAGAGTTGAACCCCCAGGCGAAGGCCAAGCAACAGCAAGAGCGGCAGCAACGCCAGCAGCAACAGCAGCACCAACATCTGTTGTTGGTGGCGCTTAAAAATAGCGAGCATTCCACGGTCCACTTCTTCCTCCCAACGGACGCAGTTGCTGCAGCGGCAGAAGCACTTTTTGCCGCAGACGACAGCAGCAGCAGCAGAAGAGACGCTGCACAAGTCGGAGCAGCAGCGCAGCAGCTGCTACAGCTTGTGCAGCAGACCTTCGCACCCAATGACTTTTCGTATGTTGGAAGCCTCATTTGCAACTTCTGGGGAACACGCTTCTTGCTGCATGACTGGGGTCTCCCAGAACCCTACATCAGCAACAGTAGCAGTAGCGGCGGAATGGAGGAGCCAGTGCCAACGGTTAGCTTTGAAATGACATCGGACAAAGAGGCGCATGCAATGCTCAAGGGAACCTTCGCGCGTCTGGTTGCTCCCGATCACTCTTACCAGCGGCCGGAGCAACCCCCGGAAGTGGCGCGCGAATCCCAGGGAAACCTTGGCCCTGGTGGGCATCCTCAGGCTCCCGAAAGGAGCAGCAGCAGCAGCAACAGCAGCTGGGGTAGCAAGGGTAGTAGCAATGGTTCGCTGTTGCAGAGGCTGCCTCATAGCGAGCAGCGGGTACTGGCGAAGCTCTCCTTCTCGAGGAATCTCAGCGGTGATGTGCCCCGTAAGATGAAAGCCGAGCTGAATCGAGATGGTAGGCTGAAAACCCTAAATTCACAGCCCTCGCATCGGAGTTTGGATCTTGCCTACCGTTGCCTTTCCTTCACTTTCAATTCTGTTTCCCCCTCTCCCATGCAACGGCCTTGTGCTGAAATTCTGAACATATGAGTGTATTTGCGGTGAACAGGGGGGGTTTATGCACTAGAGCCGCTGCCACCACGATGGGACCCCAAACTGGGCTCTTATTCGCTCCCCTTCTACGGAAGAGCTCGGCTTCCCTCTGCCAAGAACTTTCAAATGGTGCTGAGCACCGGTACAGCCAATCCACAGGGTGCGTTCGCCTCAAATTCTCTGGGGGGGGACCTACTGCAAAACACCAACCGTAATAGCGACACGAAAAATCAGGACGCACTCGATGATCATCAGAAAGAGATTTTTTTTATGCTTGGAAAGGTCGAAAAGGACGATTTTTGCCTAGACTTCAGATGGCCAGTGCAGGCACTGGAGGCATTTGCGATGGCCGCAGCGGCACTCGCAAAGAAACGTGTCGTTTCATAAAGAGCAGAGGTCGCTGGTGCCGTTTTTGCTGCTGTTTAAGCAGTAACAACAGCAGCAGCAGTAACTGTGAAATGCACACGGATTCGACTTCCTTAGTAATTCAGGTTGGCTTTGCTCAAGGTAGTATTCTGGATGCCAGAAGGGCCTTTCTTAGTCAAAAAGAACACTACAGTGGCTCTGTACGACAAAAGTGGGATAAAGATGCTGATTCTAGCTACACGCAAGAGTGGCAGATGCTGCTGCTCTGCGGGCCGCAAGCAGTAGCAGCAGCTAAAAAGCAGTTGCAGACGCACCACATTCAGCAGCACTGGCTACATTAGTATCTTTCTGTGCCAGCTAAATCTGAGATCCACCTTGGGGAGAGAAGTGAAGGCCTCTGTTTCATTCGAGGATGTTGGGCCCTCGGCTGGGTATTTGCTACAATAGTGCCTCCTGAATTTTTGATGTCTCACGAACTCCCTGATCATACTAGGTGCTGGAACTGTAGGTCCGCCTTTTAGAGACCGACCAATTCGGCTACTCCTCCGAAACAAGGATTGCAGCCTACTCGAATGAGCAACAACTCATCTAAAGCCATTCTCATCGGCTAAAAGCCGGCGGTCCTGCATGGCCGACAGAGCCCCGCTTATTCTTTCGCAGCATGCTGCAAAAGAATGGTTGGTTGGTAGGATTCACTTCTTTCCTTCCTCTTGAGAATCATCCAATGTGTTCATTGCTGCAAGGATCTAGCTGTTTGGAGATTGCGTAGAGGATTCTCTTTCTGTCGATATGGTGCAAGCGCTTCCATATTCCCGCGTTAACCCCATCAGATTTCTGGAGCAGGCCTCTGGAACGTAGTGCGTCCACTTGTCGTCGTTCCACCGAAGACACACTTCAGCGTCTAATGGGCTAACAAAGAGATAGGAAGGGTCTCGAGTGACTTTTACCAAGCTCTGTGTGCCCACCTCCAGTTGGTGGCTGCAGGCCTGCCGTAAAACCAGGCAAAACGCAGGCATAAGGATGATAAGTCTTGTCCCTGGCTCTGATATGTTAAAACACTATTGCGCATGTCTGGACAGGTCGCTCAGATCTGGCTCACAGAACCTTCGATCTCGTTGCATAATAGGTGCAGATTGAATATTTTTGCTCTGATGCATTGATTGTGCTCCCCAGATTTGTCAAATTCAAGAAGGGAAAAAAGCATAAGAGAGATGGAATTCCCCCAGGTGGATAATCTCTACTTTTTGCGTCCATAGGGAGCCCACTACCACGCGCTACGAGGAAGGCGTCAATGAAGATAGGCCAGCTAGCGGTTCTTACAATATTCCAGCAACAGTACTTTAAGAAAGGAACACGCGAAGGAAAGAGCACCACGGAACTCGGAACTAAAAATCATGAGTGTGCTCTTGATTTATGTGAGGAAACTAGGTGTATTATTGTTCAAGAAAAGTATTGAGTCCTGGCCCCACTCTACCCTGCAAGATGGACATGCGGCACAATATCTAGATTAAATCATACAGTCTATGGGCCACGGCACACAGGGAACAGTAGTGAGCCTAAAAAGTGGAGCTCAGATGTTTGTACCAGCCGTTCTGGCAACTGCTGACCACGGAATACTGAGATGCCTATGGGCTGGTAGAGGTTAGGGAGGCAGTTGCTTTATTTCACGACATGGGAGGATAACTGCAGGCACAACTAGAGTTCTGCACTGTCTACTACACAATTTTTACAATTAGGGCTTAGTAGAGATTCATCTGTTTGGTTCGGCTATTCGTATATATTGGGTTTTGCAGGATACAGTTTTCAACATGGGAAGACTTGTTATTAAATGCATGTAATATAGGGGGCTATGCTGAGCTTCGCCACCCTCTAGTACAATAAAGTATGTTTGACTAACAATTAGTAGGGCGATGAATCACGGTCATGCTTGTTCGAACAGCTTTTTATTGCAGAGTAGCAATAGGTCGCACTGGGTGCTCGGGTTACTTAAAAGTTTCGACTGCGCGCACCGTAGCTCGCACTTGCACTTCGTCGGAGCCCTGAAGGTTTTGGGCAGAGGAAGGAGAGGGCTTTTCCACAAAACCCTCAATAGCTCTACCACTTTGTGTTGAGTTTGAAGCTAAGCGTCTTCCTACGGAAACCATAGATGAAATGTTACAAGTGCGCTAATTGATATGTACAAGTAGCTCTGAACACTTGGACTGCTTGCAGGTTGCAGCAACTGACACCCTAATTGTGCCAATACCCCTCTCCCGGAGCCAGGGCTGGTGAGGGATAGGAGGAGGAGGAGGAGGAGTGATTCGGAGAAATAATGAGATTCCTATGACTTTTCGCGAATGCTTAGACACTCCATGAAGATTCCAATCGGGGCACTGCAGCAACGCTCCACCTAAAGTCTCCGAAGGAAGGTTCTTAGCTTTAAATTCAAATGTAAGCTTTCCAGAAACTCATTGCGACTGCCTTGAAAGCATTCCCCGGTTCCTGATCCTCACATTTCGTAACACGAGGAACATAGGGCAGCAAGGATATGCCAATCTGCGCCTGCCAAGCACTCCAGGGCATTCACAGCTAGATTGACATATAATACAGCACACACACACGCACACGAGCTGTATACGTTAGCCCCCTTGTACGAGAAAAAAACACAAGTAAAATGTGTGGAGTAAAGCAAAGGCACACCAGTTCAGAAGTGCTTTCGCGCCTCAAAGCGCACCCTCTGCATTCAAATACAGCTGGCGCATGCAGCATACTCAACTTCCAAGCCCCTAAAGAGGCGTCAGGAAGAATATAGAGATAAGACTCAAGATTGACTATGCATAACTTTGAGTGTAAGGGAGAGCTAACATTTTTCGAGAATCTCGAATGCAAAACGCACCGACGAAGGTAGCTACTTCCGGCCGAGCGTGCGGTGAGGAAGGACAATCATCAAGGATACTTGGGAATACTGTCCATGGCAATCAGAGCTGTGGTCCAACCACAGCCGCGAATTCCCTTGCAGGCAACGAAGCCTACAGCTGTACATCCTTCATCTACAGAGGTTGGCTTTTCCAGCCCTGTTTCACCAAAAAGTCCCATCTAGTGTAGCCGTGGTGCTCACCACTGCTAAATTCCAGAGTGCGGCTTGTTGTCTATCCTCCGTCTCCGCACGGGCCACTTGCGTGCGTAAAAAGGTCTAGAGATAATTCGGGGAGTTGTGAAACTTCTCAAGGAAGCCAATATTGCTGGTTCTGTTGCATCTACAATATTAGAGAAAATCGATAGAGTAAAAGCCAGCATCGATTTGCTTGGAATGACTAAGGTTTTTGCCACCTGAACGCAAGCTTTTTTGTCTGGTTTCCTCCTGATGCACCTTATGAAGCCTGCCGATTTATCGGGACCGCATCTCCAGCCTCGAAATGCACAGTTCAACGCCGCATGTCAGATTTCCGTGCTTGTCATTCTTGAATTTCGCACATACATTTGCGTGCAGTAATCAGGTCTTCTGCGAAGCCCTCCGTCGCTAGGGGTGGCTGCAGAGCCTAAAGCGCAAGGTCCAGGCCCCGATCGAAAGGGAGTGTCTTAATGCAGACCAGGGACCGGGGATAGAAACGAGCACACAGGTATAATGTTTCATTATGAATTTACTTAGCACAAGAGAAAGACTCAAACCAAACAATGAGATTTGTGTAGGCGTCGAGTCGCAAAAACTTGAGAAGAGTGCGTTGGGAGCGCACTTTGTGTCTATATGCGTTTTGGTGGTTCGCAGTGGTCAAATATGGCCAATGTGTGGGAGGCCTTTAAAGCATGCCATAACGCGCTTACGAAGTTCAGTTCTTATTGATACTTCTCAGGTACTCTGAAGCTTCCATACGTGAGCTAAGAATAATTTATGATCTTTCTGGAGAAAAAAAGACTTGTTCCTATTCATCTCCCAGGCACAGAGACAAGTACAACTGCAACCGAGTGATGAAGCCTTCGAGCACTTGTCTATCCTTACATCCGTTTACATTTTCGGGTCAGCATAGCCTCAACTTCGCACCTCAAGGCATTTTATTCGTTCAACATTCATGCCTTTCTACTAATTGTAAAGCTAGCATGTGTAACTGGTATTTTCTGTCGATACAATAAGACGCAATATGGTGTGAATGTGCGCTAGACGATGTGTTCAACTAGCCTTGAACGGTCAGATTGCTTCAGGCTGCAGCTGCGCGCACCCTAAGCTCTTCCTCTCCCATCAGCTCCAAAAATCAGAGGAGCGACGGTAGGCGGGGGTAGGAGCTTCTTTCTAAATAATCAAGAGCTTAGAATCGAGGTTCTCTTGAGCTTACTATCGCATAATGGAGACATTTGACAGCGTATTACAAAGCCTGCTACGGGTAGAAGCAATTTCGGTGGCTCAAATTTATGGTTGTACCAAGAATTTGCGCGTATCAAAGATTGAATGTACAGATTATAGTGAAAGAGACGCCGATGGATAGTCCAGTGACCCCGAATCCTGCCACGCTCTGTTCAAACGAACTGCATTGCCGCTTATCAGACACCAGTTTTTCGGGAGTATTCTTGTGGTCGTCACACATACTTTGAACCTTTTTATGCTCACAAATGTCCCCATTCGTACTGTGAGGTGCCGATGGACGCTGCCAACCTCTGCGAGCGGTGGAGGAGACCTGGTAAACGCAGAAAAGCTTCATCTTGCAGTGGTGCTTCCACAATACAAGCCATATATGGGATATTAAGAATCAAATATGAATTAGGACTGATGCGGAGCAAATTGCGATGAAACTAAACGGGAGAGATAATCCTTTCGATCAGAACTCTTGATTCGGTACTGCGCGTTGCCCACACAAAGCAAAGCCCTCAGGTGCTCATCCCTACATAGAGTTAAGCCATAAATAATAATCATACAAACACTAATGTAGGGTTGGTAGTTATTAGTTTTTTTTGAAACTCCTGCCATAACTAGAACAGGTGGAGCTAGCGCTCTTCGGGGGGCATGTCGAACCTGTAGTTCTGCGTTGCCTTACGATCCCTAGAGCCCGGACCACAAATGCCTGCCAAAAAGATATACTGAGAATTAAGATATGCTGTTTATGATGCGTAGTCAAGCATTCGATTTGCCAAAGGTTCTCTCCCCCCAACACAAAACTGTGGAGAGGGGCTGCTGGGCCATTCACCTCCCGCCGCGAAGGCAAACCTAGAGTCCACCAATTCCTTGTGTTTTGGTGATTACTCCGTTCCTCCATAGGTCTTTGTGTTTTCTTAGGGCGAGGACACGAGGATCTCGGAGAGCCTTATGTGGGGCCCATCGCTCCAGGTCCTTTAAGCGTGTGCAGGCCTGGGTTCAGGGTATGCGGTCCGTCCTCGCATCTGAGCCCCCTTAGCACGGAATATTTGAGCCGTAGAGAGCCTCGCTATGATTCTTCTTGTCCTTCTGGCCGCCTGTGCGGTCCACTTGCAGTTCGCTTCCGCGGGTCCACTGGTAGCAAAGGAGCCAGAGCCCGTGTCCTCTCATGCAGACCCAGCAGCAGCACACTTAGCAACATCAGGAGCAGCTGAGGGTGCGAGTGCAGCAGATTTGGCGGCGGAACTGGGACCAGTCACCTTGAAACCAGCCTCTCAACTAGTGCAACTGGAGGCACAGGGACAGCAGGAAATTGCGAAGCCTAAGAACACCCCTGGGATTTCCGCCCCCAATGAGGGCAGAAGCTCGCAGCTGGAGCTTCAGCTGCCTCTGAATAAGGCGGCAGCATCACAGAGCGAGGCAGCACCTCCTGCCAATACCGCTGTGGCTAGGGGGGCTGCAAAGGAATCTCGCGGGAAGACACGCCCCGCCTCCCAAGGCCGTAAGAATGAGACTCTACGGGCACCAGAAAAGGATTTTCTGGACGATTTAATGTCTCCAGACGACACTCTTCGCCACGAAGCTAGAGGGGCCTCATTGCCGCCGAGGCATCCCGCTCAAGCACCAGCCAAGCCCAGAAATCGCTTCCAGCCGTTGGGTTCCGAACAGAACAAATGGGAGCTGTCTGCTGTGGCATCGAAAGATAATGCTGCTGGAGGCGAAGGCCCGATTCTGGGGGATCAGACATCGCAGAAGGATGCAAAACATGAGGGAGAGGAGGAGGAGCCTCACGGCTTGGCGAAGCACGAGGAAAAGCCGCAAAGTGCGGAGAGCATGCAGCCTCAGTTGCTCTTGACTTCTGCAGACTCCATAAGCGTCGCCTCTCAAGACACTGACGGACACAAAGTCTCCATGGACTCCTCGTCTAAAGAAGCTATGACCTCGCAGAATGCTCATATGAGCATTATGCGAGATCTTCTGCAGTGGGCAGCAAATACTGTGGGGAAATCGACGCATTCCCAAGAGAAAGATCCTCTTCATGCGGAGAAAAAGCGTCGAAAAAAAGGAGAAACAGCCCCATTGATGCGGACTCTTGCCGCGGAGGCGAAGCCCCTTCAGAAAGACAAGAGAGGTAGCAAAAGTACTAAAGGGACAAAGCCTCGTAGAAGAAGTAGAAAGGAGAACAAGGAAGGTGGGCATATTCTCGCAGGCTTACCCACGGACCAATACCAAAGGCAGCAGGCCACACCGCGCGCCTCTCTGTCAGGTGCGCGGTCTGCCAAACAGCGTACGTTGCAGCAGCTCTTGGCGAGTAAGGCTAAGTCTATGGGTATTGCTATATCGAACCTCACAGGGAGGCCCCGTTCGAAAAAGGTAGGGGCTGAAGAGGTGCTCGAATCCACTTCTGTAAGGCCGTTTCCCTTCGTTCCCGGGAGCGCCGCTGAAGCGCCTCCCCGGCAATCTCTACATACTCTCCTTGTCAACGCCATTCAGAGAAGCGGCAAGTATAAGGAACGAAGCCACAAGGATGCACGAAGGGGAGGAGTCCCAGGAGCAGTGGCAGGTGACTTGAGATCGCCAGCACCTTTGGCTCGCTCGACGGCCGCCAGCGCCTCGGCATCTCGCGGAGCAGCTGAGGTAATAACTGCGGCGCGAGCTGCTGCCGTGAGAATCAAAGGCATTACTGGTACGCCACAGCTCCGAGGAGCACCGTTGTAACAGGGTAGCAGGAGGCTTTGAGCAGAGAAGCTCATGCAAAGCAGTTTAGAGCTCGATTCTTTGGTGCTTGTGTGTGCAGTACGTCCACCACGGAGTAAAGCCGCTGGTACAGACAAGAGCGTACTCACCAACAGCGGGGACGCTAAAGGGGAAGAAGAACTCTCTTCTGACAACAGGCCCAATGTCGACGAGGTACTATCGGATACCCCAGACCTCGCTCACGAGCTGAGACACTTATCGCAGGATTCGAATGCGCAATCTCTTCAGAAGCTTTTGAAAGCAGAGGGGACTCATACAGAGCGCGAGCAATCGGTTCCTGGCGAACACGGCGTTGAGACACACGGAGAGGATACCAAAAGTAGGGGGAAAGCGCCCAGCTGAAACAGTCCAGCTGAGACAGACGCCCCTAGCGTGGACGTGCCGTCGGTCTCCCCTTCACCGCTAGAAAAGAAGAAGCGAAGAAGGCAGGAGAAGCAATGAAGAAGTAAAACATTCTGTCCCTAGTGCCCCCATGCAGTCCTCGGGGGCTTCTGAAGGCGCGAATCTAGAGAAGCATCAGGGACACAGGAGCTCTTGCAAGCTAGCCCAGGCGGACAGTCTGCAGCAACCAGGGATTCTGGCTTCCTTCGCAAACCGAAGCGTGCGGATGCTGCGCTCAGAAAGAAGAGGCGCGACTACACCAGCAAAGCACCGAACGGAAGAAAGGGGGTGTAAAGGCGCAGTGGAAACCGTCGAACGATTAAGGGGTCCGCCGGGGGGGCCAGGAGAATGAAACGCGAGGCCTCGCAGGGCCACGAAAAGAAGAGCCGCAAAGGAGGAACCAAGGAGGTTCCTAGGAGGCAGAGTGGAAACAGCCTCTGCAGTCCAATGGGGAAGGGTCCTGAGCGTGAAGAAAAGGAAGGTCGCTAAAGTGGGCAGCAGGGAACGTCGTTGGGTGACAGCTCAGCAAGCAGCGCTTCTTTACGGTGCGGCCCTATATCTGCAGTTGGAGTAGTGGCGGCGTTCGGAGCGTTGAGTCTCTTTGGGTTTTTAACTTATTTTTGAAATAAAAGGTTCTTGAATGCTACACCCTGGGTCCCTTTTCTAGTTAAGAGAGTACAAACTCAGCATGTCAGCCTCCAGGGGTTTTCTCGCAGGTGGCTGGTTTACTTTTACGGGCGCCAGTAGGATAATGTGTGCCGAGTTCCGGACTAACCAGCTGAGCCCCTATTTCCATGTTGCCTATATTTATGCGTACTTGCTTTCCTTCGGAGAGAACAAAGTCCGGCAACACGACAGCAGAGCAAACGGCAGGTCTTGTTGCGAAGGGTAAACCAGCGCGTGGGGTGCTAAACGGGGGCGCCCAATGTTAAACGCTATACTATCGCCTGGCCAGGGATGCGTTTCAATGTCTGAAATGCGCTAACAGCCGCGTTGGCACATCAGTATGTAGGAGCGTTTATGGTCGAACCCCCACATTCTTTTTGTTGGGCTGCGTGCCCCCTATTATTTTGTGTAGCTGTCTAGCAATTTCTCTGTAGTCAGTGCATAAAGCCAAGTCTCAAAGTTTTTGTAGCTGCAAAAGGCCGTTGGGGGCCCGTCATACACAACGCGCACTCCTGAACAGCATCGAGATGAAAAGTCGCCATTAAACAATGCGGAAGCGTCTTAGTTCTTCACTAGTCGATAAAGCAAAAAATAAAGCGAGGCTTTGCGAACAACTATAATTTGTATTCTAAGAAGGGTTCATAAAATAGCTAGGACCCCATCAATAGTAGCCTTCTAGAGAGTGACATAGCGCCCGCAGCTGCACTTTTGTGGACATTCCGAACCACGCATGCAAAGATGGCGCCTGCATCGCCTGTATGTTAGTATTTCTTGGGTGGATACTCGGCTAGCTTACTCGTCACAACTAGGAAATCCCCCGGGGAATCGGCTTATGCGGGCAGCGAAACGACGCAACGCCCACACAGTAGGCTTCTTCAGCCTTCTCATGCTCTGAGACCCCTTGCCCTTGGTTCAGTAAAAGTGTTACTTAGGTCAGAACGTAACTTTTTCCCTATCCCCATTCTGGCTCTGTTATGCCCCCATCACCCGTACTGCTTTTCTACAAGTAAGTGAAGGGTCGGTCCTGCTGGCATTGTGCGTACACCAGATGCATTTCTTCTAGCTTGAACATGTACTTGGGGTGCAGCATTCCTCTTGCTTGTGTGAAAAGCTCAGACCTCGCAGGAAACTGTATGAACGGCTATTTGCTGTGTAAACGGTTCTGCCTGGGTGGCCTCCTGCCTTGCTCCTTGTAGCAGTGTAGGTGAACGCAGCTAGCAGGCACGTTGTGGCTAGCCAACCACTAGCAAAGGCCACCCTGTGGCTGAAACTGCAGAGGCACTAACTTGAAGCCGAAAAGTAATCCATCGGCCTCAGGCCACGTCCCGCGCACTTGAAGTGAACTGGACCAACCTTACGCAAGGAAAGATCCCCTAGTGTCTCTACATGGCCTCAGTCAAGCAGCCCGAGAAGCCTGCAGAGAGGAGGGGCCCTACAGAAATGGAGGTTCGAGACTGAGTGCCTGTGCATAAACACCGTCGAGCTCCCCAATGCGGCTTTCAGAAAGCCTCACCGCTGTGGCCATCCAGCAAGCTGCTGCTGCGGTTGCTGCTGCTGGGGCTGCATCTGTTGCAGCTGCTGCAACAGATGTGCTGCCACAGGGGGCTGCTGGCTGGGCATGTGTAGCTGCTGCTGCTGCCTCTGCAGCAGCAGCTGCTGCTGCAACAGCTGCTGCGGCTGCTGCTGCTGCAAGAGCAACTGAGGGTGCTGCTGTTGCTGGAATACGGGAAAGGGCTGCAGCGCAAGTGCTCCGCTTGCGCTAGCAGCAGCAGCAGCAACGCCTTGCTGCATTTGCTGCTGCACGAAGGCCTGCTGCTTTGCGGGTTCCCGCACTTGTTGTTGATGCAGCTGCTGCAACGCATGCAACTGCCGATTCTGTCGGAGCAGCTGCTGCTGCTGCTGTGCAAGAACAGGCAGAGGCCCAGAAAGAGATCCTGAAAGGGCCCCCAGGGGGGCGCCCGGTAAAGCGGCCCCCGGGCGTACAAGGCGTGGCTGCTGGAGTTGCTGCTGGAGGATCTGCTGCTGCTGCAATTGCTGTTGCTGCAGCAGCTGCGTACTAGGAACTCCTCCTTGCTGCTGCTGGAGCAGCAGCTGCTGCTGCTGCCTCTGTAGTGGCGTCGTCAGCAGCAAGTCATATAGCGCGTCGAAGTGTCCAGGGAGGTTCTTGGGAGGGGTCGTCACTCCTGGCACCCCTGCAGTTACGACTGCCGACTCGGTCGCTCTGTCACCCTGTTGCACTTTTGTTGCATCCGCAAGGGCAGCACCGCTGGCAGGGGCCTCCTCAGGTGGTTTTGTTGTAGCATCACCGCTTGCACTGGCAGCCACAACTTTTGTGAATGTTCCCACGCTTGCGCCTTCTGCTTCCGAAGCATCTGTCTTGAGGCGCTTCACTGGGGGCCCCCGTGCTCCTGAGGATGGCACAGGCCCGCCTTCTCCTGGAGCGCTTTGGGGGGGCCCTTGTGATGCCCCTCCTGCTGCAGCGGCAGCCTTTGCCGCTGCCCGTAGCAGCCGTATCCGCATCTGCTGCTGCTCTTGGGTGAAAACTGCAGCAGACAAGCTGTTGCTGCTGCTGATTCGGGCCCCGCTGCACAATGCAAGCAATACATCCGTGCAGATTCCCGAGGGGCCCCCTGGGGGTTTAACTGAGCCGGCTGCAGTGGTAAGGCCTGCTAGGGGGCCCCCAGGGGGGGCCCCGGGGGAACTCTGAGCTAGAGTCCTTGCTGAAAAGACATGGGCCTCTCCAACACCCAAAAGAAGCGACTGATCAAACCTCAAGCGAGAGTTGAACTCGGAGAAATCGGGTGTATCGACACCTGAAAATTCAACGACCCTTTCATATCGTACATGCTACAGGCTCAACAAGGCTCGGAGAAGCGTAATGCGACATTCCTCCATAATAACGCTGCATCCTTCCAGCCCCGTCCAGCCGCTCAACTGCCCAAACTCTAAACCGTGTCCTAAGCCCTCCTTCACCCTTACCAAATAGCCTAATATCTGTAAGCGGCGCTTTGGGCGGCTCCTTCTGTCGAAGCCGTCGAAGGGACGGCCGCAACGCCGGGCAGCTTGCTTCCAATCGCTGCAAGGTATCTGCCCCAAGAAAAGTCATGATACTGCAGCGGAAAAAGCAGAAAGACAGTGCCCCAAGTCTCACACCGCACGCTGTTTTTGCTGACCATGAAATCGGCAAGACAAGACAGGAACTCCTCCCAGCCCCCAAAATACTCCACTCTCGAGCGCGCACCTACAGTTGTACGACAGATGCCTTGCTGAATACCTCTTTGCAGGCCGGGCCCCTGGGTGTGGCGGCAAAGGGTATTCCAAAACATTCAAGTCCTTGCCCTCTCCAGGAAGGGGGATTCCAAGAGGCCCTTCATGCGTTGTCGCTGCCGCTGCGCGCTCTGCTGCCTCTGCCTCCAGGGCGGCATCCGAAAGCATGAAAGAAAACCAGAAAAAAGGGTCTGTCAGCGGGCTATTGCCAACGACGGCTGCACATACATACACACACATCCGCACACACGGGCACACACGCAACACCACGTTCGAGACCGTCAACACAGCAAAAAAGCGACTGCTGAAGCGCTCTGTCTGCCCACTGAGGCCCTCCCCTCAGTAGGGGCCCCCGGCGTAGCTCGAGCCTGCGAGTGCTGCTGCGACTTTGTGAGAGCGTCAGAGTTCACGGACGGAGCGTGGCTTCGTGGGTGTCTTGGGCTGAGTCTTGTGGGGCTTGGGAATTGAGAGATTGCGGTTCAAGAAGCCCCAGAGCCGCGGCTGCACGAGGATTTGCGGTGGAACGCATCAACAGAGAAGTCACCAGGCGCTGCCGAAACCAGGAGCCTTCAACATCGATGGCCTCTTCCGCCGGCTCAAAGCCCTTGACTGAACAAGAAACGCATACATGTACATATGTATGCATGTATGCGCACATATATGCATGCATGTATATGAATATAGACAATGCCAAACCGTAATGAGCCCATAAGCTGGACAGGAAGACAGACAGTGTGATTTTTGGCGCAACATGCCGCGTCCATCGCGCCACAAGCAGGAGCAGCCTCATCCCTATCCGAGATTCCAATGTACTCCCGGAAGCAACACCAGACACGCCTCACCAAGGGCCCCGCTGGAAAGCGCTTACCGAGGTCGCCCTGCTGCTCAGTGGAAGCGTCCTTGTCAGCGATTTGCTCCTCGGGCTTATCTGATGACAAGGCAGTAGCAAGCCTTTCGTCCTTGCAGTTCGCAGCAGCAGCGGCAGCAGCGGCAGCCGCAGCGGCATCCGCCGCTCGCGCCGCACCAAACTTGGCCCTGAAGCGCTCCCTGAATTTATCCCAACAGGCCTCAACCAATGCTGCAGCACGGCAAAAGGGGGTGTCTGGATGGTTGTACAGCCGACAGTTCGAGACAATCAGCGCCACGTCCGCGTCAAACTCGGAGAATTCTGCACACCACAAACAACGCAAAGCCCTCAGGCGATAAGACTCTTCCCAAAACGCTAGGCGGTGCACTGGGAGAAGGAGAAAGTGAGAGAGACAGACAGAGAGAGAGACAGAGACAGAGACAGAGAGAGATATATAAGGAGGAAAAGCGAGGCTTTACGTCCTGGCCCCTAGCGGCGCCTACCCTGATAGAGGCCCTTTTCGGCTTTCTCTCGTATTGCTTCGAAATGCATCGGGTTTGTCACCACTGATTCGTAGTCAGGAACTAGCTTAGGATCCACAGCAACCGCAAAGTATTGCTTTTTATCCTTCCTCTTGAGCCGCTGGAGCGCCTCCAGTAGTACTTGGCGCACCCTGGGGCACCCAGGAGAGGCTACGAGGCCCTCAAGAGCCTCAGCGGAGCCTGCTCCGACACCAGACTCGGAGGAGCCTCCTCCGAAAACGCCTCCTCCTCGAGGCGCTTCCACTGAACTGCGCGTGACTGGCGCGATGCCCGCGATACCTGCGCGGAAGCACAACTGGCAAAAACCGCAAATCTCCACACCCCCGAACAACAAAGCCACAGTCTCCACAAGGGCCCCTAGAACGCCTCTTACGAGCCAAGCTTCGACGACACACCTCGCCGTTGCTGCAGCATGGCAGCCCTTGCTGCCGCTGCAGCTCTCGTGGACGGAGCATCGGTTGCGCCGGAGATCCATCGTCGCCCCCCACTCCCCATGGAGGGGCCTCGTCGCGCAGACGCTCTGCTCCGCGCTGCTGCAGAGGGGGGCCCCCTCGGAGGCGCTGGCCATGGCCCTCCAAGCCCTGGAGGCGCCAAGGAGAGGCCCTTTAGCCCGAGGGCCCCTAGGGGCCCCTGTGCGTCAAACGCCATTCCTGCGACAAAGATTATAAGGGGCCCCTCAGGGCCCCTTAAGAACGAATCGGCTGCAGGTCACTGGCGAAGCGGTGGCTCCTGTATGTCCACTACTTCTGATGAGGTGAGGTGCTGCTGCTGGAGCTGATCCGCCTCTGATTCCCCGAGTTCCCCAATTCATCACGCGGCTTCCGCTGCGCGCTCGAGTATTCGGCACCCCCCGGGAGCTGCTCGGAAACAAACGCAAAAGACACGGCTGGGGAACGCTAAGAGCCGAGCTGCTGCTTGTTTTACTGCTGCCGCTTGGTTACTGCTGCTGCTGCATGCGGCGCTGCCTCAGGCGGCACCCATGCCCGTGGCTCCGGGGTCTACAGATGCACCTGCCACGTCGTCTCGCCAATCTTCTTCGTCGCGCAGCTGCTACAACGGACGCCACTCCTTTAGCCGCGGCACAAACGGAGAGGCTGGCCCTTCAGTTACCGTGACAGGAAGTACGTGATCCTCCTCCACGCTCGAAGCACTGAACCGGCAAACCCCGACTTCCAGTCGAAAAGCTCTAGCATTAAACCCTAAACGTAAACCGCGGAGCAAGAAAAAACCACAGAAAAATCACAGGCAGAAAGGGGGGCCCCGCAGGCAGGGCTTGGCGACCGGCAGCAGAGCTGGCAGCAGCGGATGGTGGGCCCCCTGTTGGCGGACGGTGCTCTATCTATGCCACTGGAATCTGCTTGATTTCAGAAAGACTGCTGCGGTGGTTGCATCGAGAGTCAATCTTATGGGGGACTAGGTTTAAAGGTTTAACAAGAGTGCGGGTGTTTGGAGATTCATAGTGTTGGCGCTGGCTAGAACAGCTCATGGCGGTCTGAGCCAGCCGGAGGTGTCCATCCCTTCACAACTCAGCTTATTCCCAAGTGTCAATACACTATATATTTCGGTGTTTCGTCTTCTCTTCGGTATGCCATTTGCTGCCTTGTCTGCAGCTGCGCGGGTAAACTTAGGGCTAACAAAACAGGGTTTAGACTATCGCTGGAAGTAGCGGTGCGGTGCGAAGACTTCCGTGGGGTACCGGATGGTTCCGAACTACACCTGAAAGGCCGTCCGCACTCACTGCGCGAGGGCGATAGAGCAGCGGGGGCCCCGTAACACAGTCCTGGGCCCCGGAGGGGGCCCCCGTACAGGTTCTTCCGCGAACCACTTCGGCGCATTGTAGCACCAGCAGTAGCGGTGCAAACCGCAGAAGTAGCGGCTGCAACTGCAGCCTCACAATCATCATCATGCAGGAACAAGAAGCCGCATGCACTCTAGACCCCGCGTGGGGCCAACAAATCGGTCGATCCCAAGGGGCCCCAGAGACCCTTAAGGCCTCTCAAGGCGCTCCTACTGAAGAGCAGGGGGATACTGCAGGCTCCTCCTCCGCTTCCGAGTCGTTTTCAGGCAGCCAGGAACTGGAGACATACCCTGAGAGCACTGGAGATTTGCAGCATCAGCTTGAGGCCATATCCGTTGCTGCTGGCCCTTCCAGCATGCCCTCCTTGTCTCTGCCCCTCCCCACCGCACCGAATCCACGTCCCTATGATTCCTTGTGGCGTCTTTTGTTTCTGGTGCTGATATCTTGCGGCCCCTTCCTCTGCATGCTCATTTTTATCTCTGTGCTGCGGAACGTCGCAGCCTCCATGCTCTTTCTGCATTGGATCTGCATGTTGGGGGCCCCCATGCTATACGTGTACTTTGCTAGCGACGGCCCTGGTTACTACAATCATGTGCTTCTGTGTCAGGGGCCCCGTGGAGGGAGGTGGCGGCGGCAAGGGCCTTGGGCCTGTCTAGGGTTTGTGATGGGTGGGGTTGGTACCTATGTTGGGTTCAGGTTTGTGTGGCTGGTGTGCCAGGCTGCCAGCAACGTCGACGTGTACGAGGAGGTGCGTCTTCGACTGCAACAGCTGGGGCTGGGGAGTGCTCTGTGGAAGGCCGTCTTGCTGGCAGTCTATTTCATCCTTTTTAATCCCCTTGTTGAGGAGCTGTTTTGGAGGGTGTTTCTCTACCGCGAGTTAGGAGCTGGGCTCTTTGGCTCGGGTGCGGCAGGACTGCTGCATATCACAGAGGCAGAACCGCTAACTCTAAAATTGCATCGCAGACGGCGTACGGCAGCAGGTGCGTCGCAGGCCCCAGATGCAGGGGCAGGCGCCAGAGAGGGGTCCCCCTGCAGCAGCCTTTCTGATCGCTCGGAAGGGTCGCAAGTGGATATTGAGCAGCAAGACTCCGACGTTTACGTCGCTGTGAAAACGCCCCCTGACTCCCCAAACGATACATTAACGACTGCAGCGGCAGCAAGTGACACACCAGCCTCGCATGGGGAAGCGGAGGGGGCGACCACCTCCAGGGTGAGGACTAGGAGCAAAACCATAGCATACTATGACCTAAGAGTGCCTTTATCCGGTTTGGTCGCCCTGGCAATAAGCTACAGCAGCTACCACATGGTGATCTTTCATTCTCTTTTGGGAGCGGCTTTTGTGCTGCCGTCCTTTGTCCTTGTATCCCTCCTCGGAGGAGTCTTCCTGTTCCTTAGAAATAAGGAGCGCTTTGGACTGCTTACAGCAACGGCACTGCACGCGGGGGTCGATGTCGGCGTCATCATCGTCCTGGCGGAGGCACTCAATGTCTTCTAGCCGAAAAGCGGGTATAGAGGGGCCTCAATAAGGCGACTCACGAGAACGACCGATAAGCGACTTGGGGAGTGGGTTCAGCGGAGGGGGAACAAGGCGGCCACGGTAGAGACACATCGGCGGCTTTTGTACGATCCTGAAAAAAGCTGTTAAGGGCTGTAGCGGCACCTTTTTTTTAGTACAGCGCTGCTAGAGGGTGCAATAGCAGTCCGTGAAGTCGCACTTCTTTTCTGCGCCGCTATTGCTGTGCTCTTGCTGCCCCAGCTGCATCGCATGCTGTACGACCAGGGCTCGAGGTGAACCGCCCATAACTGTGGCCCCAACTGTGGAAATCTTGCCCTTTTGCAGCTCGCTATACCCGCTAATAACCAACCCTTCAAAGTTTGTGTATGTATATATATGCACTGAAAGCATTGGACGCAGCCTGATTGGTTCCCCCCTCCCCCGTTCAAGGTATAGCAAATTTTACTTGGTCAGGTTGCTGTTATGCAAGCTACCGGATACGGCTGCTCGCCGCACTTCTCTGGCGCTCGTGTGTACAAACAGCCCAAGAATAAAGGTACATAATTTGCACAATGCTCTGAAAGTTGGGTATCTGCAAGGGCCTGCGAATGAACACTGGACGCCAGTTGGCTGGCTAGCTAGCAACATCCATCAGTTCAGGGTCCGTTCTCTGTTTCAAAGAGCCCCACAGTCCTCAATGACAACAGGCACCTGCGGGAAACGACGCATGCACAAGGAGAGCCTTCGTCCGCACTGCTTCTGCATGCGTGAAACACAGAAATTGGGTGGCTGCCTGCCTGCTTGGCTAACTAGCGTACGCTAGGTTGTAGAAGCTGCAAAGAATAACCAAAGTAGTACAAAATACGGTTTGGGTCGGACCTCGGGTTTGTCCGCTCCGTCAGTGGGCACCTCTTCGACTTGATCTAGCAGCTCTAATCCCTCGACAATCTCACCAAACACCACGTGCTTCCTAAACCACACATCTCAGCAGTGAAGCATCGAATCTTCACTGCAAACCCTAAATAAGCACGTGGCAAAGAAACTGCAATGCCCTGCAAATAGCCACCAAGCCACAATGCACTATTGTTCCAACCCCTCAGCAAGCTCTGCCACCACCTACCCATCTAGATGCGGCGCAGAACCGAAAATGATAAAGAACTGTGAGCTGTTCGTGTTGGGGCCCGTGTTAGCCATGGAGAGCTGTCCCCGGTGTAGATGTTTATCCACGAACGCTTCATCTGTGGGCACATCGCAAACCTTTCAGGCTTTGATTATGCATTGATCCTTGTAGAATTCCCAAAATACCGCACTGTTCGCAGACGCCCACCCCTGTTAGATCCTAATCACTCGTGCTTGCAGCTGCCAGCACAAACGAGCCACCCCCGTTCACCAACACGTCCACCTGCACGCTGTATCTACTCATTCTGAAGTGTTAGCATTTTTGTCCGTGTGGATTCGCTTTGGGTCGTGTCGAAGGCTGCAGTGTCTGACCATTGAATTTTTCGCCATATATGCTCTCCCCTCCCTTTCCATTGATATCTCCTCCCTGCATCATCAGCCCTTTAATAATGAGATGGAATGCACTGTTCTTGAAGGTCAACGCCGAACCATCTGCACCCTTCTTGTTGCCTGTAAAGGAAATACACCCCCACAGATCATGAACAGCAGGGCATGAGAAAGCAGAAAGCAGCAACCTTTCACAGCATCACCGTCATTATACCGTTGTGGCAGCGCCTGGAGGAGGCAACCAGTCCCTAGACCCTAAACCTCGGCCTCACCAACGCATAAGGCTCTAAAATTCTCAGCTGTGCGTGGCACAGTGTCTTGGTAGAGCGCAATTGCAACTCTCTTCACTGCGCATAAATCACACGCCTTGTAACCTAGTCCCTCACCCGCTCATACGGCCAAGAACTCGCGGCTTTCGCTCTTTGCCGCCTCAACTCTGGCCCTGCCCACCCCAAAAGAATTCAAAATTCTAGAGGGCTGACACTTCAGGCCTCCACTAAACCGAAGTTGAAGCACGTTTCTGATTAACGATGTACCAGGTTTATCACCGACGCGGATGTCCATAAAAACGCGAGGGCAGCGATCAAGGTTGCGCACTCCAGCTTTCTCTGGACAAAAGACACACGAGGGTCCAGGTATTATGCCAGGAATTTTTGACAAGCGCGTTTAGCAATCTGGGAAAGGGTATCCTCCCCCACAGCAGTCTTTACCGTCATAGAGGGCGACTTTGGTGAAGATAGCGCCAAACGTGGTCTTCTCCTTCTTGCGAACTTCCTCCAGCTTCTCCTTGCACTGCAATGACCCACCACACCAAAATCAGCTCAACAGATGCACGGCGCTCTACCCACCAGTTCAACAGCTACTTTATGTGGAGAGCGCGTAAAAGCGTTTCGTCAATTGTTGGCTTCGCCACCGCTCCCGCAGATTGTATGTCGAGGCCAAAACTGCAAGCCCCACCTTTTTTAGCTCGTTCCTGATTTCGACGTTCTTGGGGTCGATCCTCGCAGCAGAGGCTAAGTCAGTTCGCGCTTCATCCAGCAAGCCAAAGGCAGCTCGGGCCACACCCCTGCGGTACCATGCCTTGCTGTTTTTCTGCAGCACAGCACGATTCTCGAGGCAGCGGATAAGAAGGGCAGGGAGGAAGAGTCTGCACGAGCAGCTCAGGTGTCTTCGAGCGCAAACCCTAAGGTGTTCCTACAATCTATGAACCCCCCAAAGCGTGAACTTGCCTCGTCGAGCTTGAGGGCTGCTGTGGCCTCATCGATGGCTTGGGCAAACTCGCCAGTTTTAAAAAAGCAACTGCACGCAAACCGAATCCCAATACGTGGACCCTCTTCCCTAACGCATGCGGGATCCACCATACACGCCACGGTAAACACGCAAGCCTAAGACGACCTTCGCCTGACTTGGAAAGGTTTAGTCTCAACGAGACTTCGACGGAGCACTTTTGAATTTGTTGTTCTTCACTCCACTGATCCGAATGCTCCAGAAAGCAGAGTCCCTCCCTGTAGGCTGCAGTAGCTTCGGCAAGATTCTTCCTCTTGAATGCTTCGTTTCCCTTCTCCTTCTCGTCAAGAGCCGCCTGGATCTTCTCCTCTACAGACATGGCCCAGCGTGCCTTTGGCTTCGGACGGAAGCTCAATAGCTCGACCTCAAACTACGAAGCACGCATGTGTCACGGCAAGCTTTCTTGAGATCTAACACTGCAAAAGTCAGAGGTAGGCGTGGTGAGGGAAGTCATTCGGACCATAAGCTTAGGCCTGGGGCTTGTCCTACACCCCGAACTGGTCTCTGAAGGAGCTACCGTGAAAACTCTCATCAGCATTGTGACCTCAACACCCAAGCGTGCTCTTGTGCGCTCCATCACTTCACCAGTGTAGATTAAGCTGTTCACAAGTTAGGAGATCATGTTACTTTGAGGGTTGCATTAGGTGGAATGGAGCCTCCAGCCCCAGCCTCTCCATATCCGTAGTTGGACTGAATTGTCTGTACACCCCAACGCACCAAGGAAGAATTACACTCCACTCAACACTTGAACCATTTCTCACCTTGATGACTCCAGCCCCAAACCCTTAAGCTTGAGCCCTTACGAGTAGAGATTTCTCTCCAACGCTCATCGTAGCAACTCCGAGATCCCAGCCCTTGATAACCTGCCCCTCCCCCAAAACGAAGCGAAAGGGCTGGTCTCTGTCTCCTGCAGCAGGTATTCAACAGCAAACCCAAACCCACATCCCCTGCTAGGTATAGCCTGACGGCTTACGCCGTTGATGCCCCCGAAAAACGCGCTGGCTAGGCCCCCTGGAGGTGCACAGTATCACGAACGCGACAAATGGATGTGCATGCCACCTCCAAAGGCAGCCGCTCTAATGCTCGACCATAGATACTCCGTGCGGAAGCTATTGATTGCAAAGATTTCGGGATTGCATGTCAAACTTCTAGTAATTACTCGAAGAGTCAAATTGCGTGCCGTCTTCCAACGTGCCGACGTAGTGCACCTCCACTTCGTTGCCCCGAGGGGGCCTGCGCCCTCATAGAGCAGCCACAATCAAGCAGTCGGTAAATATGGTTGAAAATACATGTTGTACAGCTCGTAAAAGGGGAGGCAAGTGGACCACATAGAGCAGGACGAGCTAAACAAGAAACTGAGTATCCTTATACTCCAGAGTTATCACTCCTCCCTAAAATTCCCTGCCGGTAGAGCACGGAACCGCGTTCTTATGATTTAAACCGTTATACCTAACAACTAGGGGCCCCAAATTTTAGATAGTCAAAAGCATGAAACTTTCTTGGCGGTAGTGTGGCTCCCGATGTGCAGGAGGAGTTCACACTCTTACCGGTCGCCCGTGCCCTGTATTAACACTTTTTTGATCACACCGCCATCCTTAGACACGTCCAATTCACTGTTAACAGCGTGAGGAGGGCTGTTGTCGACAGGAGCGGCGGGAAGAGGGACTTCGTGCGTGTGGCTGTGGCCACCACAACAACCACCGTGTTTGTGTGCCACCATTGTTCAAACTGAGATGCGAAACGAAATAAGACTTAGAAGGAAAGCAGTCGGAAAAAGGAAGTGAGCAGCAGACAGGTTGATGCACCCCATGAAGTGCACGCGCCCCGCTGCATGCGAAGAACCGCCACCGACAAAGTGACCGCACATGCATAGTCAACTTAGGTTAGTACGTAATCTCTGTGTGGTCTGCACTCTAAGTGCTCCGATTTGCCTTGAAATACCAGGAATTATTCAGTCTCGGCGTACAGGCTGGTGGAGTATTAACCGCCTTTTGGTCAAAGGCTCTACTCGTAAGGTGTACAAAACACATATGCTAGGCATGTTTCATACCCCGAATTATTTAACATTAGTCTGTGCAACCAGGTAGGAGCCATTTGTTTCTGATCCATCCCTCGACTAAGAAACATCGATGACTCCTCGGGTGCGCTACTGCACCCATTAAAAAGGGTAAGAGCTATAAACGCAGCCTGCAATAAAGTTTGCCAAAATCACCTAGCAGCGCTGGTACTGGACAGGCAGTGGCATCGTCCTTAAGGTGTAATCAGAATTAAGGATTTAAATGTTCTCGTTCCGGTACTAGCTGAAGGGTTCACTGTAACTGTATGACCCTTCATTAGAAATTTCCACAGGGTGACTCCCAACTCCAGACAGAATCCAAAACGTGACAAAAAATAGTTGGCTGCCTTTCCAAAGACCCTTCCCCTCCCACTGATCCCGTCCGCTTGGGCTACGGGACTAGGGAGAGGTACAAATAGTGCGAGCTTTTGCACCCTAAGAACACTCTGATCATTCACAGCCAGTTGCGCATAAGACCTAGCGCACATTGACGCTAGTTGTTTGCTTTCGAGTTTTTGGCTAATGCTACTCTGAAATAAACAAAAATGTGGGATTTGCCAAACCAATTGTTCGACTCTTCACTATTTCTTGCATATAGCTAGTGTAGTAGAGAGTGCTAATATGTCCCATAACCCGCTATATCTCCCTTCCCCGTATTTCAAACACATGTAATCAAATTCAGTGGATGTTCGTCGAGGTAAACTGTGCAAATGGCTGCGGGAGACTTCCCTACGTAAAGCTACTTCTCAACCACGCAGCAGTAAGAAGCACTGAAGGCATTCGCTCGCAATCGGCTTAAATTTGCAAAGTCACCAACACTAAAAAAGGGTACATATCAACATGCCTGCAACGGTTCTCTGGCTCGCTTTCTCTGACGCGCCATCTAGCTTCTCAGTAGGGGGGCGCTCAGCTGGAGACTTACTAGAAATTGAGTGAAACCTTGTTGCTTTCTCAGAGAGCTCCCTCCTTCCCTTGCCAGCGCCCTTAAGAGTTCTCTATATGAGTAGAGAGAGACAGGTAGGATTCGTAAGGCTGCACCCTCTGTGCACTTCGTCCATGGCTCGTTGCACGCAGCATCTGGCTGACTCGCATGCAGACTTTAGTCCTCTTCTATCGAGCTAACGCTACCCTGCAATTAATAAATTATTTGAACGAACAACCAGTTTTTCAATGCTGTACTAATTCTTAATGAAGTATAATAAGTGTAGTAAATGTAACTAGTCCGCTTCACCATGACTGCTGGCATTGCTAAAACGGTGTGGCCATGCACACACTAGCTGTTAGTTTTCCCGCATATCAGAAAGGCCAAGAGAAGGCGGCATGGATTGGTAAGAATTCTTTTAAAAAGGCAAGAACTTCTTATCAAGCCTTTGTATAGTGTGGAATTGGATATATCCCTACAGAGACCCTGATAAATGGAGCACTACAAGCTGCACACAGCAGTTGGCGCACACGTCCACAACATTGCGTGTTCTTGCAGCTATAACCGCTACTTCTCAATGGATAAGGTAAGAAGCCAAGCAGTTGCTGAAGATTTTGGTAACTCTTTGATTAACATAAATGGTGCAGTAGACGGTACATAAGCGTAGCATAACGGCAGCTTCACTACTCCGCAACGAGTAGGCTACACAAATAGATAATCTAGCAGGTTTATTGTTTAACGATGCCGTGTTGAGTATTGGTGGTATAGTAGAAAGTCCCATAGTATAGTTTTCTGTGCTAAACATCGGTACTAGGCGGGAGCTTCGTGACGCGCTACTAACCTCTCTTTGCAACAAAAACGATGCAGGAATAGACCAATCGACCAGTCAATGCTTAATGCAGTCTGGGCTAGCGTAACAACCCATAGACTATGCCGATGAGCAGTTCTGGCCACTACAACTATTGAGCTCCGAGGTCGTAGTGTACAAACAGAGCATTACCACGAAGAGGGAACAGATTTAATGGCCATAATCAGGCCTACATAAGCGACAATCGAGTTCTCACGCACAAACTATTATATAAGCGTGACTGGAACCAAAAATTGGAGATGATCGACCCTCATAAATATCGTGCAACTAACAGCGAGATACGGGCGCTAGAAGTACCCAGTTTGAGTTTCGTGCACTAGGTGCTGCAAGACGCATAAAATATGGCAGTTCTTCGTTTTCAGATGAATCACTTGCTTCAGAGAATAAAAGTATTGTCAATTTGCTTGACAAGCCCCCCCTTTCATCAGATGTAGAGAGATAAAGAGGCAGGTGAGAAGATCTTCGAGAGGCCGCCCTTATGGTGTATTTGCGGGCAGTGGCTTCGATCAGGGTGCGTTCTTTGGGATAAAATGACTTTGTCGTCGACCTAACGACACAAATAAGTAAACTTTTGTGATTTCTCCCAAGAGAGGCCCGCAGAGCTGCTTGGCACTGCCTGCTGTTCCCCTCTGCCGCCGGCTGTGTGCACTGCTGCTGCGACCGTCCTGCGGCAATTTTCCTGTGCTTCTGCTCATTGGTGCTTGATTAGAAGGTTTCAATTCTTGAAATATAAACGCGGGGCGCCTGTATAACGGCTTGGGGGCCAGCCTGACGCGCGCCCTTCCCGTGTTGTTCCCCTCACCCAGCCCTACGACCGGACATTTTCATTCAGCTCAGCAGCAACGGGGCAAAATGGCAGATCAACTCACTGAAGAGCAAATTGCCGAATTCAAAGAGGCGTTTAGTCTCTTTGATAAAGATGGGGATGGAAGTAAGGCCCGAAAACGTCCTGTTTCTACAGCAGTCCCGACTCGCTGTCTCTGCCGTCTTGTCCTCACATTCAAAACTAAGCCTCCCGTTTGCATGCTGGGCTTCTTGTTAAATAGCCGGCGTACTGATGCCATGCATGCTTGCTATAAGCAGCACCACTATTCCCCCGCTGAGCTGCACGTGCATCCGTGTGGCGCTTCAACAACTGCACTGCCTGTTAATCATGGGATAGCTCAACTTTTTGGCATCATTGCTACGGCTTCTTGGACGCTGCAGTGTGGACAATCGACGAGGGGAATTAGAGCTGTGTGCACATTGAGCGACTGGGGATGGCTCGGAGACTCCTGTCGCTACGAGGGTTAATTCTTCATTTTCAGTGAAGCATGTTTGCGTTCTTGTAACAGGGGGTTACTTGGCTTTTAGGGGGGACATTATTTCCTATACAGGTCATGATGCTTTTTTGTCCCATACATTACCTCTTCCTTGAGGAATACTTACGTAAGTGGCTGCCGCAAACAACGCATGCTGGCGAGATATTTAGGTGAGTTACTATTGTGCGCTGTGGGTCTTTGGTGCAGCTATCACCACAAAGGAGCTTGGGACGGTTATGCGCTCTCTCGGTCAAAACCCGACAGAGGCAGAGCTGCAAGACATGATCAACGAGGTGGACGCAGATGGCAACGGTGGGTGAACCCCAACCACCAGTGGCTTGGCGTCTAATCTCTGGGGTGCTAATTTACCGTGCTGTGTACTAAGAGCTTCAGAAACAACCCGTAAAAACTATTTTCAGTCTCATATTATTCCGGTGAGTGCATGTTCATGAGCTTGTGATGTTTCTTGTATTCCAGGGACGATCGATTTCCCCGAGTTTCTGACACTAATGGCACGGAAGATGAAGGACACAGATTCCGAGGAGGAATTGATTGAAGCATTTAAGGTATTTGATAGAGACGGGAACGGCCTTATTTCCGCTGCAGAGCTGCGCCACGTGATGACTAACTTGGGGGAGAAACTGACAGACGAGGAGGTGGATGAGATGATTCGGGAGGCAGATATCGATGGAGACGGACAAATAAACTACGAGGAATTCGTTGGCATGATGCTTGCGAAGTAAACGGGAGTGACACGCACTCCCAGAACGCACACGGGAGCCATCAACTAATTATATCCCCCCGTGGCTCCCTGGCACCCACGATGCAAGTCCTGGGATCACTTCCAGATAACAAGCCGAAGCAGAAGTTTTGTAGAGGGCTGGGCTCACCCACTTCCGCTGCCACGTGTCCTCCTTAGGATTTATGAAGGGCGTTATGGGGAGAGGGGGCTCTAAGGTCCTAGAGTGGCGGGGTGGGGACCCATGCCGCAGTGTTACATCTGTTGTTGCTGCCCAGCTGGAAGGGGCAATGGCGCTCGTACGTAGGCGCGAAAGCGTGGTGTGGAGCTAGCCACATACAGAGCCCCTTTCTTTGCGTGAGAGGGTGCTCCATTCTTTCTCGCCTGCACTCGCTTAACGTTTTTGGCATGAGAAGACGGAAAATAGTCGGCTAGGTTGGAGCAGCGAGCAGAAACAGCTACGGCTGCAGTGCCTCCTTTCCTACCCAAACTTCCCCTGGGGCCCCTATGCTGGCCTGTTCCTGCCTGCTTCCCTAGGCGTCAAGCCTGCGATGGAGGCTGCCTTGCCCTGTAGGAGACACGTTGCCAGGGGGCTGTCGCGCCTCGTGCCTTCCGTCCTTGCTTGTGCGACCTCTGGTCTCTGCAGTAGTGTACTTGAATGGGCATCGTCTAGCAGGGGCGCATTAAACCTGCGCCGCGTGGACGAGATGGTTCCTCCATGTCTACCTACGCTGTTGCTGCGGCATTGAAAATCTAGTTATTCTCGCGGCAAAATAAGGCCAGTGGGCTTCCCCTCTTCTCCATTCCCCTCACTGTTTGCTCTGCTTGTGTTAGAGGCGCGAACAAACGATCAGCAAATTAAAAGACCCGAGTTAGTGCATGAGCACACAGCGCGATGTTTCAGCTTTCTGTACACCGCCGACTCGTCCTTCGCCTTGCATTTATATGTTGGAAACAGTGACCTCGACCTCCACACCTGGGTCAATGTTAATAGATGTGATTTGCCTCACCACGTCGCTCGCGGAGTGCAAGTCAATCAGGCGCTTGTAGATACGCAGTTCAAACCTATCGTAAGTGTTTGTTCCTGAAAGCACAAAAGCACGCACCCTGGTATCCACATTTCATTAAAGCACTTGCACCGAGTGGCATGGCAAAACTGGAAGGAGCCACTACAGCAGAGCGGTCCAAGTCTACGAGATACCAGATCAAATCAGGCATGCTAAAACACACAATGCGCTAAATAATAATGGGGGACAGCTAATAAATGTGTTTCGCAAACGTCAACTGATATCTTATGCCAATATTTTCTTCCAAATAAAAACTTTATAACTCGTAACCCTCGAACTGCGAATAATTACCTTCGCCACAGGGGGATTTCCTGGTGGTGACCCTGAGGATCTTGACAGGGAGGCGGACAGGTCCATTTGTCTGCAGCTTCCTCTGCTTTGCCGCACCGATAAGCTCCGAGCACACTGCGAAAAGAGACAGACATGCTCAAAGCTGACCCTCTGGCAGTGCTCAGAAACAACACGCTGATGACGTGATTCCTATCCTTGTTCCAGTCAGAAGGTACACAGCACACCGCGCCGCAGTTCACACAGCAACATCTAATTGCAGCACGGGTTGCCTATCCAAATATAAAACACACAACTGGTCGCCTCTGTCTAGGGGGGGTTCCTTGTTCCCATGAGCACCGATGAAATAATCAAAGATTCCTTCCTCATGAACCAGGGAGACCCAGATTGATCTAGTCAAGCCCCTTCTCCAACAATCATAGGTATGGGCTCTAATTATTAGGAGCTTTTACTGGGAAGCTGCAAAGGAACTGTTCTTGTGATGCCCCCGGCAGGCGCATGTGGAATGTGTTGTGTTTACGGAGAAGAAACACAGCCCCTTGGTCTACCTCACTATGAGAACAGGCATGGAATACGTTTAGAACAGCTTTCGACCCCTTACCCCGTTCGATAGATTTGAGATCCTTAGAGGTGAGGGTAATCCGTATCCTGTGGAGCCGTTGCTCCTCCCCCTCCAACCCTTCCTTCAGGGCCTTGCTCATACTGCTGGCTAAAGCGGAGACGGGCAATAAATATGAATAAAACCCCAAAAGATCCCACAAACAGGAAATGCATATCAACAACGCACGGAAACGCGCTTCCCCACAGAGGACAAAGTTGGGCTTCCGCTGTGCAGCCCCACGGCCGCCAAATACGCTGCTGCTTCCCCGCACCATTTGCGACTTTGCGCAGCGTTCTAATCAGCCCTAAAGCCCCAACTTGATTAAACGTGGGGCGCGGGGGCTGCTGCTGCTGCTGCTGCTGCAGTGGTAGCCTCAGCAGGGCTGGATGTACCCCACTCCGTTGCTAGGGCTGATACTTGGGCATGCTGTTCCTCTGTCTTGTGTTTGGGCCTTCTAATTTACTGAGCGGCGTCTGTTTCCTCTTGGGCGACTCGTTCGTATCTCTCTGTTTCATCGAGTTGTCAGCGTCGGCCTAACCGGGGGGAAAATGGCAGTCGAACAGGCGAAGAAGAAGCGGCCCAACAAGGGTGCTAAGGAGCCGGTTAGACTCTATGTTCGTGGCATAGTTCTCGGCTACAAGAGGTAAGGGGGAGCTTTCCTTTCTCTTTCTCTCCGCATTTTACCCTTTAAACCCCGTATGCCGTAACTACTCGAACAGCAGAGCGAATAGTCCAAGTCTTGCCCACTTGAATGCTTGGCTGAAGGAACCCCAAGCGCACCTCAACGGCAGTCGACTTGCGCTTGTCCTTTGCTACACTTTTCAATATCGAGGGTTTACGGGTGGATTTTTTTGAGGTGGAAGATCACGGAACGAGGACCCCAGAGCGCCGCTGACTGCTCAGTAGCAGGGAACGATCCTCTGGTGTTCGGAGTTTGTGTCGACACATGGTTTTGCCGTCGTCGACGTAGCGCCTTGGGATTCAGGGTGTGTGGTACGGAGCGTGAGTGTGTGCATGAAGGTCAAAGGTGAATCAGACGCCTTCCCGGTCTCTGCTGCAGCTGGAAAACGTGAAGACGAGGAAGGACACAGCCTTCTACCTCGGAAAGAAAGTAGCCTACGTGTATAAGGCGAAGACTGAAAAACAGGGCACCAGGTTTAGGGTGCGTGTCTACGTGTGTGTGTGTGTGTGTATGTGTGTGCGCGCGCGCTCGCGCCCTATGCATGGGGGTTTTGGTTTAGGGGCTGCTGGCTCTAGGGGGTCCCCGCTGTAACAAGAGTCTCTCTCACTCCCGCGAGCATGCGTTTATATATGGCAACGTCACATGTAAGATACTTCGCTGCATCTAGAAGTGGCGTAGGAGCCCTGTTGACACTTTCATTCCTTTGTGTTGTGTGTGTGCGGGCTTCATAGACCATATGGGGAAAGATCTGCAGACCACACGGAAACAGCGGTGTTGTACGTGCCCGCTTCAGGAAGAACCTGCCTCCCAAGTCTTTTGGAGGCCGCGTGCGCGTGTTCCTGTACCCTTCCAACATATGAGCCTGTAACAATTGTGTCGAAGGGCTTCCGGCTCGCGTTTGGCAATCGGGTTCTGTGATTGTTGGGCTGGCGGTGGACGAGTGCATTTGCACCGAAACTGGAGAAGCAATAATTTTGCTGAGTATTCGGCTCTTTGAAGGGCCTCCGCTTTGAATGGTTTCTTTGGGATTAGGTCTATAGCCATTGATTAATGTCGGAGGGCGAATATGCGCTAAAGGAGGCCGACCCCCTGCGCCGAGGGGCCGGGCGTAGGCAAGTGCACTAAATAGGGTTTGGAAAATTACTGCTAACTACAGATTATGGCGAAGTGGGAGTCGCAGTATTCTATCGCTGCGGAGCACAGTGAGGAGCCAAAATTTTAGGAGTGTTTATTTTGCATTAAGGATAGTAGCAAGTGTTCAACAACCAGTTTCTGGTGCTGCTGTAGTTAAGCTGTCCTGCAAGGCAGCCGTAGTATGTATGCAGCTTCCTGAGGGATTCGTAGCATATGGATTCAGAATGTTGGCACACTCTGAGGCGATGTCAGCTCCGAGGGTTCGGGAATGAGACTTCTTATCTTCTCGCAAAGCTCTTCCGCCGCCTTTCCGGGGTCCTGGCAAACAAAGGACCGAAGACTGATGCGACGAACGGCATGCAGTTACTTTTAAGCTAGAGTTCGGGGGCTTTATATGCAACAGCTGTTATATTTGCGTACTAGTGCGTTCATTGCATACCTCGGCCTCTGATATGGCCCTCCCCACGTTAATGATCAAGCCCAGGCCGTCCTTTCGCATTCCTTCAGGCATTCAGAGTATAGGATGAGTTTCGACTTATTCGTGAGTGTGCTGAACCAGCTGTACAGTTCAAGCTCTTGATCACAACACGAAATACGGAAGATGTTTTGCACTGACCACCATGACAAGCTACATATATGGTTTGGCATATGCAGACAGGAACCATGCGACGGAACACTGAAAAGGTTCGACATGGAAGCTCCCTGAAGAAGTCTCGACCTGTTGCTCACCTGCTCTTATTGTGGCTTCAAGGTCACCCCCTTGTGCTCCAACACCAGGGGCGAGGAACCACAAGTCAGGAAACAATTTCCTGATCTTGCTCATATCATCAGGATATGTCGCGCCGACAACAAGGCCCACGACACCTCCTTCTCTAGACAGGCGAGGCTCTGCAACCATGAAGCGCGCAGCAGCATATAGTTAATGCGCGGATATAGTGTAACAATAACTCGTCTGCGAAAATCCCACACGATTGCACTCGAGAGAAATGAGTGGGAGGAGCAAGGCATAGTTGGTACATTAACACAGGCAGGTGTTCATGTGCTTCTTTTTTTAACAATCGCGCTATTGGCCTTTCCCAGTAATTCACCGTTCTGTTGTCTCGCCTCTTCGCACATTTTTGCGACCTCCATGTACACTTCACGTCCTTCGCCCTCCACATGTTTTGCTCCATGCTTAGTGGCACCCTTGCAGACTCTAATGCCCTGAACGTCGGCGCTTCGAGGGTTGGAACTCCGGCAAACTACAAAAACTCCTTTCCCTTTTTTTTCTATATAGGGTAGAACAGCGTCAATACCCAAATAGGGGTCCAGAGTTATACAATCTCCCTGAGGCATAAAAAGACCGAGCTGATAATTTTTCACGCTCGTTATGGTTCCAATTCACTTCCTTTTAATGAAAGGGAACAACAAAAAGAAGGGAAGCAGGCACGATAAGGGGATTGGGGATGGATCCGAGAAGTTGTAAGACAGGGATATGCAGAAACATGTGTAGGTCAACTTGCTCTAGACCTGTAGCTGACTCACTTCCCTGTCGTGGCACCCTTATTTGCCCTGAGGTACTAAAAAGCGATGTGTGTGTTCAACCCCGTAAGCGGAAGAGCAGGGAAGAGTGTAAAGTGACACAGATCTTTAGAACATTTGCCTTTCAAAACAACGTACATTGTAAACGGAGAGGAAGCCCTCAGCGTATGCCTTTGCTTGTTCGCCCATCGCTGCTCTCTTGGCGTCAAGTATAATAGGAATATCCTCGGGGATTTTTTTGCAGAGGTCCCGCAGAACCTGAAAAAAACAATTGAGCGCAACACTTTCCCCGCGCTATGCCACTTGGGAACTCTGTACACTAGTGCAGTGTTCAGGGGAGAGGGGGGAGTCAGATCAGGAAGGCCGGAATGACACCAGGTTCAAGGTGCGCGGCAATGGATTCGTGGATCACCTGCATCCCAGAAGGGCCGTATTGCTCGAAGAAAGCGACATTCGGCTTGAAACAGCAGGCGAATGGTGCAGTGGCCTTAACCAACTTCAAGCATTTGTCAAACAAGCTGTCGAGCAACTCCTCTAACTCTTGACAGGGTAAGTCGGCAACAGAAACGCAGCTTAGAGGAGGATCTATCCCAATGCACAGAAGTGTACGCTCCTCCCGTATCCGACGCACCAACTTCTCTAAGAAGGAACCTCCCATCCCCAAATCCTCGAGATCTAGCCTTTAATCCTCAGCTAGGGTTAAAGCTGCACCAAGAAGACGCGGACACCCAGGTTTCTTTCGAGGGTCTGATTTTCGCATTTTTAGTTGGATGAAAGAGTCGGGCATGGAGAGTGTGGAAAGACGGAAAAGTGCTGGGGACTAGAGGGGGTACCTGGCGACCCCGAGCAGGGGCCCTCATGGGCCCTCGATAGCTCTTGCTAAAAAATTTTTCCATGGAAGGCACAAGCTGAATAGACGAGAAGGCTCATTTACATATTAAAGGGCACGATAGTAAGTTTCACAAGCTTTTGTTTCGTGTAACAGCCCCGTGTAGAATCCTTCACACTCGAGCCACACAACAGCACAATCGGGGTCTTACGTTGGAATATGGAACTAAAGTGGGCAAGTTTGCCTGGGACCGACCTTTGCGGAAGGTTTAGGAGTAAACCCAAATAAAGTAACCCCTAGGAACGGCAGGTTATGCCTCGTCCCTGTGCATGGCTCGGGGGGATGCAGCGCAGTTCGTTGGTCACCGCTTTGCCAGTTCCAACCCCTAATGCCCCGTCAGCTATCTTGCTATCATCCCGACCATACAGGAAGCTACTGCACCCTGTCTGCTCATTGTATGCCCAGGTACTCAGCCCCTGGCGTGCGCTTACAGCACTGAATCCATGGGGGACACACGTCTCGCGAAAAACAGTGGCAACTAGATATGGAGTGGAAGAATCCAGAGCAATGAGTTACCTACTTACTTATGGAACACAAACTCGTGTAACCACAATTTATGCTGTAACCCTGAAAGTTTTAAGAGGCACCGGGGACCTTCTCCCTCGCAGAGCGAATCGACCAAACACCTTGACCCTGAAGGGGGTACCCGGCAACAGCAGCACGAACAGCAGCATCAGCAGAAGCACGAACAGCAGCATCAGCAGAAGCACTAACAACAGTATGAGACACGGTCTGTTGCAGCACCATCTGGTGGGGCCGCTGGGCTCCCCGTGCCACTTCGCATGTTGCACCGGCAGGGAAAAAAGCGGGAACGACGAACGGCGAAAACGGAGAGGGAGGGCGGCAGCAACAGCCAACACAGCAGCAAGCAGCAGCAGCAGCAACAGGGTTCCAACAACGCCGGAGAGAGCAGAGCGCTATTGGCCACTAGGCCAAATAAGACCCAATACAACTAGAGCTCTTCCCATTCTCCAATTCCCAACCCATTAACAGACACGCACCCATGCCACACAACAGCGCCAAACAGAAAAGGAGGCAGCGTCTGCTTTTCTGGCCGCTCGTGCTGCTGCTGCTGTTGCTAATACTCTGTCTCCCTTTGTGCCCGCGCACTCGCGGAGCGCTAGGACGGCAGAGGCAAACACACCAGCTGCAGCAGCTGCTGCTGCTGTTGCTGGGGCCATAAGGACAGCCCTGAAACCTCGCCTAAGCCCTTTACCCCGTCTCGTCGTTAAATCTAACTGTAGTGATTCAGCAGCTGAGAAGGAAACCACACAGGCCAAAAAGCATCGGCCCGCTAAACACCTCTAATATACGTAAACAATCAAGCAGCATCTGCCGGTGCACACTCCTGCTACTCATACAATCGCTGCCCTCCTTCGCTTTTACCTAAAAGCACGCCCGTACAAGGATTCTTTTCATGCAAAAGCCTAGAAACTCTCACACGAGCATGCCACTATCGTAAACGCGTAAAGAAAATCACTTGTCGAGAGAAGCAGCAATCGGTTGCACACACACACAGATAGAGCCTCCCGGTGATCTCCCCAAGACATCATCTCACTAGCGCCTTCCTGGTGTCCGTGCACTGCCGTTACTATCCCTTGGCCCTGCTGCCTTCCGCTCAACAACGCGAACTAGACATTTGGCACAAGAAAGCATTCGAGCTCGAAAAAGCCCGCACTAAATCAGGATTTCAGATTTACCTGTGCCAGCCACTGTGCCTTCGCCCCCACTGACGCATTTCCCTCCTCAGTTGCAAGCCTCTGTGCCTCCCTCTGTAGCTGGACTACGAAATTCGCCGTCCGCAAATGACCTCCTAACGTGCGACCAAATGTGGACAGGAGGTCCCTGATGTATAGACAAAGAAACAACACGGCTGAGGGCAGTTCAGAGACCCTACGTGTGCAGACGGAGGATGGAATGCTGAAAGCATGCAAGCGGGTAAGCTACCCATGAGAGAAAAGGCGGGTGTCAGAAACAGCTGCGAAAGCTACGCTCGAGAAAGGTAGACGGACATGTCGACACATGAGAACAAGAAACAGGAGGAAGGGTCTACCTTTACACCCGAAGCCGCTACACACACACACACACCTATGACCCCTAGACCCCAATACGCTAAGCACAAACCGCCAGATTTTTAAACCCCGTATTCGTCTCACCCTGTGAGCTCGAGTGCCTGTTGGACCATTTGGGGAGATCCATGGACCCAGCTTGGTGCCTCGGCGACAGCCTTAACGACCTGCAACATCCCGTTGACTTCCTTCCTCAGCACCTCCTGCAGCTGTGCTTCTTTCAACGCATAAACGCAGCTGGCCAGAGCTTCAAGCGTTGCGGAGCGCAGTTCGTGGACGTACCACATCCATTCCTCGTTCAGCTGCACAAAAAGCGAACGAAAAAAGCCAGAATGATACGATCGAGGAAGCAATACAACGGAGCACGATGCAACACATGGGCAAGGGGACTGATGATAACCAACCTGCCAATTCGGTGGCCCTGCATCATACGGAGTGACTCCGGCCTGCACCAGGAGCTCAATAAGCCAGGGTGCGAACCGTGCGAATTGAGCGCCTCCCAGACTTAAGGCTACGTCTCCCACAGCCACGATTACCACCGGCTTCAGGGATCTATCCACGGAGGGGGCCTGAGGAGAACAGAGCAGTCAAAAGGCTGAAAAGTAAGCCTTGTTTGCCGCTATTGTTGGGTGTATGGGTGCAAAACGGTGCCTGTACACCCCAGCGACGCGGGGGGCCCCAGCATGAAAAAGCAGGATAGCGGGGCTAAAACTGATCAGGGACTGCTGTCTGCGACAGCAGGCTCGTAGCGTAAATAGGGCTGCTGCTTCCGCACTCGAAGAAGTTGGTAGAACTCATGGAGAAGCGCATCAGACAGGACGCCAAAATCGGGACCAAGAGCGCGACTAAGGTCGCCAACAAGTTCAATACATATACGGGCAGCTTGTAGCTCATCCGCGGTACTGCTATCTCCATGGACGGTCTCTCCAGTCGCTGCTGATGCCGCTGCCGCCGCATTTGAATCTTGGGGTTCGTGTTGGTGTTGCATCTGCAACACCAGCAGGTCCGCCACTTCTCCAGCAAACGGCGACACTGCAGCACCTGAGGCGTTGATGAGCGCTGAGAGAGCCAGGAGGCCATCACATACACTCGGCTCGGAGCTGACAACGAATCCATGAGGATTCGCTGCCCCCGAGACTGCGCCAGTCACGCCTTCCGTCAAGGCATTCGATACACCGCTTGTTCGGCGCTGGAAGACCTGAGCAGTCAGGAAATTCGAGAATGCAGGGGCGGAAAATAGAGGGCCCTCAGAAAATGGGGAACGCACATGTATAAGGCATACACTCGAGACTGAAGGAGAGCCTATATACGGGGGTTCTGCTGAGCTTCCAGAATCGCAAATGTATCCGCAACACAAACATGAACAACAACACGGCTGGGTCTCTGCGGTGGCTGTCGGCTCCAAAGAACGCATTATGAATGGACACATGGACGCGGAAACGGCAGTCCTCCAAAAAAAACGCAACAGACGCCTACTTGTTTTAAAGTGCTCCAAAGACTGCCGGCAACGGGCTTCACCTGATCCCCCAGACGGAGACAGAGGATCTGAATGACTCCACACAGCATTCCTGAGACAAAAACAAGGGGACACACACACAGTACACAAGCCTCGGCATACACTCCCGCCCTGGATCTTGAAATGCAAGGCCAGTGTTTCGGCGCAAAGCCAACTGCAGGGGCCAGACTCGAATGGTTGGCACAAAAGCACACAATTCGCGCAGTCAAAAATTAGAGGCGGTAGGTACCACCCTTCCGCTGAAAAGCAGCACTCCACTGCTACACATAGACCCAATTCAAAAAACGATATGAAATAAAATTCAAGAAAATTACCTTGTCTCTGTTTGGTTTGCTCTGTCTGTTCAAAAGAAAAGGACTTCCTGAGTTGCCCCTCGAAATGCTCCAAGAGAGACAACAGATGATTCCAACAGGCGCTCCCTGCGTGAACGTACGCCCCAACCCCGCCCAAACATTCCGACGTCAGCATATGACTCTCTCCAGTAAGATATATATATGTATATATATGTAAACCCGCAACTGGAGCACAGAAGCCGCATCAAAAGGAATGAAGGCTTAGCCAGAAGGGGAAGCAGGAAGACACGAGCATTTACACAGTAAGGATGAGCCTACCCGCATTTTTAATTAGGGCCCCCATGCAATTAAAAGCCGCTTCGCGCAGATTCTTTTCGTCCTGCGCAGCCATAAGGACAAATGTCACATGCCATGAACTCCATTCGCCGAGCTCGACGCCGTACAGTTCGCACGTTAAGAGGGATGGATGCCCTGTTACTGACCGCGTCAGCCCGCTCGGAGACGCTGAGTAAGGCTTCGCATAGCTTGGGGAAAATAGGATCCAGCGGGTTCTGATCTTGTTGGTTTGTTGATCCTTGACACGCCGCGGCTCCCTCGGGAGTGTTGATGTTGTCGGCGAGTTCGTGCAGCATCCAGCAAATATGCACGGCGACCCTCGGCTTGTCAGCTAGCCGCTCAACGATGGCTAGCAGCAACTCGCCACTCGCTCCGCCTGGTGGTGCTCCGGGTGGAGAGACACCGGGGGGAGGAAAGAGATGCCGCAGTACGATTGGCGCGTGCTGTTGCGCCGCTCTGCCCAACGTCCAGGCTGCACTGTCTCGGACTGCCACCGAGGCATCAGATGCAACCGCTTTCACAAGCATCGGGAAGGATGTCGCCACATAAGGAGCCATTGCCTCTGCACTCGAGCCTTCCATTACACACCCCAACGCCAACAGCGAAGCCTCGCGCCTCCGCCACTCGGAAGACGAGAAGTTCACTTGGACAAACTCCAGTACGGGTGGTAAAATAGCATCACGCACCACCTAAAAAAAAAGAGAATCCAAGAAGCCGAACAGTAAGTATACACCTCTCGACAACACAAGGGCAACTCCAGCTCCTCAATTTGACGCAGTCTGGTTATGCCGGCCCTTCAAGAGGCGCAGACACGAGACTACGTCTAGCGGAAGGAGTGCCTAACGATCTACCACGAGCCGTCTCTGCGAGTTCTAAAGCAAAGAATGCAAAAAAGGAGGAATGAATAACAGGGATCATACGGTGTTTCCGCGGACCTGAGCACAGAGTCCGAGACAAATAGCAGCTGCCATTGCGGGTGTCCAGCTGTCATCGTCGTCTTCGTCCTCAGCAGCATTCAAAAGCTGCTCGAGAAGTAAAGGGATGAGAAACGGTGCAGCCTGCTCCATGATCTTCAAAAGAGACCAGCGGGTGGATTCACCCTCAATAATGGCCAGCTCCTCCTCCGCTAAAGCATTCCACACCTCTAGAGCCGCTATCACCACTGCCGCATCTGATCCCTTCAAAGCGTTCCAAGTTAGCTGCAAAAATGAGACAATCGACGGAAGAAATAGAAATAAATATACAGCAGCACCCAAAATCTTGGAACCCCCACAGTCACGACAGGAATCAGATGAACGGGGAACAGCGGAAACTATCGGAATACACACGATTTTTCCATAATGATACCTTGTAGCCAACTCAGCTAGTGATCGGCGCACTTGCACAAAGCGAGTACCCAGTTTTACGAAATGTACCTCAGTGTGCGAACAACAGCTGCACGGTAATCCAGGCTATATATTACTTCGTGAGCACCTCCCCACTAGCCTAAAGCTGTTTAAATGTGCATGGGCTGACAAACACCACATTCATCTCCCTTCCCGGTGCATTTATGGCCATTTAGAAGTGTATACCAGTGGCTGCTTCATAAGAAAGCTACGCAAATGTGTATGAGCACATCCTAGCCCCGCAGCAAAGCCCAAGAACCCTGAGCCGTTCCTTAACTCACAGGTCCCACAGCGGGCATATATGCCTCTAGAAAGGAGTAATATTCCTGAGCTATTTGAACAATACATTCAAAAGCCGCGACTTGAACGGCACTGGGGTTTCCGGAGCCGCCAGCCTCCACCACGGAGGCGATGATATAATCCCTTTCTTCCTGAGAGCAAGCCATGAATAGGCAAGTGGCACAGAGTGCGCATTGAACATACCAAGAAGCGGCAAAAATGCAAGCATAGCACTGAAGAAACAATGGGAAAATAACAGCACCTTCTTGTTGAAGTTCTCCTTCGCGAAGATCAGTGTGTGGTAGAGAGCTCGTAATGCCGCAACCTTAAGCTGAGGATCGGCGTCCTTCAGCCCTGTAAAGCACATGGAAGCCAAGGAAGAAGCAGGAGAATGATCATAGGCATTCAAAAGGCCGAATTTCGGAGTGCAAGAGTCAAAGGAAGCACGCCTAAAAGGAAGAAGCAGATTAAGCGCGCAGTCGGAAGGAATAAATACAGTATCTGACTAATGGCCGGATATTACAAAAGATATGAAGCTAGACCGGCACAGAGCTCAGAGCTAAACGCAGTGGCCTCCCCCATTTCAAGAATTTACTAGACTCGTGCCACGAGACTTACGCTGCGAAAACATTCCCATAACGTGCTAAGAAATCACAATTTTCACGACTCAATTTAGGAAAAAGTTGATCCCATACTGAAACATGTCATGGAGACTACATGCAAGTGCCAAGCCATGGAATGCACACCCACCGTGGACGACAGCAGTGAGGATAACATTGCATCGTTGCTGAGAAAGAACCTCGACAGGCTCTTCCCCGTCTGCCACAATATCCGCCAGTTCCTCGCAGAGGTATGACAGGCATGTTAGAGCATGACGGCCACACGCCTTGGCTAGCTGCTGCTGCTGCTGCTGCTGGCAAGACACTGCCTGCTGCACCATGTCTTGCAGCGCCGGTAGCAGATCCTCGAACTCCAGAGAGCGCAACTCGATCACGCCCAACTTAGCCAATGCCTGACACACCGCATTTCCAACCTGAGCCACGAAAGCACAAGACAACCCGGACGGAGATCCTGTTCAAACCTGAGGTGTATCTGCAGCATGCGCCGGCCGTTGAGAAGAGGGCACACCAGAGGAACCAACAGCATGAGCGAACCCGCTGCAATCCTCGTGAAAAAACCACCACAGACCAGCAGGAACCAGAGTACCAAAGTCGACTCAAAACAACGAAGTACGGGGCTAAAGCGGTCGTTCACCTGTGTGCAGTCAGTCTGCAAGGCTGCCAGCAGCTGCTTCTTGATTTCTGTCTTTGTGGGGGTAGGCAAGGCTCTCCAAGCCTGGGCAGCCGCTCCATCCAGCGTCAAGTCCTGAGAGCAAAGTCAGAAGCGTTTCCTAGACCCTCTGTGCGGTGTTGTTCAGACAGCGCAACTGGGCAGCACTCGCTACAGTCGAAGATGTTCAGAAAGCACTGGCAATGGAGCCTCACACCAAGACTGATGTCGCTGAGAAGGTCACAGGAGCGACTGGCGCACGCAGCAGCACATGCAAAGCCTCTCACTTTAGCACTGATGGAATTCTTGAAAGTGACAGCGGCAATCTGTTTTGCAATAAGGAGGTCGTCAGGACTGCCGGAAACCCCCTGGGGCCCCTGGGGTGGTTTCTCCAGAGCAATGAGAGCGGCCATGGAGCTCACGAACTGCCCTAAGTCTGTCCGCTTTGCTGCAGCCAGTTGCTGCTCTGCTGCCTGGCGCACATTGAGCCGAGGGTCTAGGGTAGCTAGCAGCAGCTGCTGCAGCACCGCCATCTGGTCTGCCATCTTCGCTGGTGCCGCTTTTGGGAGTTGTTACAGGATGGGCTCTGCAGCAGTACCACTCGAGGATGACCAACAATGCGGCTGCCGCTGCCGCTGCAGCAGTGCCACCAAAGCGGTGCTCCTGTTTATATGTGCAACCCAGTCTAAGGCTTCATGTGGGCAGGAGGCCACACAAGCACAGGGTGGTGGTTCACTGCTGGCTGCTGCCGATGTCGGCGGCAGCAGCAGTTGTTGCTGCAAGCCTCGGGGGGGCCAGCGGCTCCTGCCGCTGCTCCCAAGGGAATGCCTCTAAGTAAGACGAGAGGTGTCTGCCTCTGGGAAATGTCGACAATGGACTGAAGATACACTCGGGTGGTGTGCGGCCTGCCGCTGCTGCTGCCGATGTGCCGTCGATTCTGCTGCAGCGTGGCAAGATTCGATGCTTTCAGTGCACTGAAAACCTCAAATTCCTGCAGCAGCAGTCTCCGCGATGGGAGATCGACGGGAGCAGCAGGGATGCAGCCGGAACCCTGCTGCAGCCACTCGGAAGCTGCAGAGAATAAGCGAGTCGCTGCCGGTGCTGCAATGGACTCTATGTGCAGGAAAACAAGTTGCTGTCGCTATCAGAATGGTGTTGCTGCTACTACTGTTGCTGTTGCTGCTGTTGCTGCCGTTGCTGCTGCTGCTATGGCTGCTGCTGCAACAGATCCGCAACTGCAGTGAGGGGAAGCCGGTCCAAAGGGCCCTAGCTGCAACAGAGTAAACCAGTGAGCAATTGTTGCCCTTTGCGCTGCTGTAGCTGCTACGACTGCGGCTCAGGTGCGCCCGAGCCGAAACAGCAGCGGCCGCTGGAGCCGCTGCAGCGGCTGCTGCTCTGCCTACCCTGCAGCAGCAGCCGCTGCCGCAGGCAAGCTCGCGTGGTGCTACTGCGGTGTCTCTTAACGGCTACTCATTTGTCTAGCCTTTGTTAAACTGTGCACGTTTTGTGCTGGAATTCAGTATGCAGAGTCATCAGCAAGCATTCTGCTCTACTTTCTCCCACGACCCCGAGCTGCCCCACATGCCCCCCTGTATCACACGAGCTCCCGCGGCCCTTCGCCGAATAATTGGTAGAAGCCACTTTTTTCTATCGCCTCTGAGAATATCTATGGGTGTAAGTCATAAATTGATGATCTTTTTGTATGCGGGGAAAGTGAAAGCACCGGAAACCGAGTGCTAATTGGATAACGAACACAATGTGTGTCTGCGTTGCAAGACACAGGCAGGAGCGCACTTTGTGGCTGACCGTCTGCACTCTAGATTGAAATAGGGCTTGAGCCTCATTGGTGTGATGCCTCTGTCAATTATGTGCTCTCAAATCTCGGTTGAGAGGCCCGAATCGAAAGCAACACCTGCACCCCAGTTGCGTATGCTGGTCGACCCTCCAGCAAAATACTTATCGGACCCTCTAAGTGCCTCAGAGAGCGACACCTAAACCAAAAACACATTCTTTAGCTAACAGCCAAAGAGCTTTCTTCTGGGCCTCGCATGCCCCCGCTGGGAGTCTCTCCATAGCAGTGTTCCAGTGTAAACCCCACAGTCAGGCAGGCACAATGAGGGCGCGATACAGACAGATACTCCTCAAGAAAAAAAGAAACAGATGGCCAGAAGTCTGCAAGGCCCAACTAAGCCTAAAGGCACTATGGGAAAACGACAATCTGTTGGAATTGCTGAAAGAGTTTGAAGTTCAGAGAGATCTGCGCAATGGGAAAAGGAGCACACCCCATGCCTTCTCAAGAAGCAAAGCAGACAGGGCAGTCTCCTGAGTCATCGCTGTCGGTTGCGTGACGTTTATATCTGAGGCAGTGCTAGGGCTACCGCTGGGTAGCCACAGTAATGCACACCTGGCAAATACAACCTCAGTGGACCGCAGTAGCGGCAGCAAAACACTACGGTATTCCTGATGCCTTTGTACTTCCAATGAAGATTTCAGGCATCTATATAATACATGTGGCGTTCATTTCCTGCTGCAAGTGTTGCACCCGCCTGGTCTCGCAGTCCTTCATGGCCCTCAACAAAAGCAGCGCCTCGTAGCGCTGTAGCACCTCACAGCAGTAAAACACACATCTCCGATTGTGAACTGCTACCATGGATACTCTACTTGCCGTCTGCAGAGGTGGATGAACTTACGTGTCTGTGGAATCTTGCGAGGGAGAATGCAGCAGCAATGAGCAGGACCAGCAGAAAGCAGGCGCAGCAGCACAGGACGAAACCTGTGGCTGTTGCTGCCGTAGCAGCAGCAATGTTGTTGCGTACCTCAACAGAAGTCTCCTGAAGAAATCAATGAGATTGGGTGCAATATATGGTCCTGTGTCAGGCTTTAGAAAGTGATGCCGGCTGCGCGAATAGGATTTTGGATGGTAGTGTCACAGGTTCTCGATTTTTACACACTATTTGCGGTGTTGTTGCTACACTTTGCTCATTCGCCTCCCCACGGAGTTCACAAACTCTGAATCTTGCAACCTATCTCCTAGCCTCTTTTCGCTTCTTAAAGAAGGCCTTGACGCGTCAAGCAAGGTCTTACCTGCTCGAGCCGCTGCTGCTGCAGGGCAAGTGGCCTCATCAGCTCTGCTGTCGCGCGGCTGCGCTGCAGTAGCACCTCTAAGGCTTCAACTCCTGCAGCTGCCTGCCGCAACAATATCAAATCTTCTTTGTTGCGCTTTGCTACAAACTCGAAGGCCGCATCTGCAGAATCGCATCCGAGACTGTCTTCGTCACCCCTTAGAATGCGTCGCAGCACAAAAGCCGCCGCAGGCCCAAGGCTATCAGTCTGGGTCTTACCTATTCGGCGGGATAAGGCGAAAATAGAAAGAAGACGTGCAACTGACTTTGGAGTCAGCGCGGTGCCAAACCTGCAAAAGGCGCACCGAGCGTCTGAGATGCCTGTCTTGCGGCACTTCGGAAACTGGACTTGTATCGCAAGTGAGGGAAATCGGAGATAGAACACAGCACCTGCTAAGAAGATCCTTATCCAGTACGTCCCTGGACGCGAAGTAGCAAGGCGCCGGATTCTGCTGTCGCTGCGGATGTGAGCCTCGCCACGAAGGAAGCAGTTTGCCGACTTGCTGTGCTACAGCCCATGCAGTACCCCGTGTAGCAGCAGCAGCATCTGAAGCTACAGTAGCTACTGTTACCCTTGTTTTAACGAACGGCCGCGGGTGGACACAGCCCTCGGGAAGGGGTGCCGAGCTGAAGCACAAACGATAACTGCAGCCCAGCATCCTACAGCCTCGTGCTCTAGGAGCGCCATATGAGAAAAGATCTGGTGAACTGCGATGATTGTTCTCGCGTTTGATCCAACTGCCATGCTATCATAGCCTGCTGGCGTTCGCATCCCCTGAGGCTGAAGGCTCAGCTACGCAGTGGCGCTCCCTTACGTGAAGGCCCAGTGGACGCCCGTAAGCTTCTCAAGCTCAACAAGGATTTCCTGATAGCTCATCGCGCTGCTCCCGCCAGTCGTGCTGTCACTGGACAAGGAGACACTGAAGCCAGGCAGCGAAGGGGCAGGGTAGTAGATCCTGCAACGCAGATAAGACAGTTCGACAGAGAGTACACCCAAGTGGGTGTTTTTCTCGGTCCAGGCCCAACGCGGGAGCACTCAGTCTCGGATTTTCGACTAACCACGCATCGCCAGGCTGGCCCTCCAATTCCAGCTGCAGCGCAGCAACAGTTCCCCTCAAGTCGCCACTGCTGCTGCTGTTGCTGCTGCTGAGTCGTTCCACGAAGTCAACGAGTTCTTGCGTCTTTGGCATCGGCAGTAAAGCAACAGGCTGCCGGTGCCCTTGGGAGCCTTGTTGCTGCTGCATGATTCGCACAAGCATCTCCTCAAGAACACCACCGCCCAAGGGGAAGTAGCGAGGCAGCACCTGAAAGCACACACTCAATTCTCAAAACCGTATTTACGCCGTATCATCCCGCGTTGCGCGCTTTCGAGTCGAGGGCCGCAGTCAGCGTGCTTCACTTTTCAGCGAATTCCCAATGTGGCGGCTGCTGCTGCTGCTGCTGCTTCTGCTGCTTTTGCTGCTTACTGCGTAGTCCTGTAGAAGAGACTGCAGAAGGTGCGTAGAGTCTGCAGCGACGGCCGCCGCAAGCAGCAGCAGCGCAGCTACAACGCAACAACATCCCCCAAGCGCCCTCCAAAAGCCACTGCACGTGGCATGAAGCTTCCCCTGCAACACCATAAAAAGCAACTTCCAAAGCAACATAGACAGAGCGCTAAGCTCTTTTCCATGCTCGTTCAGAGTTCAGGGGCCAGTGCAATCGTGTAACCCGAACATTGGGAAGCCAGTCGCACTGTGGGCTGTAGTATATCGTGAACAGTAAACAGGAAAAAGGCTTCGTCTCTCTCTCTCTCTTTCTCAGCGTAGACTGATACTCTCAACGTGCAGTTTTGAGGACCTAAGATGTGTACCTCCGTCTGCCCCGCCGCATAGAGCTTGGCGAGCGACGCAGCTGCTGCTGCTAAAGCCACTGCTGCTGCGGCGAGCAGCAGCAGCGGAAACTGCCGAAGCAGCTCTTCCACGCTGCTACTGCTGACTTGCAGCAGCAGCAGCACGAAATCCCATAGATGAGGAAGCCCGTGTTGCAGCACGTCGAGTATCTGCTGCTGCTGCTGAAGCAACTCCTGCTGATGCTGGTTCCGCTCCTGCGGCTCGAGCGTTTCTGAAACAAACTGCTGTAGCAGCTGGTGCCTTTCTAACGCGTCTTTTAGTGCAGCCCCCACTTCTGCAGCTGCAGCAGCAAGCTTCTCTGCTCGGCTGCAACGCAGCAAACCCTGTTGCTGCTTGCCAATAGGAGCTGCTAGCTGGTGCTGTTGCTGGGGATGCTGATTGAGTGGATCTTGGACTTGTGGGGCCCCACAAGGAGCAAACAAAAACTGTTCCGATACGTCCTCGACGCCTCCCTCGCTCGCGTGGCACGCATCTGCGGGATGTGATCTGCTGATGCTGCCTCCATCAGTGGCATCCTTGCGAATAAAACTGCGACAAAATGAGAAGAGCGCAGCAGCACGCCTCTTGGACCGCTGCCAGAAGCGCTCGCGTTGCTGGCGTTGCTGCACTTGCTCCCGCAGCTTCGCCTCCGCCTGGAGCAGCAACACGTATCGGCATCCCAGCCAGCGCAGCCTCAACTGATTCGCTGCTTCCACTCCTGCCTGCAGCGGCAGGGATAAGACGGCAGTTGGAAGCACATGGACGTCTGCTGTCTTTGCTGCTGCATCATGGGGAGTGTCGCCGCTCCGCGCTGCAGCAGCAGCAGCCGGAGCAGCTACAGTCCAGTCTGCCGAAAGCTGCCGCAAGCGCCACAACATGCCAAGCAGACCTCTGTGGCGTTGCTGTTGTTGCTGCTCTCTTTTTTGTTGCAGCGGCTGCGGCTCGTGCCGCTGCTGCTGGGGTACTAGTCCCGAAAAGGAATCGAAGGCTAGGGGAGCTTCGCAGCCTGCTATCTTGAGGCTCTCTGCAGCGGCTACTGAGATCGCCGCAACTGCAACAGCCGTGACGGCCAGGAGGAGGAGGAGCAACAGCACACTGCGCTTGTTGTTGCTTGTCTCCGTACCAACGGATGACGGCAGCAGCAGCAGCAAAGCAGCATACGCGGCATCGCTGTTGTTACTGCGTGCCTGCGAAACAGCGTTTGCGGCCTGTGTAGCGGCAGAGATGGCAGCGCTGGTGCTGTTGCCACTTCGGAAGGCGAAAAGAAGCACAAGAGAGGAGAGAAGGAGAACCAAGAACGGGAGAAAAGACAAGACGTAACGCAGCAAAGCCACTGCTGCAGCCCACTCGAGTCCAAAGACGTGCCAGCTGCTGGAGCTGCTGCTGCTATTAGCAGTCCTGTCATTAGTGTGGTGGCTGCTCGTTCTTGGGGGGGGAAGGGGCGGCTGCAGCTCCTTAAGCCGCTCTAGAAGCACTGGGAGATGCAGAGCCGAGTGCAGTAGCCCAAAACAACGCAGCAGAGGCGGCGCGAGGCGGCTTATTCCCAGATGCTGCGTTAGAAGGCTTTCTGGCTTGTTTGCTCCTTTGCAAGCAGCGAGATGCTGCAGCCACGGCACATTGAAGCCAGGAGGCCCCGAAGGTTCATTTTCTGCATTTATCCATCCGTTGCTGCTCTGGATGGCAATGTCGCCGCAGCTGTTGCCGTTGCTGCTGCTCCCACTGCTGTTGCCATGGGTATCCCTGAGAGAGCCACCTCCAAAGGGTTCGAATCGACTTATCGGCAGCAGGTGCTCCCGTTGCTGCAGCTGCTGGCAGCCCTTGCTGGGAGGTAAGGTCCGCGAGAGGGCAACGACGACGAGTACATGGATAGCAGGATGCAGTAGCAGAAGCAGCAGTAGTGAGGTCAGATGCCGTGGCCGCATAGCCGAAACTTGGATCCTCACCTGCCTTGGTATTGCTGCCGCTTGAGCTCGTGCTACTTGAACATGTGTGCCTCACAACACCCTCCGTTGCCACTGGTATGCCATGCGCTGCATAAATCGTGCATGTCAGCGGCGCGACTGTGGACGCTGCTGCCTTTGTTTCTGCTGTCGCTCTTGCCGCCGTTGGACTTGGGGTGTGTCTCGAGTCCGCCAAGTGTCACATAGGAAAGGGCGCCGAAGACGGATCACAGGCCGTTCGCCCTCTTGAACGCAGGTAAAAACCGGAGGATACGCGATTTGAAGCTCAAATTCATCTGCAGAGGATCAAGACACGCCAGCACGGGCGATGGCGACAACAGGGTCCCTGTACCCCCCAGTGCGGGGGCCTCTGCGAGTCGTTAAGGTGAACGCCCTGCACGCAATTATAAGAGCTGGATTGATATGAGACACAATTTCATGGTTAAAGTGCAGTCATACATGCAGTGGAAGCGTCATCTCCGTGGATCACTGCACAATTAAGCTACTCATCCCCATGCTGTCTTCACAACGGACCAGTTCTCATGAGCAGCCTTTCCACAGAATGTAACCTCCCACCATGAAACCAAAAAAAGGTCTACATTTTTGATTTTTAGCGCCGTCGTGGAAACAGGCTACCATTCCCTGCCTGGGCCGCTTTGGAAGCCGATGGACACCAAACAGCAGCGTATCCGCAGGCCATAGGGTGCTCATGTGCTCGTGCAAGGACATAAAGCACAGGCCAAGTATCCCTAACGCAGAATATTGGGTAGCACTGCGGCGCCGTAGCCGCACTGTCCATCAAATCCTTTTCTTCATGTTACGACCGTAGCACGTGGTGCTGCACGAGTAACGAATCGAGGCGATCATGCTGTAACATCGGAAGAAATACAATAGAGTATGGACCCCCTAAAGCTACCTTCTTTGTCTTCGGACAAAGGGGGATGCTGTGCCTCCTCAAGATGAAGAGCAGTATCTTTGGCAAAAACCCATAGGAACACCTCTCCCGCAAGGAGCGAGCTGGCTCTGCTCTACAAAGGCTGCGAGAAGGCGGCAGAGGCAGGCATCCGAAGGCACATGGGATGAATAAAAACTACGCAGGCGCTGCACGTCTGTCTATCTCACTGTAATTGCCTGCCATGGGGCCTGGTGTGGTGCACACCCCTAAAAGGAATGCCGACGATATTTGGACGTTTGTTTCTATGCAAGCCAATGAGCACGTATAGCCGAAGCCGCACCCCACAGCTAATCCAATACTACAAAACCCTTTCTCCCTCGTCAACGCTCAACGATCATCTGGTAGTGCGTTCCCTCTTGACGTTGTGACTGTCTACTGCAAACACAACGGGCCACTAGCGGTTGCAGCCCCGCTTTCAGTCGTCGCAGCCCCTTGAAATGCATCCGGTTCATCATTCGCCTACTGAGATCCCATAAACCAAACACCGCCTTTCTCCCATAGCAAGATGACCTATTGCAGTGTCAGAACCAAGTGAACTCTAACCGTATTGAGGCTACTGTGGAGCACACATACAGCGGAATTAAAGTTACAGGCGTGAGCAGCACTGGTTCGTAGGAATAGTATTTGAAAGTAATTGGCTCCTTCGACAAACAAGTCTCATCCGTAAGAACACCCCTCTCATATGATTAAAGCTATTGGGGGAAGGCACACCGAGGGGATTTATGTTAAATGCATAGGGGCCCCTGTTTCATAAGAATAGCAGCTGGAAATTGTTGGCCCCTTCGAAAAAGGTTCCAAACCTAACGGTCCTTACCTCATAGAAGCAAAGGTGCTGTGAAAAAAAACAGCGGAAACATGTTATGAGTGGGCGGCGTTCGTTCGTAAAAATAGCCACTGGAAATTGCTGCCTTCTTCGACAAAAAAAGAAAGTCTCACGACTGAGAGCACTCCTGTCGTAGGATCAATGCTACTGTGGAACGAAAATGGAGGGGATTCAAGTTACATGCGTCGGCGGCATTGGTTCGTAGGAATAGCAACCAGAAAATGTAGGCCCCTTCGAAGAAAATGACCGTTTGATGTGCGCCACGTGCAGCTTGTGTAGCCCATCATGTTTCCACATGAACAGCGGAGTGGCGCTGTTTGGCCCATCCAATATACTTCGTGACGGGAAATATCGTTCGACGGGCCGTACGCAATGAAGGCGAACGGAAATATTTAATCCTTATTTTCTTAAAGAGCACCGTTACTTCCTTCGTCGGGATGCGACGAGCTCTACGCGCTTCTTCGCTTTCCCCAATCTAGCTAGGCCAATAAGGAACAAAATATACCCAAAACTGCAAGCCTTGATCTTAGATTTACTCCGATACGGGTGTTTTTCGCGTATTTCACATACTTAAAAACCATCACAATAGTAACACATACACTTCTGCGCACACACCTTCGTAGCACCCACACAGTATACAGGGTGGACCTAGCAAGATATCCTAGCCCCACAATCCAAGCTACACAGCATCGGAGCGGCTACAGGAAGGAGA